ATGATAGACAGTCCTCCGTAGTGTGGTTGACAGTTGTCCCGTCCCCTGACACGCAGCATATGTAACGAAGCAAGCTATCATCAGGAGCCGCGGGACCCAGACCCAAACAATCAACTTAGTCGTCGTCGTTTTCGTTTCTTTTTCCCCCCCTTTGCTCGTTCATCGTAATCGTGTCTCTGGTTCTGTCCTCTGGCCGCGCAACCTGACCGTTCATAAATCTATATGTATCAGGGGGTGGTGACGGGCCGGCCCGTGAGACATTGACCAGAAGCCAGCCCAACTCCTTCAGCTCCCGTTTCGTATAATCGTAGCTCACCTGTTCTCTCGTCCTTCCAAGCACAACCATATCATCCGCCTGTCCACCGTCCACAAGCCCCGATCCCTGCGCGGATCAACCTACGCCCCGATCTGGTGGCTGCATGAGACGAGACGAACCTGGGCAGTCCACGCATCTCGGCTCTTCCTTTTTCTCTCGCCTGCCCAGCCTCGTCCTTGCCCTCGCCCGTAGAAGTAAGAAGAAGAAAAAGCAGGGCAAGTTAGTGATCGTGACTTAGTCAAAAAGAAACCAAGCCCTGGGCTTGCTGGCCTTGTAACTTATCTCATTGGCAATAATATATATGCCTGGGGGCGAGTGAAACAATATTCTCCCCCATGGACGCCAGCGCCGGCCCCATCCCTGCTGCTGCCGTCCTCCTCCTGATGCCCTGTGCTGGCTCTCTTCTGCCTCTGCCGGCTCGTCTCTGCTCGTCTCTGCTCTACATGTCATTTCTGGCGCTGCTATAAACTCGTTCTTTGCGTTCTGCTTGCTCTGCTCTGCTTGCTTGTCTGTTCTGTGATCAGTTCGTCTGACGCCGCGTCTGGCTGCATATCAAGCCCTGCCCTGCCGCCGTCAGCGTCCGTCGAGCTCGGAGAAGTGTCATATAACAGAATCCAGCTATTAAACAAGAACCTTACTGTCCCTATCTCGGTCTCTCCGTCTCTCTCTTTCTCTTTCTCCGTCTCTGTTTGTCTGTTTTGTCAACTCAACTGCCTGCCGCCCCCTAAGCCCTAAGCTCCCCCGGCCATGCCGCCTGCCTGCGCGATGCCCGTCTCCTAGACTGCTGCCGCTGACCGTCTCTACCGTCCTCAACTCCTCCGTCGCCCTCCTGCACCTGCTATGCCTGCGGCTGCTGAGACGATGCCGGCGGAAAAAGAGCGTCGCTTCTCCCGTCTCGCTGCGCTGCTGCGTCGTCCGTCGTCGTCCTCCTCCTCGTCCGCCAAGACCGCCGCCGCCGCCGCCGACCCAGCAGCAACGTCGACCTCGGCGACCGCCAGCGCCGCCAACAGCATCACCACCACCACCGCCGCCGCACCCGCCAGCCAGAAGGACAAGAAGGAGGACCTCAAGACCGCGAGCAGAGCAGACGAGCAGGCCCTGGACGACGCTGTCGACAGCGACTCGACGCCGCGCCTGTCGCCCTGGACCTCGCTGCCCGACCAGCTGCCGAGTGCCTCCACGGCCTCCACCACATCCACGACTTCTACGCCAGCACCAGCACCAGCACCAGCACCATCTACAGCGACATCTACGACATCTGCAGCTGCAGCTGCTACGACCAGGGCCCGGCGCACTCCTCGACCAGAGGGCCACAGATTGGGCGTGGATTCGCGGCCCAACAGAGCTCCCTCGCTCTCTAGTCCGTCGCAGCAGCAGCATCTGCAACATCTGCAGCATCCACAGCACCCACCGGGACAGCCAATTGCTACGGCTGTACGGTCTGCTCCCGCCGCTAGACAAGTCCCCTCGCCGCTGATCGAGTCCCCTGTTACCTCGAACCCGCCTCTGCCTCGCGCGAGACTGGTCAGCGTCGACAACGGGAAGGACGCCCGACGCTGCGACGACTTTGCCTTTGCGCCGTCACCAACCTCACAGCACGGCCGAGACCCTTCGCCTGCACAGCTCCAGAGCCGGATCCAGCGCCAGTTTAGCCGTCGAGGGAGTGTCGGTGGCTCGGCTCGACAGCTAAACAGTATTACTACTACTACTGCTGCTACCGGTGGTGGTGGTGGTACTGCTTCCATCACTTCGGCGTCCTCGCTTTTCGACGACCCCCGTCAAGGCCTTCCCTCCCCTACCACATCACCGATATCAGCATCGCCCGTCTCGGCTGCTGCGCCCGGGAGAAGCCCCCAGATACCCGAGCAGCTGCCAAAGGGGCCTCGACGACCTTCTCTTGCCGTCAGGAGGCAGTCTCTCGTCCCCGCGTCCCAGCAGCGGCTCATAAACACCCTGCTTGAGCCACCATACACCAGTGGTGTCGAGTACTTCCCCCGTTCTACGCCCACCATCCAGTTCGACATGATCAACCGCAAGGTCTGGGTCAAACGGCCCGGCTCGTCTCCCACACTCGTCCTGGTCACGGAGGAAGACCTGGTCGATGACCTCCGTGACTCCATCCTCAAGAAATACGCCAACTCCCTCGGTCGAACCATCGACTCTCCAGATATCGTCATCAGACTCATCCAGCGAGAGCCGTCTAGCAGACACGGCCAGCTGGAACGAGTCCTGGGGCCCGAGGAACCGCTTACTCGCACACTCGACCATTTTTACCCCGGCGGACAGACGATAGGTGAAGCCCTCATCATCGAGGTGCCCCCACGACGGACTCCAAAGGCCTCCCCTCTTACCCCCTATGCCCATACAGACGACTCCCGGGGCATGGAGCAACAAGGCGGCTACTTCCCGCCCATGCATATGATTACTCCTAACAGTGCTACTCTCAAGGACTCCATGGGCTCTCCCCATCCAAATTCCATGCAGGTCATCAATACCGGCCAGGTGCCGCCCATCCCTTCGCCGGGAGTACGTGGGCCGTGGCAGCAGCCACCACATCGAAGCAGCTACCATCAATACGCCGGCTCTCAGGGGCCCGGCTCTCTCCCATCGCCCTCAAATGGTACGTATTTCATAACGTTGAATTTTTTTTCCTTTTTCTTTTTTTTTTTTTTTTTTTGTCTATTTTCTATTTTTCTATTTCCTATATATTAACGGATTCACATATGTAGACTCAGTGAATCCTCATCCACCAGCCAACGGCGTACCTACCGCCTCATCACCCCCTTCTGCAGCAACTCCGCCCGCTCTCCCTTCAGAACCAGCTCCCAAATCCGTCTCCCCTCCTTCTCGTGTCGCCTCCCCTCGTCCCAAGGGCCTTGAAAAGCTGAACAAGAACAGCAGCACCAACTCGAACCCGCTTCCAACCTCCTTACTCGACGGTGCAATACCCCCGATCAATGTCCTCATTGTCGAGGATAACACCATCAACCTAAAACTGCTCGAGGCCTTCATGAAACGTCTCAAGGTCCGCTGGCAGACCGCTATGAACGGCCGCGAAGCAGTCAACAAGTGGCGAGAAGGAGGCTTCCATCTCGTGCTCATGGATATCCAATTGCCCGTCATGAGTGGCCTAGAAGCCACTCGTGAAATCAGACGGTTGGAACGGGTCAATAACATCGGCGTGTTCCAGCGTTCGGCTGGGCCGTCCTACTCCGCATCCATGGTTGGGTCGACGCCTACTTCGCCTTCTGTCGCGGAGACTCCATCCTCCGAGTCGAACCCTGAAGACGAAGTCAAGCCCGAGGATCTATTAAACAAAGAGAACCAGTTCAAGAGCCCTGTCATCATCGTTGCCTTGACGGCAAGCAGCTTGCAGAGTGACAGGCATGAAGCACTGGCCGCAGGATGCAATGACTTCCTGACTAAGGTATGTCCCTATTTTCACCCTTTTAAAAGTTATACACTACAGACAATTGAGCTAACATAACATAATCCAGCCCGTAAACATCGTCTGGCTCGAGCAAAAAGTAACGGAATGGGGCTGCATGCAAGCCCTGATTGACTTTGAGGGCTGGCGTAAATGGCGTGGCTTCTCAGATTTAAACAACAATTCTTCTACCATTGCCGCCACCATCAGAAAGGGCAAAGAAAACGCCGGCCCAGCTTCAGACGCCACTCCTCGAAAACTTAACCCCATAAAGTCACTCTTGGCAAAATCGAGCAATGGCAACCTCAAATCTAAATCACGGGCCGCGCCACCATCTACCACCTATGCAGACGGGACAGACGATTCCTCAACGGTCAGCTCCACCATCACTGTTGCCCCGAGGACGGATGGCGGTTTGTCAACGCCCGTTGGAACTGCGGTTTCACCTGCATCGTCTTCACCCACGCCCGTAGCTACGAGAAGATTACCTGTAGCCTCCAAGACGCAAAACGGAAGTGCAAATGGCTCTACGAGCTCACAAACTTGGAAGAACAGCCAGCGGAACGGTGTTCCTGTGGGAGCTGCGCCTCCTTGAATCTGTTCACTTCTATGTTATGTCTTATCTTCACCCATGTTGATATCCCATGCATTCCTATACATACTTAACCATCATACCATACCCACCCAGCACCAACCCTCGAATGATCCACCCCCCCCCCCCCCCCCCATTTCACTTCAAAACCCAAAATTATTTTCTTACCAGTTTGTTGTTTTCCCCTATTTCATCATTCATTCTTCATTCATATACCATATCATTTTCATACCGTACCAAGTCTGTCGTGATACCATTCGTTATGTTCCCTTCAACTCCCCTATATTGTGATCTTGATCTTCAGTTTCATCCATCTTCATGCCCTGACTGACTGACTTATTGATTGATTGGTTGATTGGGCCGGGAAGCATTATCGTTCACATATCATGTTCTCATTTCGCGTTTACGTTTCTTGTAATGGAGGAGTTTTCATTTTTATCTATATATGCGATCATCTGCTCTACCTAATCCCGTTCTTTTACTTGACTTCCTCATATGTATTCATTATTCCTTGTTTACTTTATTACCTTCATGGCCTGGGATGTGATATTTGCTTTTTTTTCCTTTTTATGTATACGGCCGTTTTTTCCTTATTCACTTGCAGATGTCAGCTCCAGTTTGCAGTCCCAGTTTCAGTTCCAGTTTCGAGGATCCAGTTACGTTGAATAAGTTACAGCATGGGACACCAGTCGGTCGTCGGTCAAGTCAGTCGTGGACAGTTTGCAATTTTTGAGAACACAGCGTCTCTATCGCATAGGACAGACAGATAAAACCACCCAAAATTGGAAATGAAATACTTTTTCTTTTCTTTTCCAGATGCTTTCCTTGCCTTGTGTAATAACCAGATAACCAACCTGTATTTCGTACCCTTGAAGGTATGTATGAGTCAGTGTGACTTGCATGGTACGATTTTTTTTCCGTCTCGGGCTTTGCGTACCAGAGACCGACCTCGGTATCGTGAATAGCCGTTGATAATGCATGCATGCACGAATGCATGTCATCTGCAGTGTGCAGAACTGTATCCCGCCGGTTCGCACGACTGACACACCCACCCTCGACCGCCCGTCCGCCATCCACAATGCAGTGATACATGACCAGCATGAACCGCACCGCATCCCTCTCCCCGTCCCTCTCTCAGCCCAATTGAAAATCCATCCCGCCCGTCCACAGAGCATCCAGATCACCCCCCGTCGCCATCCCGTCCGTTCAGTCAGATCTAAAAATCCTGAACCCCCGTCTCCCCCTTCAACACCCTGTCTCCTCCTCCTCCTCCTCCTCCTTCTCCTCCTGCATCATCAACAATCCACTCCGGCTCTTCCTCGTCGAAATACCGTTCTTGCTCCTCGCTCAGATCATCGTACTCCTCACACTCATCTACAGCACCATATTCAAACTGGTCATCTGCACCCTTCACGAATCTCATTTCCATCTCGTATCGCCATCGCTCTGCACCCTCGGCTTTGGAAGAGGGTATCTCATCAGCGTCTTCGGCTAGAATCTCACCGTTTGGCCCACGACTGTAGGTTAATAGTGAGTCCGGATCGGGGTTGGCAAGAGCTTCCATTTTAGCTTCTGCGCGTTCTAGATCTGCTTCGAGAGTGCCGGAGTGGCCTTTTAGCCGACCTTCAGCTTCGCGCTCGCTTGCCGTCTGGAAGCGGCGTATTAGACGGTCATAGAGAAGGGGGTCTAGCGATTGTTAGATGGATGTGTAGAACTGGTTATGAGGGTGTGATTACCTGCTAGTTCTAGTGCTGGGGAGAAGTATTCGGGATGGAGTTCAAGATATCGCTTTCGTCTGTTTTTTATTTGTATGGACGCTGGCGGGTTCTTGGGTTGCGGGCGGGATGTGGGTATATATTTCTCATCTTGGGGTATATCTCGCCCTTTGTCTGAGGTCATGGGGAATAATGGCATCGTATAATCTTTTGATCATTTGCATACGGTGTAGCTATGGGGTATCAGCTATGGGGTATCAGCGCGTTTGGATATCTGATATCTTGATAGTCCTGGCATGTTAAGTTAGTTAGGCCGGTATAAAACGCCAAGCACGGTGATGTCAGCTTTAAGCCTCCAAGCTAACAGCTTTTAGTGTCAAAATGTTCCAGATAATCGAGCAATAGACGTGAATGGCCGATCACTATGGCGCATTCAGAGGGCTTCAATGCGCGTACCAGGGAAATATCAACGTTCCAGCTTCTGTTACATTGCCTCCTGGATATATGACCAACATATATACCCAGTTGACACAACACCATTAGTTACTCGAGTCTACCACTCCTCAACGCCATCATCTTGATACCTGTATCGTCCTACAGCCATCTACTCCATCTTCTCCATCCTCAACTCTCGTATCATCATCTTGTCTTCGATCTTCATATATATTCCCTGTGATATCCCAACTCGGCGACAAGTCTTGCCACTTTAAGGACGCTTGGGCCAACCTCGGCTGTCTTCGGGTTTTCCCCACGCAACGCGGCTAAAGGTGGGGTTAAAGCAGCGTGCTCCATCGCCCGATCCAGCCAACAGCAACACTTCTTCACATCAACCTCCGGCGTCGCGACAGATTTCAACATTAACACCAAGCTGAAGGCATTGAGGATCGTTCTTTATCGAGATATGCTCGTGGTGATGGTATAGCTGTGTTTTGGGGTTTTGGTATATAGACCTGTCCAGCTGGCTCCGTTTCTCTCTGGTAGAGTGTGAGGTTGATAAGGCCAGGTCAACAAAACTTTGAAACACGGCGGCTTTTGAACACATATACATATACCATTCCACCATGGCGAAATCAAAGTCGACGCCTTCGAAGCCGGCTGCTGATGAGAGTCAGCCCGCTGCCTCGACTCCAGCAGCTAGGGAAGCTGTCCGCAGGCCGGCAGCTGTCGCCGCGAGGAAGTCTTCCCTGCCGGAGCTCTTCTTTGCTGGCGCTATGGGAGCAGCCGTGATAGCCCTTGCTGGAGCGTATTCTTATGCATCCCAGCTAACGCTTGCTCCTATCTACGGCTCAGCTCCTGCTGGAAAATACCACAACGCCGTCACTTTGATCGCAGGAGGCGTGGGATCTCTGGCTCACTCTTTGGTCCAGAAACATGCCAACCCCATGGTCACTCTTCCAATTCTCACATTCTACATCCCTACCATCCAGTTCTTCTTGTTCAAGTTCAGTTATACTCTCGGGCCGGTTCTGGGACCTATCATTACGGAAACACTCACCTTTGCGCCTCTGGTTGCATTGTCAGTTGTTGTCCCCGGGGTTTTCATTCAGAAACTGAATCTGAGCCCGAGATTGAAGCAGGGCATGGAGCAAGGAAATATCATAGCTGCATACGCTCTTTTCAACGCTACCAAGACCAAGCTTGAACAAAACATGCCCTACTACCTCGGAACAAGTCTTGCATTGACCAGCATCGGCCTTCAATTCATCATTGCTGCTGCCCAGGCCATTCTCTTACCATCCAAGTGGATTGTGCTCGCCATTCCTTCGCTCTTATTCACGGTTATGTTCAACCACCATGTCCCATTACCTTACAACACGGGTTTACTCAATGCTTCTCTTAAGGCGGACAATTATACTCTACTTCACCGTCAGGAGTCCTTGACCGGATACTTGTCTGTGCTAGAGAACACGGATGCCAAGTTCAGGGTGATGAGATGCGGTCACAGTCTTTTGGGTGGAGAATGGCTTCCACACCTAATGACCAAGGATGCCAAAGTATCTGATCCGGTTTTCACTGTTTTTACTGCGCTTGAGGCCGTCAGGCTTGTCAAAAAAGACTCTCATAAACCAGAGAAGGCTGACTGGAAGAAGAGCGCGCTAGTCATGTAAGTCACTCCGCATATCATTCTCGTCTAGATATATATAACTCACAAGTTATTCTAGTGGACTGGGTATTGGAACAACTCCTTCGGCCTTTGCAGCCCATGGGATCAACACTACTGTTGTGGAAATTGATCCAAATGTGCACCAGATTGCTATGGATTACTTCGAATTCCCCAAGAAAGTAAACACGGTGATTGAAAATGCAGCCACGTTTGTCCATCGTGCCAGGCATGAAACCCCAGTTCAGAAATACGACTATATCGTCCATGATGTTTTCACTGGAGGTGTGGAGCCCTTGGACCTCTTTACTCAGGATTTCATGGAAGGGCTTGACACCTTACTGGATGACGAGGGTGTCATTGCTATCGTAAGTACTAATAGCCCTAAATAATAGGTATAGCAAATAACGCTAATATAAAAACAGAACTACGCCGGTGATATTGCCCTGCCACTTGCTGGCCTGGTGGTTCGGGCTATCACATCCACCTTCCCATCATGCAGAATATTCCGTGACAACAAACCGCTACCTGGCTCGTCATCTAGAAGAGACCTGACAAACATGACCATCTTCTGCAAGAAAACACCTGGTACTATCAAATTCAGGATCCCCCAGCCTGAGGACTACCTCGGAACGTACTCACGAAAGGAAAACTTGATTCCACGCCTCGAGTTCAGCCCTGGCTCATTTGCAAGGGATACTGAGGGTAGGGAGGATGCGTTGGGACCAAGCGTGCCTAAGGAGCTCGAATATTGGCAGTTCCAGGGTGCCATTGGCCATTGGCATGTTATGCGTGGTGTCCTTCCGGATACTGTCTGGGAGAAATGGTGATTTGCAGCGACTTCATCAAAGTGCAGTTTATTCATTGATATCTATAGCGGTGTATTTTCTATATTATATACTCTAGCCTCTTGACGTGAAAAAATTCGTAACCTCGTGTGCAAAACAGATGTATAGTAGTAGATGGCATGAAACCACCCAACGCATGGCTTCCCCAAATCAGTTCAGGCAAACTCCAGACCCTTCGACAACGATATTCTTCTTGATCCGCCGGATATCCTCATCATTAAACCCAATCTCTTTCCTCATGTACCCTTCCACACCCCCATACTCATTGTCCAACCATTCAAGCGTCCCAATGATGGCGGCGGCCTTTGCACTCGTCATTCTCACCGCTGCATCGCGATCCCCGCCAACAGAAGGATGCTGGAGCAGCTTCTGGATAAACTCCTCCCGAAGCCCGTCCAGTCCAGCCTGCGTAAGCTCGTACTCTTTACCAATAACTTCATTATCCAACACGCCCGCAAGCCTCAGCACCAGCGCAGCGAACACACCCGTCCTATCCTTCCCGGCCGTACAGTGGAATAGCAGCGACTGCGTAGGCTGGTCTCGAATATGTTCGAAAACAACCTTATATGCAAACTTTGCTCCGCTGACGAGAATATCTTTATACGCACGTATAAATCCTGCAGGCCCCTCGTCGGCGGCGTAGTCTTTATATCTTAACGCCAGGTTGGCTGGGCTTGCGTCCTGGCCCTTGAACACGGGCACATGAATGAATGTGGTGCCTGGTATGTCTACGAGCGGATACCGGGCTATTTCGACCTCGGAGCGGAAGTCATAGATGTATGATATGCCCAGCTCATCGACTAGAGTCTTTGCTCCCGTGGGTGTTACGCTTGATAGATGCGCAGACCGGTATATGAAGTTGCGCCGTACTGAAGTGGTGGGGGAGACGGTGTAACCACCGACATCTCTGAGGTTGTTGACGCCTTCTACAACGTAGAAAGGGGGAGACGGTAGAGTAGGCTGTGAAGGGGTGTCTGACATGACTTTTTCACCCTTTTGATATGTGTAATGGAGTAATTGGCTTGATTTTTTGGGCGATGTTGGTTCCTGCAGTGGCAGCGTTTTATATGAATGTTGCTTTGCACTAGAAGTCGTGCCTGAAACTAACTACCGAGGCCTATCAGATTTCCCTGCGTCCTCATTTGCCCGAGTGTACGTGCCCTTAACAGAGGCCGAATGCCATCTCATAACTCAGGCAGACCTAAAGATGGTCATATTGTATCTAGTCTTGATATGGTCTTGAGATGGAATGTTATATCTTGACCTCTCGTGCAGTGAAGGAGTTGATTGGTTCTCATATGAACCTGCTTGCTCCTTGTACCATCATTAGAAATTCCCAGGACTTTCAGTATTCAGCCTCTAGTAAGAGAATCCCGGTCTATAACAGTCAAACATTCGATAAATGATTGTTCACCCGAAATATTTACTTGGTTGCATTTCATCGTCGTTCACTGGCTCTGATAGTCAGACATATGGAGGTAAAAGCAATTAAATGTTCTTCAAGCCAAATCCAGCAAAATTTATTCTGGAAATAATAGCAACGCCGTTGATTTGGTATCTCACTTGGCCTCTCAGCCATGCTTGACCTATCATTCTTCTGATAATAGAAATGTTTTTTTGAGCGGTGTTGTTGAATTGATGCATCTTTGCCGGCTGGGCCAGTGGAAATATATGGCTTAGTAAGTAATATTGATACCATATTCGTATATATTTCGGCTGCCTAAGCATTGACTTCACTGAATTATGGCGTAATAATGGTATGCATTTCGTCACAACCCACTCCAGGCAGCAAGAGAGCGTCATCGTCAGCTTCATGACTCCTTCATGACTTCTTCAGGGCCGCAAAAAACAAACAAGAGTACTTAATAAGCCCTGATTTCCCTCTATTTGATGCAGATACGAAGAGATACCTTGCATCAAGCCTTAAGCAAGTAACTACCAAAGCAGCAGTTGACTGTCTACTCTCACTGTTTGCGTGTGGAATACCAGCCATGGCAGAGACAGACACAGCGGAGATCCAGTATATCGATGGAGTCAAGACTCTGGTTCCCTTAGGTACTATCTCTACTATCTCCGCCGTCTCTGGCGTCACAAACTCCCAGATGAGCCCTGTTCTTGCCAGTTTAGCTTCCGACGTGAGACCTGCTAACCATGGTGAACAAGGTTAGAGAACAACCCAGAGGTGATGTCCCACCTAATCCATGAACTGGGGGTGTCTCCGAAGCTGGGGTTCTATGACATCTACAGCATCGATGACCCAGACCTGATGGCGTTCATCCCGCGGCCAGTTTACGGCCTTATCTTCATCTGTCCCCGCGATGCATACTACCGTACTCGCGAGAGTATGGGCACAGACAACATGCCCGAGTACACGGGCTCGGGACCAGACGAGCCCGTCTTGTGGTTCAGACAGACCATCAAAAACACCTGTGGTCTGATGGCTCTGATTCACTGCATCAGTAACGGGGAGGCAAGGGAATATATCCCCGCAGGATATGAACTGGACCAACTGTTCAAGACAGCGGTGGACCTGGCTCCTACGGAGCGTGCTCAGTTGCTGTATGATTCACCATTGCTAGAACGAGCACATCGCTCAGCTGCGAGACGAGGGGACAGCACCGTTCCGGCTCCTGATGACAAGTGTGGTTTCCATTATATCTGCTTCGTCAAGGGGTCAGACGGCCACCTGTGGGATTTGGAAGGCGGGGTGAAAGGCCCTATCGATCGAGGGCTGCTGGAGGAGGGCCAGGATGGGTTGAGTGAAAAGGCTCTCGAGCTTGGGGTTCGAACGTTCCTCAAGCATCAAAGCGATACCGGGAAGGGAGTCGACGTATCTGGCTTCAGCATTGTGGCCCTAGCACCGAGCATGGATTGAGAGAAGATAGAAGCAGGTGAAAGCGGTGGGAGGCAATTACTGAGCGATATCAATCAATTATTCACTTCGATTCCTGTTAGCTACGAGGTATCTCCGCACGCCCTTCCTGGTCGGCTAGGCCGGCTGGCTGGGTGTATTGGATCAACAAATACTCGCTATATGATAAGTTGTGATGCATATAGCAGGCAGAGACATGCCAATGGTGTCTGTCGCCTAGGGTGACCCCAACTCGCAATGCATGTCGACAAAGCCTATAGCCTACTTTCTGAAGTATAAAATACCCGATCCATGTGAAATGACGGGCATAGAGTCTCTCTCGCATTCCTCTTGTCTTGACTATACAGATAATGCCACAGAATAGAAGTCAAGTCCTGCTGCGCTAACCACCAAAGGAAACCCTTTTTAAGAACGGACTGTAGAATATAGTTATTTAGAAGCTCGTCAGGCTGCAAACCCTCTTTTACGCTATAAATTCAAGGTTGGGGGTGCCTGGTGTTTCTTTCTTGTCCTTTTCTAGCGTTTTCTTAGCCGTCTTCCTGGTCCTTTTTTTTTTATCTCATCTTGCCATCTAAATGTGTTATTCAACCTTCTGCTGCTCCGGGGCTGCGGGTCCGTCACGTGAAACTGTCTATCTCGACCTCCAACCAGCAACTTCGACTTCAACTTCGACTTCAGCTCAACGAACTTCAGCCTACGAACGATCCGTCGGCCCATTCATCGAAGTGTCCACCATGGCTGGTATTGCAAGGGGTGTCTGGATCGGCCGCAATTTCGCATAGCCAGCAAGAAGGCATCGGACAGTGACCCACAGGGCAAGACATGTCACGCTGTCAGCGAACCGGCCAGGTCTAGCGAGGATTCTTCATCCTTCCTCGCATTTTCCTTTTAGGCAGTTCTCCGAGACGCCAGACGGTTGACAGGGGGAACAAGGCGGAGATGGAGAAATGAAGTAGAGGAACAGACATGAGAAGACGGGTGAGTGACGGCGACACGGCGGAAGACGGGTAGCTCGCACAGAGGCTGAATGAAGGGGGTTACCACCATCCAGATCCGCCCTAGTCGCGATATTGGCTAAGACCAATTAGCAGCTGGCATATCCACCAGGATCCTCTCGCCCTTTGCTTGCGCTGATCCCTCCCAACTCAACGGAAGAAACAGGCTCGCTTGGCTCCATCTTCTGCATTTTTTGCTCGTCTTCTGGAATGGCACAGAGAAAGGGCCTGCAATCAGAACGCAGGCGTGGGGAGAGATCCCCACAGCGCCCCAGTAACTTGGCGTTGTAGCCTTTTCTGTCGTTTTTGCCCCAGGAAGAAGCAGAAGTCTGCGATAACGAGTAAAGAGCCTGGGTTGACTCGCTGGAAGCTCCCCTGCTCAGCCAACACGGCAGGTCGACTGCGCCGTACCCTACCCCCAGTCAGAGTTATGGCCTCATGCCGCCTTTGTTTGACGTGCCATTTCACGAGCGGTTGCCAGGGCATTTCTCTTTCTTATCAAGACACAGGCGAAATCAGGTGAATTGGGTAATTGGCTCTGGCTAGTGGTTATGGTTGCCACCCAAAGCTTTTCCAGCCATGCATGACTGTGGCTTTTTTTCCAGGCACCCGCACCAACACTTGAGGTATCAACATCTCGTATCAACAAGCAGACGAAGATCCATTTCCCGCATCTGCCCGCACAAGTGATTTCTGGAGTATACTTAAAAACACGACTATTTTCATGACAACATTCGGACCTGAGGGCCAAGGCTAGGCCAAAGATTCGATTTGCTAATAATAAACCAAGCGTTATTGCTCTTGTCTACCCAAGCTCATTCGTATCGGCTAATTGCATATCCATTTCCCTTTCCTTCCATATCGTATCCGTGCTAATATGCGTCGTTCACAATCCCTGGTTTTGCTCATATAATCTCCGGGGTGAGGGATCCGACCAGACATGCTTTTGAGCCGAAGCTTACCTCGATATCTTGCGAATGGGAGCTAACCCCCAAATGCCTTCGCTATGAGTTTAGTTACCTCCACAGACCCATCTTGTTCCATTGCTCCATTGCAGTGATAAAAGACGTAATTTTAAACGGCGAAATTGCCGAAGGGTTCAGCACCCAACAGCAGCAATATCACTCCGGTCCTGATTTGAGTACAGAGAACGGAGTGCATATGCATGGTTAGCTTGACAACGCTTGCCAGGAAGAAGGACACATTGGGACGATGATAAGAGAGGGGTAATCCTGCCCCGGCTTTTTCTTTTCTTTCTCCAGGTTGGGAGGGCCGGGGTACATCCTAGCCTGGGGAACGAATGACCAGGTTGAAATCCCACGATGCTGACAGAAAAACTGGGGCAACCTTGGAGTTGCTGCTGAAAAAGCAAATAATGGAAAAGGAAGAAAAGGAAAACGCGACAGAAGCTCGCAGAACATGAGCTAGAGGGTGATTGGAGTACGAGAAGAGGAATGTTTATTTGATTGACCTGATCTGACTGGGGCCAGTCCTCGGAAAGAAATAAATGGAAGGCAGACGGCCGGTGATTTCTTGCAGATTTCCTCCTCTCCTTCTCTCTTTCCTCCCTTCCAGTGACAATTCCAGAACTCTCCTGATCTTCTGGTTCTTGTATCACGCATATCAAGAGAGAAGAAGAAGAAGAAGCTATTAACTTAGCTCCATTCACAATGGCAGCAGCCAAATGGTTGATTGCCTCCTTGGCATTTGCCTCGTCAGGGCTTGCATTTACCCCAGAGTAAGTTGATGTTGACCTACTGATCATCATAAATTGCGACGAGACTGGATATTGACGTCTTTTCAGGGACTTCATCTCTGCTCCACGAAGAGGAGAGGCCATCCCAGACCCCAAGGGTGTAAGTCGATATGTTAATCCATAGATACTCTCGGAGGCTCAACTGACGTTTGCCTGAAACTGTTAGGAGCTTGCCGTCTTCCATGTCTCCAAGTACAACTTCGACAAGAAGGACCGCCCATCCGGCTGGAACCTCTTGAACCTCAAGAACGGTGACATCAACGTTCTTACCACCGACAGTGATGTTTCTGAGATCACCTGGCTCGGAGACGGCACCAAGGTCGTCTACATTAACGGAACTGACTCCGTCAAGGGGGGTGTTGGTATCTGGATCTCAGATGCCAAGAACTTCGGCAATGCGTGAGTACATCCATGATCCTGTCCATAACGGTCTATAACTACGGACAAGGGTTCAAGTACTTACAATTGCAACAGCTACAAGGCCGGTTCCGTCAACGGAGCGTTCTCTGGCCTCAAGCTTGCCAAGTCCGGAGACAAGATCAACTTCGTTGGTTACGGTCAATCCACAACTAAGGGTGACCTCTACAATGAGGCCGCCGCTAAGGAGGCTGTCAGCTCTGCTCGCATCTACGACAGTCTTTTCGTTCGCCACTGGGATACCTATGTTGGGACTCAGTTCAATGCCGTCTTCTCTGGTACTCTCACCAAGAGCGGAGACAAGTACAGCTTCGATGGCAAGCTCAAGAACCTCGTTCAACCCGTCAAGTACGCTGAGTCTCCTTACCCACCATTCGGCGGCTCTGGTGACTACGATCTCTCCTCTGATGGCAAGACCGTCGCCTTCATGAGCAAGGCCCCAGAGCTTCCAAAGGCCAACCTCACCACCTCTTACATCTTCCTCGTTCCACACGATGGTTCCCGCGTCGCTGAGCCCATTAACAAGCGCAATGGTCCTCGCACTCCACAGGGCATTGAGGGTGCTTCCTCCAGCCCAGTCTTCTCTCCAGATGGCAAGAGAATTGCCTACCTCCAGATGGCAGCTAAGAACTACGAGTCTGACCGCCGTGTCATCCACATTGCTGAGGTTGGCACTAACAAGCCAGTTCAGCGCATTGCCAGCAACTGGGACCGTTCTCCCGAGGCTGTCAAGTGGTCTTCTGATGGCCGCACCCTCTACGTCACTGCTGAGGACCACGCTACCGGAAAGCTCTTCACCCTCCCCGCTGATGCTCGCGACAACCACAAGCCTGCTGTTGTCAAGCACGACGGTTCCGTCAGCTCTTTTTACTTCATCGGCAGCTCCAAATCTGTCCTCATCAGCGGTAACTCTCTCTGGTCCAACGCTCTCTACCAGGTTGCTACTCCCGACCGCCCTAACCGCAAGCTCTTCTATGCCAACGAGCATGATCCTGAGCTCAAGGGTCTTGGTCCCAACGATATTGAGCCTCTCTGGGTCGATGGTGCTCGCACCAAGATCCACTCTTGGATCGTCAAGCCAACCGGTTTCGATAAGAACAAGGTCTACCCACTTGCTTTCCTCATCCACGGTGGTCCTCAGGGCTCCTGGGGTGACAACTGGAGCACCCGCTGGAACCCACGCGTCTGGGCTGACCAGGGATACGTTGTCGTTGCTCCTAACCCAACTGGTAGCACTGGTTTCGGCCAGAAGCTGACCGACGACATCACCAACGACTGGGGTGGTGCTCCATACAAGGATCTTGTCAAGATCTGGGAACACGTCCACGACCACATCAAGTACATTGACACTGACAACGGTATTGCTGCCGGTGCCTCCTTCGGTGGTTTCATGGTCAACTGGATCCAGGGACAAGACCTCGGACGCAAGTTCAAGGCCCTCGTCTCCCATGACGGTACCTTCGTTGGATCCTCCAAGATCGGAACTGACGAGCTCTTCTTCATTGAACACGACGTAAGTATTCACTCCATGAAAACTAAAACATCCCCTGCTAACCATTATCTCTAGTTCAACGGAACCTTCTTCGAGGCTCGCCAGAACTATGACCGCTGGGATTGCTCTAAGCCAGAGCTCGTCGCTAAGTGGTCCACCCCTCAGCTCGTCGTCCACAACGACTTCGACTTCCGTCTCTCCGTTGCTGAGGGTGTCGGTCTCTTCAACGTCCTCCAGGAGAAGGGTGTTCCCAGCCGTTTCCTTAACTTCCCCGATGAGACCCATTGGGTCACCAAGCCAGAGAACTCTCTCGTTTGGCACCAGCAGGTCCTCGGATGGGTCAACAAGTGGTCTGGCATCAACAAGAGCAACCCTAAGTCCATCAAGCTTTCGGATTGCCCCATTGAGGTCGTTGACCATGAGGCTCACTCTTACTTCGACTACTAGACTCTTTTATGCTTAACGCGACCATTTGATGTCATGTCTTTATAATAGCAATGCATATATTGTAATATCTTCACACTTTATTCTTCCTCTACTTTTCTACCTCTAGTATCAGTATTCAACACATCGGTCTTGCCTCTATCCAACAAACCAATGACTATATTTGCTTGATAGAAATGACCCTCGATCTGGTATCTTGTTGTCCTGTTGCCACAGAGAACCAGAACTCACATCATCCTTGCGTTGATTTTGCAGTCTGAGAACTGCCCTGAGCTGGCAGTAGAAAGTTTCTGTTGACTGTGTAGAGAAGCGCCAGAGGCAGGGGTTGAGTTGTAAACCGCACTTACGAATACTTAAACATATTTAAGCAAATGCTGTGGGTTTAGGATGACAATATATGGCGATGCAGAGCTGGACGAGGCTCAAGACTATGAAACATATTTCTCTGACGGTGAGAAATTAAGTTACACTTAATTCCTTGGTTTGAATCTATGTACTTGAAAATGGGTATCGTACAAAGCAGATGATAGAGAACGAGTAAATGGTAACACGACAAATGAAAAGCGATTAGCTAGGTTGGTTTGCATGAAGCTGACAGTGTATATTAACCAATGTATCGAAAGGGCCTGGAAGACGACCGAGAAATTAATCAGTAGATGATAGGTTTAAGTTAGACACAACAATGACCTCAGTGTGCACCTTAAACGGTAGCAAGATTTGAAGCTAAGTGGTTGTGTTAGACCTTGGACTACCACCAGACTTCTTCATTAGGCCGGCAAAGAAGGTAGCTAGCCCTTCATTACCAAGCTTGCCATCGGTACCTTGACCGATAGGAGGTATGCCGGGAGATGTTGGCCCGCCTGGAGGTGTTGGTGATACGGAACCACTTCTTACCGATGCACGGCTAGCTTCTCTCTCCTAGGTGTGGTCATTAGTAGTGCTGGACATATTCTGAAGAAGATATTAAGGGGAATCTTACCTTTAATCTCCGTAGCATGTCATCAGCATCGACTTGGATGCCTCCCATATTAAACTGTACAGGGCCAATATGCTCATTTACCCGGTTCATATCATCTATGCCCATCATCATGTCTGAGTCTTTGATGACACCGCCGCCCTTGCGCATCTGTCTTTCTTGTTTCTCATCCTCTGCTTTAAGCTGTTCAAGTACCTCAACCTGCTCTGTCAGGAATGCCTGGGAATCAACCGTTGTCACTTCAATTTGACTGCCTTCCGACTGCCTCGTACGAGATATCGATGCAGCGCCTTTGGGATCTTTGATAGTTTGTTCATAAATAGCCACTGCACTGGCTGCAGAATCTGGGTCTTCGCGCTCTTGAGTTTCATCATCATCACCTGAGCTGGATCGTTTCAGAGATTCTGGTGGCCCTTGTATCTCAACGGACCAACTAGTCCCAACACCCTCGATATTAAAACCTTCCCTGATAATCCTTATCTTACCCCATGAATCCCAATTTGAAGGAACTAATATCTTGTCTCTGTCGATGACATTATGTTTGAGAGATTGTCGTTTTAGGAGTGAATGGATACCGAGTGATGACTGTATCAAACCTTGTAGTGAGTTGGCCAAGAATCGGGTGGTATATATTAATGATGATCCATCTGGTGGGGAAAGTATCAGCAATAGGAAGTATACGGGTAAAGTAAAAGAGGAGACATACGCTTGAGAAGAATCGTTCGCATAAACTGTAAGATGTAGTCGAACTCTTCTTCTCTCCAGCCATGATCTTTTTCTAGTTGTTCAATCTTCTCAGCCTGTTTGGTAGAGTCCACGTTAGCACCGGAAGCAGCTTTGATGATAGGATAAACGTACACCCTGACAAACAACACATGTAGGAATGCCCAGCCCTTCATCCCACTCGCCGGGGCCTAGGGGTATAGAAGATACTGGACCAGACCCTGGGACGTGAGAAGGATCTAACCCTCTCCTACGGTCCTTCCAGTCACTCATAACCTCTTCCATAACAACTTTCGTCTCGTCATCCAGTGATATGAGAACCGAGCGCAATAGCCGGACCCATTCTCTCAGTTCTCTAACCCATGTCCAGGGGTTTTCCCAGTCCAGAAGAAAAACTATCAACATCTCAGGGACTGTCTTCGGGTTAATCAAAGGTTGGAGGAGGGGAGCGTAAGATGCTGATGGTTCTGAGAGTAGATAGATTGAAATTCTAGCAAGGATATCTATGGATGCAAGCGCGTATAATTAGCCTACAAATCAAGGAAGTATTAGAGGGTAATCTTCCTTTCTTACCTTCCTGCTCCGCATCGAGAACATTCTGGTATGTATATCCGAGCGCAAACTGGTTTGCAATGGGTGGTGCTTTTTGCTTTCGTCGTTCTGCAGGTAGCCCGGACTCAGCGTGATCGGTAGATAACGTTGCTAGAAACTCTCGTTGGCTCTCTGGGGTACCACCTGGAATAACACATTATTAAAACCGGCCTGCAAATTCCATACCAGGCTACTTCGAAGATATATAGAAACATCAACGAAGCTGAGGCGTTTCCCGGTACGTACCAAGCACTAGCAGTGTCTTTTCCGGTAACCGCTTCCCACTCGCTCCAGCATGAAGCATGGACGACCAAAGCTCCTTTCTCCCATCTTTGCTGGCCGGTCGGCCATCGGAGCCTCCCTTTGAAGCTGAGATCTGGCTCAACCGCTGTCCTGGTTCAGGCATGCTGGCGCGACCATGCCCTGGTATACAGGTGTCTAGCTAGGAACGTGAATGGGGTTTCAGGGATGGTCTGCGGAATGAAACGGCGCAGCAGAGTAATCGTACTCTGGATATTGAGAAGGAAGCCAAATTGACGCCTAAAGAGATGTCGCTGGAGGGTCTTTTAGTCGCTGAGAACGGCGTCCTGGTGAAAGTGATATTTAGGATGTCGGAGATTCAAGTCGAAGATGGAGTTGGTTCTCCTTAACTAGCTATCCATGCCCCCAAGGGGGCGGCCACACACAAGACGCGGTAAGTTCGAGCCAGCGAGGGACCACTAACAACCGGTTATCCTGTCGGCACAGGAGGTTTGTCTCTTCTCTTAATATCGTGCCAGACGAAGCTCAAGTATCTTACGTAGAGTTTTGGACGGCCTTTGGATGTTTTGTTGTTTATCAAGAAGTGAACCACGTGACCTTTAATTTGAGCTTGAGGAAGGAAAAGAAGCAGAAAAGCTACAATAAGAATGAAGAAATTGATAAGGCTGATTATAACTGCTATTATCTTGCTATTCCGACATCTAGAAGTGTAGCTGGTCTATCATGAACGCGATTCGTCAGATTGAAGCTCTAAATAAAAGAGAGCTCGAGAATGCAGTGTAAGGCTTCCATTCTATAGCATCTTGACGGCGCGTTGCTAACAGCTGCTTTGCTTCCGGTTTAGGCCTCCAGAAGCTTCCTGGCACGCTGACTACCGCGACACGGCGTATATCTACATCGGAGGCCTTCCGTTCGATATCAGTGAAGGTGACATATTAACAATATTCTCACAATACGGCAATCCAGTGCATTTAAACCTGGTTAGAGACAAAGAGACGGGCAAAAGCCGAGGATTTGCATTTCTTAAATATGAGGACCAGCGAAGTACGGATCTAGCTGTTGACAACCTTGGAGGAGCTACAGTGCTAGGCAGAGTGCTCAGAGTGGACCATGTGCGGTACAAGAGACGTGATGATGAAGGAACGGAAGATAATCTTGTGAATGTGGATGAGAATGGAGAGATGGAGTCAGACCGGGATGCAGAGGAGGAAAAGGAGAAAGAAAGAAGTAGTCGACGGAGGTCTAGGCGGCATCAATCCGAGGAACGGAAGAGGCCTTCTCGACCGCTATTGAAGGAAGAGGTGGAACTACAGCAGCTGATGGATGAGCATGACGACGAGGATCCAATGAAGGAGTATCTTATAAGGGAGAAGAAGGAAGAAGTCGAGAATGCATTGGCGCTGGTTAAGGCCAAGAGCAAATCGAGTAGGCGAGATCGAGATCGAGATCGCAGCCGGGATGGCCATAGGTCATCCCATCGCCATCGACATCATAGGAGGAGGCACAGTGAAGAACAACCGCGGTCGAGGGAAAGGCGGTCACCACATAGGAGCAGGAGGGAGGTGTCCAGGGAACGGTCAAGCGAACGAAGACATCGTCGAGAACGACGGGATAGGAGTTGAATTATCTCTATCTTGCCTATTAACATCTAATGATACAACGCGAAGTTTCGCAAACGACGGACTGCCCCCTGAAGAAATCCTAATACGCCGCTTTTCTGCAGATGCATCCACGCGAAGGGCGAGTCAATATATTCTCGCGTTTGAGTCAGTCAAACCTCAGGGCTGAAGGATACCAGGCCCTTGTGCCGAACCACGGGCGAGTGCATTGATTCACTTCTCTGCGGTAGGGTTCGATTGGGAATATGACTGTCAATGATTAAACCGGTTCCAAAATAATAGGAACTGTCTGCGTGGATTAGATGATGTTTTCCTTTGTCCTGTGAGTATAAGTATGGGTCGAAATTGCGAATCTCGATTTGCTGGATCAAAATAAAAAGGCGCGGTCTTTCAGCTTCCGAGATATCGTTTCCACCCAGCTCTAAGACACTGCCGGGTCCCGTCACTCGCCTCTTGAAGAACGAAACGTTCCCATCTACCGGCTTTGCCAGCTCCCAGCACGAGCAATGACTTATCGCTCGTCCAGCCGATTATTCCTTTTGAAGGCCGCTCAGAAGGCGCACCTGGTGGCGGAATGTAGTTGGAGCCAAGTGGTTCTTCGCCAATATCAAATCTTGCACTGGCAAATGAGTAGACGTCTGAGAAGACACGGGGAAGAAAAGGCAGTTTGCTTATTATCCCCCATCCCCGATTTGTTGATTCTTCCACGGGAGCGGTTGCCGGTGCATTGTCTGTTTCCTGTCCATTTCTGGCATGTGGGATGTCAAATATGTGTAGAGTTACCTTATCAGATGTGACCGCAAGAAGTGTATTCGATGGAGATATTGCTAGAGAGAATATCTCCGCTGGATCAAGACCTCTTCGAAGCTCAGCCATCTTCGCCCCATTACTAGTAGCGAATAATCTTATAATTGTCCCCTGTAAGCCGGGTTAGCGGATATTATTTTTGGTGATGGGTATGGCTTAAATACTGTTTGACTTGCGGTGGCGAGCACCGCTCCATCACCGCTGAACGTCATTGCACTCAGGGGTGAGGTATGAGCCGGAAGAATGCTAACGTTCCCTGTATCTAATTTGATCAATTGAACCTGTCCTGCGGATCGGCCGGGGACAGCAATATGTGTCTCTCCAAGGCAGACAAGGCCATGTGGGTTCTCTCCAGTCTCGTAGACGGCTATCTTCTTAGGTGGGACTGAAAAGGCGTAGAGATGGACACAGTCATAAAGAGCAACAGCTATGCGAGACTTTGTGATGCGCACTCGCAGAATCGAGGTGCGAAATTCAAGAGTCATGGCAGCGACTTGTTTTGCATCATCCCATATTATTACCTACTGGAAGTGAGTATTCAAACATAGAGAACAAAGCAAAGATCGTGGATACCTTGTTTTGGGGGAACTTGGGGGTATGGCCTCCTCCAACGAGGGCCAGGTAATTGGACTGTCCAACCATCTCAACTATGCCCACTCCCGCGTTGAAGTCTGAGAATTTTATGAGTTAATCGTTCACTGTTAGCGACAGTGTCAAGAGGCCTTACCTCTGGATACCTTGAGCTCGCATGGATCCGAGTTGAATACTATACGAGACATATTAGTTCTATGTTTACCTACAGCCTTCTAACATGCATAGAAACAACAACGACCAGCTTACCGCAGAACCCAGAGTTCAGTCCAACGGAGAAACAGCTGCTGTCACTGTTGAATGAGGCCGTCAACGACACCGGGCCTCCAGAGGCATCAATCATCTCTCTTGTATTCATGATTGTTGGTTTGGTCGACCCCAGCTACCAAGCTACAAACCGATCAAAGAACCACCTCCAAAGCTATACACCCACCCAACAACCTTCTCGCGCGTTGAAATCCCAGTCACTGGCGCTCAAGTGGGCTATCTTAATTCACAAACCGGAAGTTGCTGAGTGTTTGCACGTCCCAAGGCAATTAAATATTTTTATATAACATCATCGTCACTTTGAACCAAACATAAAACGCCATAAGGTCATCGCCGGGTCACATGACAGGGTCACCCAGCGCTTCCCTCTGCTGCTTCTCAGCTTTCTCTGTCACTTGCGGGCGCAAACCAGCCCAGTTGGAGGGTGATTCCGTCTCCCCGCCATCGCTTCTACCCATCTGCCCAACACTAGCAAACCGCCTGTGGCTTCACCTTTCTCTCCATGTGAGTAAAAAAAAAAAAAAAAATAAGGGGCGGAAAAGGGGCAAGGAAAAAAAAAAAAGAAAATTACCAAAATTACAGACGCCCGTAATTCGTGGTAGTGGTGCACAGGCGACGTATGGAGATTACGCACAGGGGCTGTATTGATAGCGTATGAAGACTCTTTTATGGCCAATAAAAAAGTGCGATACTAGGCAAAGTTACAGTATACCCGCAAACGATGCACTTGCCGATACGGTGGGTGACGGTACGGTAACTCCACGTGATTCAACCCCCTAAAGCTGCCCTTGGCCGCAGTTTGTTAATTTACCTCTTTTACTCCTGCCTCAACGCCCAAGAAAGACACTCGCTTCTCCCCCTGCTGAACGACGAGACCAACATCCAGCGCTGTCTCTTGCGTCCGCATCTTTCTCCTGCGCTGGTGACTGTCTGCCTGCTGCTCGACCTCTTCAGTTCAGCTCCCGGATTCCTTCTTTTGCTTCTTCAGGCCACCAAGGGACAAACTTCCTATCAATATCTCAAACCCCCGAGTCCATCACCATGTCAGCCCCAAACAACGTACGTGCCCTCTTTCTCCACGGTATCCTTGCGCTGAGTCCGGTCCATACGGGCCTCTTATGCATGTATACTGGACCCTCTATGGCTGAAAGAGTGAGATATTTACTGACCCGGCGGGCAAATAGATCAGAATCCGTAAGAAGAAGAATGTCAAGAAGGGCATTCAATTTAGTTTGATGGTCTGTGGTGCGAGCGGAACTGGTACGTCTCGTCATCACCCTTGATTATAATCGCCGTTATGTGCTCTTAGCTGATGCCAATGGCTACAGGCCGCACCACCTTCGTCAATACTCTATGTGGCAAACAGGTCCTTCAGGGGAAAGACGCCGATGACGCCCAGACCGCTCACCTTGAGGAGGGCGTTCGCATAAAACCAGTTACTGTTGGTATGGATACCCGAGACTACGATTCTAGCTTGACAGGATGCTGACTCCGTTTGAAAATAGAGCTAGAACTCGACGAGGAGGGTACTCGCATTTCTCTCACCATTGTCGACACCCCCGGATTCGGTGACCAGATCAACAACGAAGAGAGGTAAGCAGTCCATCTTTTTTTACAGTCATTATATGCAAACAGCTAACACTGGCTAGCTTTTCTGAAATTGTTGGATACCTCGAACGCCAGTATGACGACATTTTGGCCGAGGAGTCAAGAATCAAGCGTAACCCTAGATTCCGTGACAACCGTGTCCACGCCTTGCTCTACTTCATCACACCAACTGGCCACGGTCTCCGAGAGCTTGACATTGAGCTCATGAAGCGCCTCTCCCCGCGTGTCAACGTCATCCCCGTCATTGGCAAGGCCGACTCTTTCACACCGGCTGAGCTTGCGGAGTCAAAGAAGCTTATCATGGAGGATATCGAACATTACCGTATCCCCGTCTACAACTTCCCATACGATATTGAAGAAGATGACGAAGACACCGTGCAAGAGAACGAGGAATACCGATCACTGATGCCCTTCGCCATCGTTGGTTCCGAGGACGTTCTTGAGATCGGTGGTCGTAAGGTACGGGCCAGACAGTACCCTTGGGGTGTTGTAGAGGTCGAGAACCAGCGCCACTCCGACTTCCTGGCTGTCCGCAGTGCTCTCCTCCACAGTCATTTGGCCGATCTCAAGGAAATCACCCATGACTTCCTGTACGAAAATTACCGTACCGAGAAGCTCAGCAAGAGCGTTGAAGGAGGTGCTTCTGCGTATGTTTTCACACTTTCCTCAATATACTTTACTGGTTGCTGCTTGGCCATTATGTTAACGACATTTTAGTTCTCACGACTCTACTATGAACCCTGAAGACTTGGCTTCCCAGTCTGTCCGCCTCAAGGAAGAACAGCTCCGCCGAGAAGAGGAGAAGCTGCGTGAAATCGAGCTCAAGGTGCAGCGTGAGATTAACGAGAAACGACAAGAGCTTCTGGCCCGTGAGAGCCAGCTGAGAGAAATCGAAGCCCGCATGCAGCGTGAACAAGCTGCCCAACAGAGCCAGGATCCTAACGGAGACGCGGCATAAGCAAAACTTCCTGCCAAGATATGAAGCTAAGCAGCTAAGAGGGAGTTAAATAGCTAATACTTGCGCCGTTTGATACTGCGGTTAGGACCTTTTTCTTTTTTTGATATTCGGAACGGAGGTCGCACACTCTCATACACAGAGTGCGTAAAAGGAGGAATGATCCCAAGTCGCGCATGCTGAGGGGATATAAAAGAATAATGGGAAGTAAATGTCATGCTTGGAGAGGGAGACTCGCGTTTTTACACCAACCATTAGAGTGCACATTTCCCTATTACTGTCACTCGTTTTTCTACATGCCTTCTTTGTTTTATCCTCATGTATACCTCAAATCTCAACCAACCTCCACTCCCTAGCTTTCCCTTTTCCTTTTTTCTCCCCCCGACACCCTTTCGCTTCTCTCCTTGTGTTCCTATCTGTGGTTTCTTACTTACCTTTCCTCGGCTATTACGTCCCTATCTTGCTTTGCTTGAACTTCAGCTCTCCAACTTCTGCCAAGTAGGGGGTACCCCCTATCCAGCCCGGTCATCCCTTTATTTTATCTTATGCCCTCTATTCTTTCTCCTGATGCAACCACCGCCCACCATTTTTCCATACCCGGTTACCGCGCGTGTTTTTCTTTGACCTCTTACTATTTTAAAGAACAAGAAGAGTAGTTTAATTAATGGTTATTTAATCCTATGTTCCCTTTCCAACTTGTTGTATCGTCTGCTGGCCTAATTTTTATGACTTGATCAGGCCATCACGTACGGTGCAGGAGATTAAAATCTTTTTCCCACGCATGAGGAAGCCCGTTTCGCTTCCAATATCGATCCGTGTCGTTTCAGCTGGATTCTAAACATGGCTTTTTATGTGCGACTCTAACGGCAGTTTGAACCCGTTGTCGTTTGTTACTGTTGGTCCGAATCCCGTTGCCACGATTCATGTCCTACGTCGCAAAGCTGAGCAGCAAAGAAGCAAAGTGAAACATCGAAAACATGATAACAAACTAAGTAGCTAATCTATACAATCTAATTAACATACGTAGGTAGAAGCAAGGAAGCTACGGACAATGAGGAAACAGACATGATAGGGAGAGCATCAAAATCCTATCCACAACTTGCTAGTTTGATTGATTGATCGACTGCTTGCCAGAAGAGAGGGGGTATCTCAAGAGTTGCATGACGAGCCTTATGAGAACATTCGCGAATCATTCCGTATGTGAAGAGAAGTGAAGTGAAGAAAAGGAGAAAAGTAAAGAGAATAAAAGGCACTAACATAAAAGAAATCAAGAGAAGAAGAGGGGGAAAGTAGGTAGATATGTAATTAAAATATTTCAAAGATAGAAGAAAGTCGAAGACGTGAGAATGAAGCGGGATGGAGAGGAAGAAAAATACAGTGGAAGAGAGGAAGACGGTACCAGGTTGATAAGTTAACCTATGTATGTAGTTGGGATGAATTAGTCGTTGGTGGACGCCTGGAGGTAGTAGTGGTTAGGAGGTTAGGGGACATGGTATAGAAGGTCAGAGACATGGATGGGAAAGGCTTTTTCATCGAGGTAGCAGGAGGGATATGGTATGGTTTTGGATTTTGTCGTGGTTAAGAAAGGTGGCATCATCATCAGAAACAGGAGGGAGGAGGTGCGAACGGAGGAGTGACATCAGGCATTATGCCCATTCTGCTCATGGGTGAGAATGGGTCGGCTAAGAATTAGAAGGCAGGTGCATAAACGCTCGAGGATTTGGAAAATTTGAACGCCGTATAGGACAAGTTGAAGAAAAGGCAGTAAGTAGCTTCAAATGCTCCCAAAAAGATGGAAAGAAGCTGGACGAAGATATCCCGTTACTCCCATGGTGTTGATTATTTGTTGTTTTTCGTTATTCCTTGGTGAATTTGCAATCCTGTTTTACTCGTTTATGCTGGTTTGTTCCAAAAGTCAAGGCTGGTGACGACATCTTCTCCGTTTTCATCTTCGTATGCATAGATTATCTGTGGTAGGGGTTAGTAAAGGTATGACTAAAGCCGTGGTAGATGAAAGGGTAGAGTGAGACAAACCTCTCGAGTAGAAGAATGCAGCATACGAATATTCCGTCCTGTCATAACGTGAACCAATTCGCTGGTTTCAAGATGCCGAATTTCAATGAAGCTGGGCTCAAATGCTAGGATGTATGGATAAGATAGGGCGAAGGCAGTAGGGTTGCCTTCCCAGGCAATTCGCCAGTCTGGACGGGCTCGCCATCCGTTACGGTTGACGAAGAAAGAGAAGTCAGAGTAGTTGAGTAAGAATTCTCCATTTAGTCGTTCAATGTGGATGGGCTTCACGTTTTCTTTTCTTGCAACAAAATCCAGTGAGGTGTCTGCTTGGTCGAGAAGGGATTGTCTCTCAGTGGTTTCTAGACTGACCACTTCAAAGCCACGAGAGCAACCGACACAGAGAGTTGAGCGTAAGAAATGAACCGAAGATGATTCAGCAGGGATGTAGAATTCCTGAAAGGATTTGGTTAGCGATTGCATTGGAAACATTGAAGAAAACATCAGGATTAAGTACCTTGAAGGGTTTCAAAGCATCCTGACCGGACTGGAACATCTTGCTGAGAGGTTTCTTCTTGCCCTTGGCCAAATTCTCCATAGGCTCGAAGACTTTTATGGTTGTTGATAGAGTCGAGGTCTTCACGGAGCACACCAGGTGTCTTCCGAGACCAATGCCGGATTTGAAGAAATTAGCGTGACCCTGAATCTTCTTGGGCCGCCGCACCATGGCGCTCTGGTTATCGCTTGTATCTAAAGCCTCAAGTGGGTATGAGCTAAGTGTCTTGTTGGCAAGTACAAGCAGCAGCTGGTATTCTTCCAAGGTATCAATCTGGGTTACCGCATTGGCTTCAAGGACACGCTTTGGAGTTGCGGGTTTATCCTTTGGCCAACGTTCAGACACATAGATACCATTATCTGTTCCATATACAAGCTTGCGACCACCATCTGCATAGTTGTCATGTTAGTGGAAGCCTAACGTAAAATCATGAAAAAAGCGAACACAGGTACGTACCAATTGGAACCAAACAATTGATCCTATTGACTGCACTGAAGAAGCCCTCGCAAAGGATAGTCTTGGAATAGAAGTTACTATTTCGCTCCCGCAGTTTTCTCTGTTGCTCTTCGACCAGTTCAATGAACCGTTTCCGCTGAGTCTGGGAGGTTGCGTGTAGAGTTATCTCATAACCCCCTTTACCTAAGTGACGGAAGGTAACAGGCAGGCCCTCCTTGGACGAAGCTGGAGTCGTACTGGCTGTTCTGGTTCCTGGAATCAGGCCACCGGCAGTAGGGCGTTTATGAATGCCAAGTTTAGGCAACACTTCTTCCATTTGGGTGATGACAAGAAGCTCAAGCGGGATAGGCTTCCGATATACCCTATACTCTTCTCGTTTATTCACAGGTTTTATGCGGACAAGTAGGACAGAGTGATCAAACAGGTAGGCTGTAACTTCTGCCGAGTCGGTCGGACCCTTCTTGAATGCCATCTTGATCAACATCACTCGGTTCTCCTCAGTGAGCTTCAGATCAACGTAATCTCCCGGGGTAAATTTCAAAGCAGAGTTCAGTTGCACAAGGTTGAAGTGGTTCTCTGCTTTTCCACTCTCTGTGTTCACCCGAGAAAGGAAGTCTCGGATAAGGACAATGGCCTTGGGGATATCCTCCTTATCTGGGCTATCGTCGGCAGTGTATTTAGCCACACCTTCGAGAAGAAGTGGATATCTCGCCAATCGAGTGGTAGGCTTGGTAAGGTAACCGTTCAGTTCGAGTTTTCGAGACTCCTTCAGGCGCTCTGTCTCTTCAACAAATTTGGCAAACGCAGGGTTCGAGGATCTCTCCTTTTCAAATTCATACTTTCCGTGAAGCTGGTTTGCACCGTATCTAATGAAGGGATCGAATCGAGGGACGAATTGAAGGAATATATCACCGATGGTTTTCACAACTGGGGTTTCCTTTTGTCGCGCGTTGAGGGCTTCACTTAATTTGGAGTTGACGCTCAAAACTTCCAGACAGTTACCAAACACAGTTCGGATAAACTTCTCTCGTCGATGCTCAGGGATCGGGGAAAGGCTAGGGTTGTTGGGGGATCGTAGAGGGCGCATCCAGAAGTCTCTCAAGTATTCCAAGTCCTTAACGAAGTCACGTTCGGTGTACATCATCTCGAAGATGATTTCTTGTCGCTTCTTCTCACGGTCCTCAAGACTGTCAGCTACTTCCTTGGGCACCATGTTGATCCAAAGCTTCTGATCGTCATTGTCCTCATGGTCATGAAGACTTCCCTTGGAGGCAGATGGTCTCAGTCCCGGTTGGGGCTTGAGGTTCAATCTTGCTTGTTGCTCCAACCGTCGCGGGCAAGCAATTGAATAACAGAGTTGGTCCCTGGTACAAGTAGGAGAATAACACTCTGTCAAGAGCGTAAATACTCCGTTGACATCATTGACAGGTGACTCTTCACCTAGGGTTTCCCTAAACTGGTAGAGTTCACCTGGAGCATCTCGTAATCGATGGTCATACGTGACATCATGGAAGAGTTTTTGAGCATCAAGAGCCCGACCAAGAAGGAGAGCTAGGTTGCGGTCTGTTGTCTTAATAATGTAGGATATCAAGTCAACAGCCTCTGCGCCGGTAAAGGCGTTAGTGTAGGCTAGGTCATTTTTAATGCGCTCACCAACAGCAATGCGCTCCCTAAAGACAGCAGCTACTCGAGATAGGAGAGCTGGGTAGGCGAGCGGCGTTCTGCGGTGAACGTTGTTTGGTGGAGGCGCTCCAGCCATGGAGGAATTAGGGGATTTGGCGGCGACAGGTTTTTGCAAACTGTTGTTGCGTTCGGGGGCGATGGTTGATGCCATGGATAAAGTACGTGAATTAACAGAGCTTTCACTGGGATGCCGCACTCGCAATTGAAGATCTTGCTGTGAGGGTAGCGCATGATGTCCAGAGTGCGAGGGAACCAGTGGCTCATCTATAGTTGGTTGTATTGATACTGGTGATTCTGAATAATGGCGGTCCATACCTCCAGCCCGTTCCCGTTCCAGACCCGACTCTCGTCTTCTATTTGGTACAACTCTTCCGGAACTGATGGTTTGGGCGTGGTCGCGGTCTGCCGAGTAAGAACTCATTGACATGGCTCGTTCGTTATCATGCCTTTCTGGAACGATACGGCCCTGGGCGGTTCTAGAACCCATAGAATGATATTGCTGGCGGAAAGCATTGACAGGGGTCGGAGGGAATTGTGACTGCGGCGATTGGTATGAAGGAGGCCCTCCTAGTCTAGCCATTGAACGAGACCGATACTGATCTGAGTTGAGAGCTGGAGGAGGCAAAGGGCGTCCGTGCGGATTTTGCTGTTGGAACTGAGGAGGCATGGGTCCTGGGCGGGAGTCTAGTCGTTGGGGGTGAGGGTACTGAGGCCGACCGGCGTAAGGTCGTTGGTGCATACCAGAAGGGTATTGCTGCGGGTTCTGAGGGGGCATAGGACGTTGTTGATGATGGGGAGGTGGCGGTGCGCGTTGTTGTGGGGGAGGTCCCGAGCCGTTAGGTTGTTGCCATTGAGAATTTTGATATCCCGCCTGCGGATTCGGCGGGTATCCGCCACGAGACTGTCGCATAGGAGGAGGCGGCCCCCGAGATTGGGTGTACGGGTCTGACTGGTGAGAGGTCATTGTATGGGCGCGTTCCTGGTTAAACTGCGGAGAGTGCGATGTCATCGTCTGAGACCTGCCTGGAGGCGGCGTTCCTCCGAAAATTTCTGAGAATGCAGCATCTCGCTGGAAGGAAGAAGAAGCAGGGCCACGAGAGGCTCCAGGCCGGTAACCTCGTCCTTGCTGGGCTCCCAGATCTGCCATAGTAGATATGCCTCTTTCTCTCACACACACTCACACGCACACACGCCTCTTATGTAAGTATGAAATAGCCCTCGGATATAAAGCTGGGGTTCTGGTTTGACGTATTGGGTGTGATTCGAGTACTACCGAGTCTGTCGGTAGGAAGACCTGGCAACTTATTCACTTCGTAGTAACATCCAAATTGGAGGCCAAAAAAAAAGGGAAGAAGAGTGACTGCGAGTTTGTGGTGGTCAGCTCCCCTGCATTCTCCGAGTAGCTCAACCACGCAAGTCAAACGGTGACCGAGCGAAAAGACGACGCAAAAGGAGAACGTCCACGCGAGCTGTATCCAGCAAAGAGGAGTAGGACAAGCGCTCTTTACTGAGGCCAGCAGGGAGATGGCTTCGGCAGGGAGCAAAAGCTGCGTGTCTTTTGCTGGGGGAGTTAGATAGGGATCCCCTCAATGCCCTCCAGACAGAGGAAAACTCGGAGGTCCCGGTGCAGGAGGACAATGCCGGGCCAGCAGCAAGCTGTGAACGGAGGTGAAGACGTCGATGGAGTAGCTCTGATGGTCGAGCAGCATGCACGAAGGAGGCAGACGAAGATGTCGTTGAGCCGCGAGTTGAAGATGTTTCTTCTTCGTCTTTTTGGATGTTCGACCTTGACCTCACGAAGCAGGCGGCCGAAAGGGGTTTAGCCCGGTATTGCGGTAACTAATAGTACAGGGACGCCCTCGATGTGCCGACGCAGCGGGTTCTACGGCAGATTTTTTTTTTTTTTTCAGCTACCAGGAAGCAAGAAAGTAGCAGAGACCGGGAAGATGCTCCTTTGCCACAAAATCCAAGTGAAGTCACAGTGAATGCAGAGCGTGTGCTGCGTCCCTGCGGCTGTATGGCGGCTGTATTTGGTGTATTCACGTGATCTGGATCCTGATTGGGTCTGAATCTCAAATCTTTGAACATCCAAAAGACGAGGAACAGAGATAAACAAGAGAGACAGCTAGGCAAGAGACTGGAGAAGAAGAGATAGCGGACGCTTCATTACGAGATAGAAAGGCACCCTGTCTAGCGAGAGAGTAGAGTAGAGTAGACGACGAGGACGAGGACGAGGACGAACACGAAGCAGACTCGCTGACGATAAACAAGAGCTACAGCTGCCTACGGGAACTCATCATCCCAGACGGTGGGTGAGAGGACCGCCTTCGATCACGAACAAGATACAGCCAGGAGCTGCAGACACAATGGCAGAGAGCGAGCTTGCTCCCAAGTTTGCCCCCTTTATCGGGATGGTTAGTTCTGGTTCCCTGTTGTTGTTATTGGATGGCCGGGCTTAAAGTCATGGACTAACCTCTTATCATCGACGGACCAGGCCGGTATAGCTTCTGCTGTAAGTACCTATCTACGACACCAACTTATCAAAGGGCATTGCTGATGGATGCATTACTAGATAATCTTTGGATGTACGTTTGGCCTTCCTGTGCACAATGGGAATATAGGAATCTCCTCATACTGACAATGTTACCCTTTCCAGGTGTAGGAGCGGCATATGGCACAGCAAAGGCCGGAATTGGTATTGCTGGTGTCGGAACATTCAGACCTGATTTGATTATGAAGGCATGTTACCGCATCTTACCCGCTGGCTTGTGTGAAGGGACACTTTGTTAACATAGATTCACCCTATAGTCACTGATACCCGTTGTCATGGCCGGTATCATCGCCGTGTACGGACTTGTCGTTGCCGTTCTGATTGCCGGAGATCTGGGGCCACCACCAGAAACGCAGTATAGTTTATATGCGTATGTGAAGCTCATAATACCTTGGGACACAGACGACTGGACGGCTACTGACTAGGTGGTAGGGGATGTTTACATCTTGCGGCTGGTCTCTCAGTCGGCCTTGCAGGCCTGGCTGCCGGTTACACTATTGGAATCGTCGGCGAAGCTGTAAGTTGTGCCACTACAGCTCTGCTTGATCCTGTACTAAAAAAAAGATGCCTAGGGAACACGCGCGTATATGCAACAGTCCAAGGTGTTTGTAGGAATGGTCTTGATATTGATTTTTGGCGAAGTCCTGGGTCTATATGGGTATGTTTGCCATTACCCACATTTGTCAATAGTTATGTGCTAATTCTCTGGCTAGTTTGATTGTTGGTCTGATTCTAAACTCGAAGAGTTCTGCATAGACGTGCTTCATTTCTCGAGAACTTTTGCTGTCGTTTAATGGACACTTCTGCTTTCTCCCTTTCATATTATTTACCATCTCATCTGCCACGTACCACTTACCACCTACCATCTACTATATCCTGCTATCTCCAGCAGACAGCATGCTCTCCAACGTGCCCCCTTGCTGTATATACTCCAGCACCGCGCCCCAAACTGCCATCTAGCCAGGTATCGGGCTGTTTCGGGATGTTCTTACCATTCTTTCTTGCTCTAGACCTGCTTCCTGCGCTCTGCATGTACTCTACCAATAACTAATATCATCGTCTCTTGTCTGCTTCCACCTTCCGCTTCCTCTTCCGCCTCCCCCTGCCGTCCTCCTTTCTTCCTCCTCTCTCCCGCCCTGCTCTTCCCTGTCCATATACCTGACTAAGCCATGACTAATCTCCTATTACGTCAGAGAAAGTCGCAAGTTCCGCCGCCAGAGCTTTTTCCGCTTCGTTTTAGCTTGCCTGAAGACGAAACGAAAGAGAAAAAGCCCCCCGGACGGCGATGTCTCGTGTGCTTCTCCTTCGGCCTGCGGACGCTTCCGGACATCAATGGCGATTGTCGCGCCCATCAGCTTGCCTCGTTTGCGCCCTCAATGCCCGCTGAACAAGCTGCAACTAACTACGTCACCCAAGTATCGCTCTACGCCGAAATCTCCGAACCGGTTTCGCTGGGCTTGGTCTCCTTTTTAGGCGTCCATCGTGTCGGCATGGCGAGGTGAAAAACGGAGAGCAAACAGATAAGAGAAGGAATTTGCTAGGGAAATACCAAACCACAGAGTTACTGCCTGCTTGGAGATATACGAAATACACTACAACTACAACTGAAGGCGGGGGAAAGGAAACGCATCTCTTTGTGATGGCAACAACGAAGATGATCAAACAGCTGTTGCCTGACATAGCGCATGCGAAGGAGCAGCAGCACCAGCAGCAGCAGGTACTGGAGCAGGATCATATAGAGGCTGAGGTCAAGCCGGACCGTCTCTCATGGCCGGCATCGAGACCTAGGACTCCCAAGGACGTTGTTCAAGCCCGGCTGAAGCAGGATGCCGGTTTGCCCGATAACGGACTTGCAATTGACGACTTTGATCTCATCAAGACCCTTGGGACAGGTACGTGCCAGTCTACCTTATTGGATCTATGCCGGACGCTACTAACATGTAACAGGCACCTTTGCTCGGGTATGGTTTGCCAGGTTAAAGGCTGTCAAAGAACCCAACAGGGACATCTTTGCTCTGAAGATACTCAGGAAAGCCGAAGGTAAGCTACCCGATCCCCCCCCCAACTACTCGGGAAGCGGTGCGCCATTGTCTAACGGAGGATTTTTCTCACCTGCAGTGATAAAGCTGAAACAAGTCGAACATGTACGAAACGAAAGCAAGTGCCTCTCCAAGGCTGCTGGTCATCCTTTTATAACGACGCTAATCACCACCTTTTCGGATGAACAATGCCTCTATATGCTGGTGTGGACCTATCATACCTCTCCCTTTTTAGCCTATGTTCTACGGACTCCCCGGCTAACCATGTCTAGCTTGAATACTGCCCTGGCGGCGAAATATTCAGCTTCCTCCGGCGAGCTCGCAGATTCGACGAATACACTTCGAAATTCTACGCAGCTGAAATAACATTAGTGATCGGGTACCTGCATGACATGCATGGAATAGCCTACCGCGACCTCAAGCCCGAAAACATCCTCCTCGATCAGGAAGGTCATCTCAAACTAGTCGACTTTGGCTTCGCAAAACAGCTATATAACCTCGAGACCTACACCCTCTGCGGCACACCGGAATACCTCGCTCCTGAAGTCATACACAACAGCGGCCATGGCCTTGCAGTTGATTGGTGGGCCCTGGGAATCCTCATCTACGAGTTTATAGTCGGTCAACCGCCCTTCTGGGACTCAAACCCAATGGGAATATACGAAAAGATAGTTGCAGGATGCATCCGTTTTCCCGCGAACATGCCTGCCTCAGCTAAGGATATAATTAGTGCTCTTTGCAAGGTCAATCCGTCCGAACGGCCGGGCCATATATCCGGAGGAAGTCAGCGGGTTCGGGACCATCCATTCTTTGAAGGTATCGATTGGGACGACTTATACAACAAGCGGGCTAAGGGACCGATTGTGCCGCGGGTGAGCCATCCTGCAGATACAGCGAATTTCGAAGAGTACCCGGACCCTCCGGGCCCAGCTACGCAGGCGGTGTATACCGATGAGATGAAGGCACGGTATGAAGAGATATTCCAGGACTTTTAAGCGAGCTCTTGGACGGGACTACATAATTTTTTTGGGGGCAACCTTGACGGCCGGGCTCATTTGTGCGAGTTTCTTTTGGGCTCGCTCACAACGTCACGCACATTGCGACCTCAACGTTATTGGCATCAGCATTCGACATTGATAAATCATCTACCCCCATCACAACCTCCTGGCACTACCTCCGTTGTACCATTTTCTTTTCTCCAACTTTATATACGTGATTCTTACGGTCACGAAAACGCTCCGGGCTATCTTTCCTTCGGGCGGCGGTTCACAACTGCCTTACAGCCTATATCTACTTATATACCATTCGCAGTTACATATTCATCTTACCATTTATTTACTTATAAAACACTACATATGTATCTCATATATCTTGACTGAGTGCTTGGATATTGGAGTTGACAGAATAATATGCCTCTCATTTTGTCTCTCAACGCCTAGTAAACTGGATAGTGTAGGCGGAGTCTAAACCGGTTGAAAAATCTATGTACTGTGGTAATGCTGCCCGAGTGCCGGTAGGGGAAAAAAAAAAGAATAGGTGAATATGGACAAAGAAGAGAAATGCAGGTCAACTAGGAAAAATAAACAAGAGTGCCTGCTCTGGTTGTAAGAGGAGTGTGCCGCTTCTCGTTGTCGCCGAGAGTGGGAGTATAGCGAGCGAGAACTGAGTAGAACGAAGGAGATGGTATCAAACGCAAGTAACGAGAGTGAGTCGAAAAAGAAAACGGGCTGATGGGGTCTGGAGACCTCAGCGGGAATCACTAATCTTAGGAATAAAGGTCCCCCCTCTTTAAAGGGATTTTGGCTGTAAGAGAAGGTCGTAAAGCGGTCGTTCAACGGCGGTATTAGAGACGAAAAAAAAAGATATTGTCGGGTAGTAAAAATTACCAGTGTCCGATTCTTCTGTCTTCAACGGACTTCCACGTTCCTGCATGACGGGTAACAGTTAGATAAGTTCTGCTAGGTAGTGGTGTGCTTTTCAATGTACGTGTATGAGGACATACCTGAGAACTCGTGCTGGACAAAAGCCATGTCGCTGTCTGCTTCTTCAGAACCCATCTGCTGGACACCAGGACTGAAGCTCGTGATTGGTAGAACGACAACATCGCCTACTTGCTTCTGCTTCGTCATGCCAGTGAAATGGTGCGCGGAAATGTTTCGAAGCTTGCCATCTTCACTGGGGAAGATGAGGGGATCATTTAAATGTCTGAAGATAGCGTCCGTCCAGACCGCAGGGCCGGTGAACTCCACAATTGATTTGTCCATATCCTTCTTCGTGAGAATTCCTTCCTCCTTCATACGCAAGGCATCCTCGGTGATGCTAGCAATGACATCCCGCAGAACAGGATGGCCTGGCTTCGACTGGATGGTCCATTGACAAAACTGAATCCTGCGGGAGTACCATTTAGCCCAGTCAGCACGGTCTGGGTCCGCCTCAATGCCCACGACCAATCCGAAAGTTGACCGGTCAAACGTTGCTGGTATCCATTCTGTTGCTGATCGAAGGGCAGTGGTGTCGATATCGGAATATATCCCCCCTCGAGCATGAAGAATCAAGTATCGGAAGAAGTCAGCCTTGAGAACCGGCAAGGGCAATGACTCGTATGCTTCGATGATCTCCGGGAAGGAACTGTAGAGGTATTTCAAGAAGTAGATCGCACTCTCATCGTCCACGACCTGGTGCACGAATCCAGGGTGCAGTTCGGTCCAGCTCGCTTCTAATGGCCGTAGCATAGGGTCGAACTCCCCGTCTGCGGGAGTATACTTCCATGTCTGCCAGATGTATCCAGGGAACTTGGCCTTTACGCCATAGGGGAAATGATATTTAAGACGGCCCAGGAGTGTAGTTGGCTCCGGTTCAGGCTCTTTCACGGGCTCGGACTCGGTTTCGGGCTCCTGTTCAGGTTCCTGTTCAGATGGAGAATTGGCCTTAGACCCCAGCTTAGTAGTGAGTCGAGCGTCCGGTGGCTCTGATCGTTGGTGATGAGTCCCCGGTTCAGCCTTAGCCAGCGAGGGCTTGAAGTGGGCTGTATGCAGCAGGAAGATGCCAGAAAGGATGAAAAAGGCAATGACCACGCATTTTCGAAAGGAAATCATGTTTGCTCCAGGCTATATTGAGCCGAGAACCCGCATTGACGCCCAAAGGAGCTGGATGTTGCTGGTTTGAAAGCTGTCCCGGAGCTGGTTATAGTGTTGAAAACAAGGTCCCCTTTGCACTCTATATACGATATTAGAAAAGAGACCTGCGCAAATTACAACAGTTAAAAAAGAAGACAAAGATGATGATGATGAAGACGACGAACAAAAGAAAGAGAAGACGCAAAGGAATGACAGAATGAAAGAAAGGAAGGAATGGAAGGGAAAAGGCTGGCGGGTTGGGCGTGATGTATGCAGGCCGTGGCTGAGGATGGATGAGAGAGCAGAGGAGGATCAGGCGTGTGTTTTGGTTGGAGAAAGGGAGATCTTTGGGTCACGCTTGACAAAGCAAGCTTGCTGACTTACCTACAGCAAGGCCGGCGACGTCAACTTCATCTCCTGCTATGGGGTCAAAGATGGAGAGCAACCACGCCACATGCGAGAGACAAGATCAACCTTCCGAACCAGAGCAGCAGCCCGCAGAGTATATGTGCCCCAGGCTATTATATTGCTGTTAAGCAACGCAAGAAGGCCACTGCCGCCGTCTCTATCCTCGGGCGGCCCAGCTTCGTTGCGCACCCCTAGTCCCTCCAGGTTCAACAGACTCGCCATCCCAGGCAGAAGAAAACACCGGATTGACCATCGGACGGGCCTCTCATGTCGCATGTCCTCCACTGGTAATCACGGGCAGGCACAGAGTTCCCGTTACGCCTATCTGCCCGGCCCCATAATATGTGGTTCTGGACTGCGGGCTCGCACCTGGCTCCGTATGGCTCCGTGGCTATATTCATGTCATCCGCTCCTCTAGCAAAGATTCGATCCAATCCTTTGCTCAAAGTTGCACAAGCTTTTCTGCTTGGTGCATCAACTGGGATGGGTGTTACTACTTAGAAGAAACACATGAGAACATCCAATGAGGCCCGACAGGCCCGTATCTCCGCCTTTCCAGTGGATGCTGACCGTATGGGGTGTTCTGAAACGCGGATCAGCTCTTTTCAAAAGATGACGACGCAAGAAGAGACGATGATGCTGCTTTTTTTTTTGACCTGAGGTCGAAGGTTGTCTTCGCGGCTGGCATCCCTGCGCGTGTCCCTGGCTAAAGTTCTCGAAGGGAGATATTAACGCCCCTGTTAAAGCCGGCTTATCAGGGGTGGGGACGCTTGTGGAGGCAAAGGAGAATTTATTTGGTTCGCCCTATTCCGCAAGAGGGACGGCCTTGTCTCTGCAGGCTCAGAGTCAAGGCTTGGGGGAATCAATCCTTGATCTTGCGGAGGGCATTGCAGAGGGTTTTCACAGCAACGACAGGCTTCTTCACGAGGAGACGGCACAGAGAGGGTTTAACATGCGCTCGTATGGATGATGGGATAATCATTCCCAGATCAAGTCAATGGTGAATGACAAGCTTCGTCCCATCCGTCGCTTTCACAGTGTATTCTTTGTGACCCCTTGTGAGATAAGGAAGATAGGCCTATAATGACAGACGCATATGGCTGTCTCAATAATGCACTGTACAAGTCCCATCCGCGAAGCTAGCCTATTAAGACGAACATGATGTGAGGTGTACAGTTGCCTCGGAACATAGGCTGTTTCGCATGCGTTGGAGATGTTGCCAGTTATCAGCCCCGTCCCTTAAGTCGTTAAACGAGATGGTCAAGTTTCAAGGCTGTGCACGACCGAACCGTTCGGCCTTGGAGTGCTCGTTGCTTTTTCCTGCCGGAGTGACGTCCTCTGACCTGTTTGGCTGGTCATCTCGTTACCTGCTCAGCCAGTATGATATGGGAGATGTCTACTCTGTACTGCACCCATGATTGCTTCTCATGAGGTCCTCCCAGTTGATCTGCTACTTGCCCTCCCTGTACTCTGTAACCTGCCCACGGACATGGGCATTTAGTGGCACAGATGCAACGCTGCTGACGTAGCTGTATATTGTACCCACCAGAGGCAATGGAAGGCGGACTCCTTTGCCTCAAAGATACATATAGGGGGGTCTTCTTGGCTGCGAAGTTTCTCCGCTTTGAAGGATAGAAGTTTCCATACAACTTCTTCTCGTATCTCCAGGTTACAGACGCCGCCCTTCGATCGACAGCAGTGCCAACGTAAGTCCCAAGAAATGCCCTGGCAAATAATGGTCGCGTCAACAAGGCGGTTACAAGGATTCATTCCCGAAATAACTAAATCTGGACGATCGACGAGCAAAATACGAATATGGTTTAGTATGGCTATCCATTACGCCTTGCGTTCCTAGCTTCACTCGGGTCAAAGGACCGATTCTGGGCTATCACCACTGAATTTCCAGAGTAAGTACATACGCTATTCTCTGACGAAAGAACAGTTCAACTTGAGCATTGAACTCTCACCCGGTACGAAGAAGGTTGAGTGAGGGGATTTCATACTGTGTATCTTCCACTTGCCGTCGTTAGTTCAGGTCACATCCGTCGATTGCCATGAGCGTCCGTCGGCAATCCACGTACGGATTATCCATTACGGGAGCTCAAAGATGATTTGAGCTTTCCCCGCTCTGGCTGTGGCCATCTCCTGGATGTTTCTGCGGGGCTTGCTTCAGCGAGATGCATGCATTTTTTCTGGAGCCATATCCGGAGTAGTCGGATCATTTATAGCTTGGGTGCAGTTAGTTATCATTAGGGAAATCCAGTTATCAGACCATTTCCCTCACTGCATCATCCTCGGTTCCTTATATTAACCACTAGCAACTATTTCAGTCCGAACACGCTACCTGACGATGTCGAATGCCCAACGTACTCCGTCCACATCATAATACCGGCGGGAAAATATGAGCGGAAGACTGAGAAACATTGGGGTTTGGCAGGCTGCATAATTGAGTACCGTGTAACCATGCATAGCTCCGTTATTCTTAGTAATAATCCGGTATGTACATCGTTGTCGATAAGATCTGTAAACAGCGGCTGCTGCGGCCCACCATCTGGATCGAGAGGCCAGGAAGCTCTTGGTCGATGGCCGATCCAAAATCAACTCCCCGGCAGCACCAACAGCAATGACGTCGGTGCCCATGGGGTAACTGAAACGGATATCCATGGGGGAGTTTGGGCAACGAGGTTATCCATGGTGGGCATCTGGATGCTTATATCACTGTATGATCTGCCCTTTTGTCCGCACAGGCTTCCCCCTACCGTCAATCCTCTCACAGCCATGATTAGAGTGGTTTACGTAAACAGATGGGTATCCCTGAGATGTACATAGCTTATATATAAATCGGGTTATAGCCCCAAAGGCATGGTCGTGTTCATCAGATCAACACAGCTAGGGCCATGGTCCATGAGGACCATAACGACAGGTTATTAAAGTGGGGTACCGCAGCAGGTACAGCTATTAGCAAATAGCAAATATCTTGGGCAACTTCCGGTCAGTACATTTCGTTTCAATAATTGCTAACTTGAGCTGTTTGTCGTTGTCGTTGAAATTCGACATGCTCGATACAGCCATTTCATGGCTGTATTAGTCATTAAACTCTAGCGCAAAAGGAGTAGGAAGGGGATCAAACACTATTGGCCAAAATATTATTTTGGCTACTCTCCTTGTAACAATGCGCTGCTTCTATTGGCTAGGAAACGTATTCAAAGTCGATGCTCATTTTCAGAATTAATCAATGCCATTCCTTTATGCTCAATTATTTTCATTTAATATAATTTATGATTGGTTAAAAAAATTGGCAGGAATGAATAATACAGTTTCAACCTACCACAATGTCTGTTGACTTTTTCATTGGGCCAGAGAATAAACAAGATCTCAACCAATAGATAAGTGCCAAGATGATGCAAGAGCCGAGGTCCAAGATTTGTAAGCGCCTTCAGAGCCAACTAGTTTGGTAGAGCAAAGAAGGACGGACAAGCGAGACAAGCGAAGATGGACATTGAAACTCCTCACTTTGTGCTGCAGCCAGGTTGACGATGATGTTAGAGAAGATAGGCACCCTTCAGCAAGCAGCCAGAAGTGCGACGCAGGCATTTTCTGGGAGATGCCTGGCTCACAGTTGCCGGGATACTGCCTTCACAGTCGCATGCCGCCGCAGCATTGCCGTGCCGTTGATCCACCAGCGGGCAATCCATCACACCAGACAACCTCTCAGTGCTCAGGCTACTGTCTTCCAGTCGAAGCCTCAGAGCGGAAACCAACATGATTCGTCCAACCCTGCCATGTCATTCCCATGCCTAGATGCTCTAGAGGCCAAATCTGCTGCTCTGTCCCGGAGATCGTTAGCTTCCGGGCCGGAACCATCATATACAGTCGGAAAGCATGAGCTTTTTACTTCTAAGCAAGATATCCTACTGGATTGGGGCGGAATGCTGCCCGAGTTTGATATTGCCTATGAAACATGGGGGACATTGAATGCGGACAAGAGCAATGCTATACTCCTCCACACCGGCTTGTCAGCTTCAAGTCATGCGCACAGCACCAAGACAAACCCGCAGCCTGGGTGGTGGGAAAAATTCATCGGGCCAGGAGCTCCCTTGGATACGGACAAGCATTTTATCATTTGCACGAATGTGATCGGGGGCTGTTATGGAAGCACAGGCCCTTCATCAATTGACCCGTCGGACGGCAAACGGTACGCCACCAGGTTCCCTATCTTGACTCTGAACGACATGGTTCGAGCACAGTTTCGGTTGTTAGACCATCTGGGGATTTCGAAGCTATATGCCTCTGTTGGTGCTAGTATGGGTGGAATGCAGAGCTTGGCCGCTGGGATACTATTTCCTGAGAGAGTGAGGCAGATAGTCAGCATCAGCGGATGTGCCAGGAGCCATCCTTATAGCATTGCTATGCGTCACACTCAACGCCAAGTCCTCATGATGGACCCCAACTGGGCGAGGGGATTCTACTACGATTCAATCCCACCCCATTCGGGTATGAAGTTGGCTCGAGAGATTGCTACGGTCACCTATCGTAGTGGACCAGAGTGGGAGAAACGATTTGGCAGAAAGCGAGCAGACTCAAGCAAGAACCCAGCATTATGTCCTGATTTCTTAATTGAGACGTATCTCGACCATGCGGGCGAGAAATTTTCGCTTGAGTACGATTCGAACAGTCTTCTATATATTTCTAAGGCCATGGACCTTTTCGACTTGGGGATATCACAGCAACAAGCTACGCTTCTACGTCGACTGGAGAATGAGAAAAGGATTTCCTCACGCGGGAAGATGTCTCCTCAGGATAATGCGTCCTGTAGTCTAACTCTACCCTCAAAGCCGTACGAAGAACAACCAGCCACAGGTGACAGTGCGCAGGGTTCGGGTAGCCCTTCTTCAGCTACAAAATCTGAATCTGCCTCCTCAGGTCCTCCCATGGATCTAGTTAACGGGCTCTCCTCGCTAAAGAATCACCCTATACTCGTCATGGGGGTAGCGAGTGATATTCTCTTCCCTGCCTGGCAGCAGCGAGAAATCGCGGACTCACTCCAGGCTGCTGGTAGTAAGGCTGTCAAGCACGTCGAGTTAAGTGAAGATGTATCCCACTTCGGACACGACACTTTCCTCTTGGATTTGAAGAATATTGGAGGCCCTGTGAAGGAGTTTCTTGCATGATGATTTTTGGGTATACCGTATATGCAGCACTTTGGAGTTACGGCGTCTCATTCAATTTCAAGCAATGTAATTTAGAATATCACTATGGACCATATTCTGCATATAACCAATCCACTCAATCAACTAGACCCCATCCTCCCGAAGTAAATGCCATCTGGGAGGATAGAAATGAAAAGCCTTGAGTGTCCTCAGATTAGCTCTCTTGCTGTTCTCATTGATTTCCATACAACTGTGTTTCAATACAGCCTGATCAGAAGGGTCATCCTTCGATCAGGTTGCCTGCAGGATATCATGCAACTTTGGCTTTAGACACGTTGAATCATCACCGGACGGCCAATCATCTTTACCCTCCCTTTTCCAGTGCTGCGTTTTTATTTCTATCGCACAACGTTTTATACATTGTCTAGGAAAATCGAGTAGGTAACCCCTGTGCTCACGAGTAGTATATTATTTATATATTGACGTCTTTGGTAAGTAGATAGCTATATCACAGTTAGCTGAGGCCACACTAGGAGAAACGAGGGTAGGCAATACAGAGAAGAAGAAAACAGGGTATATCAGATTGAAAACTACTTTTTCACGGCATTGGTAATTGCTCAGACGCCGTTTTGTAACACTAAAGAGCAAAACATGCGGAGCAAAAGGGATTCATTCTCCCGCACCTTAGACGGAAATGAAAATTCCTCATGTAGTTGGACTCGCAAATGCAAGAGAAAGGTGGTCAATACAAACAAACGTACCTTACAACCTTGACACATTTGACAGGTTGATCATTGATCATGCTCGTTTTCTATCTTCCTTTGAGGGACCCATAAAATAGCAAGCAACGGGGAAGGCATGAACCTGCAGATTATATATAATAAAGCATCACGATATCAGCTGAAATGGCTGTAAGAGTGTCTCTAAGATCTCTGTTCAAATGTCCACATTCGTGTCCTTCAAGGGTCGCATCTAATGCGGTTTATCCCTCCCAGGGCCTCAGAGAGGCCATGCGAGGTTAACTCAGCTATCAGGTGTCCCGGGGAGACTCGGTGCAGCTCTGTGAGATTTATCATCATCGAGACTTGATATATTAATGTGAAGAAAAGAAAGCGAAGCTCCCTATTTATAGCAAGGGAAAAATACAGTCACGTGCCTGTCTTCATGTACGATGACATCGACGGCCAGCGAAGCGCAGCAACAGCGAGGCGGCTGAGGACAGCATCGTCACTCATCTCGCATCGCCTATATAACGCCTATACGTATCCCGACAGGTCTGCCATGTCGGTGATGGATGCAAAGCGCCCGGGTTGAAGCGATGGACTACCCACGATATCATAATTACAGCCGGTCACAGGATTACGAATATTACGACGACAACCCATGGGCAGATAATGACGATAAGAGGAAGATCGACCGTCGCTACACACACGCAGAAGGCAGTGAACCACCGAGGGCAGCCAGGCAGGGCGGAAGAAGGTCGGAAACTATGACTAGCTGGATACAACGTCAGGCAAGCTCGCATGGTGTGCAGCTGGCGGGTGCGGCGGTGTTGTCTGGAGTTGCGGTAGCCGGTGCAATTCTTGGTTATCAGAGCGTGAAGCGCCAGGCAGCCGTTGAGGAGCTCAAGGCTTCGATACCGGCCTTGGATGAGAGCTCTGTTGAGAAGGTTGGTAACCCTTGGGGTGGCTGGGCTGTTGATTGATGTGGTTATTTGGCAATTTGAGATAACTACATAACTTGATACCCAATTTTTATTTCAGCAGCAAGCTAACAAACCGTGAAGCTTACAGAGTACGGTGTGGTGACACCACCGATAAGCGAGGAGGATCGGAGAAGTGCTTTGTTGGCTAAGAGAGCTCAGCAAGGAGACTATGATGATGGTATGTTTGTATTTTGCTCTACATGTCTATGCTTGAGCTAATGTGTGCCTGTTTAGATCTCATTCTCGAACAGCTTGCTCGAAACCGTGTATTTCTCAATGACGAAGGCCTAGAAAAGCTCCGATCTTCCTTTATAATAGTCGTTGGCTGTGGAGGAGTAGGCTCTCATGCGGCTGCGGCCCTTGCTCGATCAGGAGTTGGAAGAATTCGGCTCATAGACTTCGACCAAGTTACGCTCTCATCACTAAATCGACATGCACTTGCAACGTTGGCCGATGTGGGAACACCCAAAGTCTACTGTATTGAGAAAAGATTGCAGCAAGTTACCCCCTGGGTTCGATTTGACTGCCGAAATCAACTATACAGCGAGGCAGTTGCGGACCAACTACTCAACTCTTGGTCCATGGCGAATGATACGGTTACCAGCAAACCGGATTATGTCCTTGACTGTATTGACAATATATCATCCAAGGTTTCGCTGCTTCACTACTGCCACTCGCGTGGTATCAAAGTGATTTCATCTATGGGTGCAGGGTGTAAATCGGATCCTACCCGGGTTGCTATAGGGGACATCTCACTCAGTCTAGAAGACCCTCTATCAAGGAGTACAAGACGTCGTCTGAAGATGCTCGGTGTTTCAAGCGGCATACCCGTTGTTTTCTCACTTGAGAAGCCAGGCCCAGGAAAAGCTGAGCTCCTACCCCTAGCCGAAGAGGAGATCAGCAAGGGCGATGTCTCTGACCTGGGCGTGCTGCCGGATTTTAGGGTCCGTATACTTCCAGTTCTAGGCACCATGCCCGCTGTCTTTGGCTATACTATTGCAAACCACGTCATATGCGAGGTATCCGGGTACCCCAACGAATACAACCCGGCCGGTAAAAGCAGAGATAAATTCTACGACAGCATCTTGGGGGCTCTGCAGGGAACAGAAGCTCGTCTTGCAAAGACTATCGAAGGCCAAGATCCGGTTGGATTGAGAATACCGATCAGCAAGGAGGATGTTGGATACCTTATTGAGGAGATATGGAGAAGCAAAAGCGTGGTCAGCGGTCTTACAACTCGGCTTGTGCTGATACGATGGGAACGACCTCTTCATGGTTTCGGAGCCGACCCAGAATTGCTGAAGCAGGGCCAAAAAGGGGTACGATTACAGCTCAGCGAGCTAGTGTGCATGACCAAGGAGGAAGCGCTGCACCATGAGACGGAAGTGCTCAAGGGAGGCAAGAAACACTCTGAGGTCTACGATGATACGATTATACAAAAAGTTAGAGAGCGTATGGAAGAGGAGCGGTTTTTCCAGCGATATAGGTGATTGCCTTTTCTTTTCTTTTCTTTTTACATGGAGCTCTATCTGTACATGGCGTATTTTAACCCTTAGAATGCACACTGACGAATCAACGAGACCATATCGCTTACCAAATTCTACCAAATATCCACCACTGTTCAAATCATTGCCATTCACTAGATGGTACCGTGCAAATGAACAGGAAGGCATTAAGCAGACAGAGTTCGCATCAACCAAGGTTCCATGACCGGCAAGAATGAAGCTTACTGTATCTCCCTCTTCAGTTCCCAGGCAAATATCCAGCTTGTAGCCGTCGTATACGACCCCTGATAATTGCAGGATAGATGCATAAATGCCCTCTATACGCACGGGCAGGCGCTGCGGCGCCGTCACCAACACCATAAGCTTCACGTCACTACGTCATAGGCGATACTTGCTCGTCCTGCTCGTCCTCATATGTCTGTCCTTCGCAGCCTGGAAGAGTCTAGGATACTCCACTGTGGAAACAGTAAAAGATAAGGAGCTAGACATGGCCCTGGACGAGGGTAACAGAGACCGCATCGGTGGATGGTTCGGGTCGAATGCTCTGCCGGGCTTTAGTGATATGGCTCACATACAGACCTTGGATGCACGGCTGTTACCAGGCGAGAAGAAGGCGTGGTTTCGCCGCTCAAAACGAAGACTTATAATTGTTGGCGATGTCCATGGATGCAAGGATGAGTGTAAGTATTATATCGCCAATTTGGTTCACTTTGGATGCTCGGGGCTGATGCTTCGTAGTAGAGAAACTGCTTGCACGTATATCGTTTAATCGTGAGAAAAGAGATCACTTGATATTCACCGGAGACTTGATATCCAAGGGCCCCGAGAGCGTTGAAGTAGTGCGTCTTGCACGAGAGTACAGTGCTTCCTGCGTTCGAGGGAACCATGAAGATAAGGTCCTGTTAACCCGGCGTGAAATGTTAGATTCATCACGGAGTACTGGATCTAGTGCCGAACGAGAGACAAAAGCCCATGTCCTTGCGCGTCAACTCTCAGACGATGACGCCACCTGGCTTGAATCATGTCCTGTGATCCTCAAGGTAGGATATATTAGGGACATGGGGGATGTGGTCGTCGTTCATGGAGGGCTAGTACCGGGCGTGCCGCTTGAACGTCAGGATCCATCGTCTGTAATGACCATGAGGACTCTTGACGTGGATAGCCATACACCCAGCTCGTTGAAAGAGGGCACTGGCTGGTCCAAGGTGAGTTACCTGCGTTGAGACGCATGCCGAGGTTGGATTCTTATAGACGTCGTTAGGTGTTTGACGAGTACCAGCGTCGGATGGTGAAGAAGAATGAACGGCCTACTACGGTGATATATGGCCACGATGCGAAACAGCTTCCGGTGATACGGTTGTATACAAAAGGACTAGACACTTCATGCGTTCGAGGAGGGAAACTTACTGCCCTGATCATTGGTGATGGCGGGAGACAGCGCCTGAAACAAGTGAAGTGCAAGGGTTATGTATGAGAGTACTTAAGTGGCAGTAAACGAAATATTCTTAAAAAGAAAGTGATTATCTTTCATTGCAGCATTATCTTCATTAAGCTAGTTTTAAAGAGTAATAAGGAAAGTATCATGGGCTCGCAATAAATCATCACTCGGGTATATCAAGACTACAAAACCAGATGGTAGGGGAACATGAGGGTATCGAGGAGATGATTAGATATTAGGGACGTAAGGGAACCGTCAGTGGGTCATGATCATAACATGACATGAGTAGCGTGATAGCCGTATATCTTCATTGCCGATGGCATTGAACAGCTCCGTGGAATGGGAGGAATGCTGCCTTGAAGACGCTTAGACAGCATGGCGACGGTACCACTTGCGGCCACTAGATATAAGTTAGCCAATCTGTTCATGAGAGACAGGTATACATAGATGAATACTGACCTGACGCCATCTCCAGCAACGGCTTCATTGCGCTTGCGGAAAGTGAACCAGACGCCCTGCAACGCTAGTTAGCAACAAGAAGGTCCTAGGTGAGAAGAGAGAGAGAATAGAGAGGATGCATACAATGAGGGCAGAGACAATCCAGAAGCAGGCAGAGAGGAAGCTGAATGCCTCTGCAGCTCTCCATCGGCCACAGGGGTCACCGTTGGTGAAACCGGTCCACTGGAAGGCCGTGCCGCAGTTTCGAGTACCGAGAGAGTTAACCTGTACAGCGAACGAGGCAAACCAGGCCAGCGAGAGGATAACGTCGACTGATGATACGTTAGTACGTTATACATTATTAAGGGGGACAATATGACTGAAAAAAGGAGGGCAAAACATACTAGGCCATGTCTTGAAGGAAAAGGAGGTCGGGAAGAGCCAGAGCAGGCCTAGCAGGATAGAAACACCAGCAATGACCTCGGTGTAGATCCAGCGGCTCTGGGGGAAATCGCCGTTGTTATTGCGGCTGAAGGAGCGCAGGTAGGAGCCGATAATGCCTGCAACGACCTGTCAATGCATCGAGTCAGCCCGTCTGTACGCTGTACTGTAGGATCGATGCGGTCGAGATTTCGAGTGCCCAGAGCTAGGGTAGGGATCAATAGCACTTACAGCGCCGAAGAGGATCTCTCCGATCCTGAAGAGGGGCGAGACGATACGGGAAAAGACGGGCATCTTGACGGGCCTTTTTTCTTGCACACACTACCGGTTGAACAATGGACGAATGCGCTGTGAGGATGGATGTCTGGAGGTATCGAGATCGAGAAAGTCATTCAGACAGCTGGGGGGATATTGGTGCCCGGGATGCCAGGCCGACTTTATAGGCCTACCGACGGACGGCCAGGAAAAAGCAATCAAGCAGCAGAGCTTGCACCGATGACGCAAATAAGGGCCAGGATGCCGCTGCCATTGGCCACTGGCTGCTCTGATCAGCGAACTAGCGAGCTAGCGATTGCGGTGTTGGCTGCAGAACGAGCTTGCTGGCGGTGCTGCGCGGTGGAGAGAGTCCAGAGTGGCTTGGTCGGTGGAGGGCGTTCGACCAGTGCTCGCTGGCCAGGGAGCGCCACTCGCCGATGGCACGCATTATATTATTGACTAGCACGGGCAGGGGCGGGTAATATCATGCCTGATATCGCGGGCAGCAAAGGGTCAGTCCTCTCTCATTTTACCTGCGGCTGCTTCATACTAACTAACTGCTGAGATAGCTAGGGAACGCTTGTACCTCGCGCCGTGAACCCAGAGACTATTGCATGGTAGTACCTATCACAACACCCGGGACCTGCCAACGTCTGGCACGGGTTATTCATCATGAACCAGAGATTGGGATGTGAAATTAACATTATTCCAGACGGCTAGGTTAGCTACGGGGGGCGTCTGTGTCGGGATACATACGTCCTGACGCCGGTGGAGGTGGCTTTGGGTCAGGTCCTCTCCAGCCGTGGGTATTTTGAGCACCCTCCTGGGCCCAGAAAGCTGCCTGCTATTAGCTATTATTGCTATCTGCGATCCTGTTTCCCTCGATATTGATTGTCCCGGTGGCCAAATCGACAGCTAGGTTACCTATCCCCATGTTGATCCTAGATCTTGCCCTTGGATATACTCCGTGCATGACTGCAGGTACCACACCGTCATTATTGATGCCTGTCAACAGAGCTCTACGGAGTCCTTTTCAGCTCGACAGGAAAGAGAAATGCCTCCGTTTATGCGTAATTGCACATTAAAACTCTCTGAATGGCCGTCAGCTCAGCCCCTTTGGGAAAGAAAGCCTGGAAAGATTCGCCTCACTGATATTAACAGTGATGCAAGCACCGATCAGCCACTCTCCTCGACGAATTATACACGTGAATTATATCCATTCTTAAGGCAGGGAGTGTGTGAGTGGCAGGCCTGTAGTCTCTAGTTCGTGGCTTGTTGAGGCATTGAAGCAGGCATAGATGTGCATTTTCTATATTCTACCAAATTCGCAGAAGTCATCACGCAGAAGTCATCACAGAGCTACCTAGCCGATATCAACAAAAAATTGCCAGCTTATTCATGCCCAAATAAGCTATCCTCGTTAATATTATTGCACTTCGCACACGCGCCGGGAAAATGGAAGACAAAAAAATTTTCATGCTCCAATTCCGCCGCGGCTTTCACTCCAGTAACGGCATTCGAAAACAAACTGTTTATTTACCCGACTTCCTTGGATCCGGTGCAAGGATCTACATGGCAGAGAGGAATAACGGCTGTGCTCCGGCCCTCTGGAAGGTCCGTATAAGTTCCATCTTCTCCTCCTGCAAGCAGATTCTGCAGAGAGAACTGTGGATGTTTTCTTTTGGCCTGTGATCAGCTCACGCGGATAATAAACTCATACCCTGGCATCCTATGACGTCACAGGGTCCCTGCATATTGTCTCCTGAGCTGCAACGGTGATGCTATTGTTTTTATTACAAGCACAGAACGACATCCATCTACAGGCACGAAGTATTATTAATACAAACTGAACGAGAAAGAAGATGCAACAAACAAATGTCGGAGAAGATTACACCAGGAACCATTGAAACAGGGTCCGGAACAGGTGCTTTGCGCCCTGGTTGATGGTATCCCCGTGGCATGGAATCGCACGATCAAATTCCCATCCATCGATTTTCTGAACTGACTGTTTGAACGCCTCGCGGCCCCCGGCTGACATCAGATACCATATAAGCCTCCGCTGTGCCATGGCGCTGCCCTTCGCCGACATGAGCCAGACATACAGCTTGTTGGCGAGTCCGCTTAAAGGTCCCTCCTGGGCCTTGCGGTACTGTTCATATCCAGGCGGGTTGAAGAAGAGGTCTGCCTGAATCAGGGTCGCCGTGGGTTTGTGCAGCAGTACGATCTCCCGGTTGATGTGAGCGTGGATGTACTCAACGTCGAATTCGGCTGCAAACTCATCCGAGATGTGAAGCGTCTCCTTGTTCTGGGTGGTATAAATATGTTCGAATTTCGGACCAGAGGTTGTTGGGCTCTTTTGCCGTTTCTCCCATAGACCTTCCGGTGCGATTATGACAGCGTCAGGGTACGCCTTTGTCCAGTCCGCTAGGAACAAATGGTGCTCCATGTCTGGTGCGATGAGATACTTGACTGTTCCATTAAGGCTGGTGACTGCTTCGCTAACAGACGGCGTAAGTGCGACGGGGGAGAACACCGCGATAGCACCGGTTTGTAGACGAACTGTTGGAGTATATTAGCGTACGGCAACGGTTATGCATTGCATCTACTACTTCGGTTCGACCTCGATCAACTAACCTATCGTTGCACGTCCCCCAAATTTAAAAAGCCCGACACGAGCAAAGGGTAAACTGCATGTAATAATGTCATCACATACATTCCGTATAACCATCACACTCTCTGGGTCGGACGGGGCGAGTTTCGGCATTTTCGCTGGAGAAATGCAGTAGGACGTAGATCTGATCTGCAACGGCGAACCTGCAGCTGTGTTTTTTCTTCTACCTCGTATTTCAACCTTCGTAGTAGCGCAAGAGTATCTGATGCTGGATCTTGCGAGCGTTTTTATATCCTGTCTTTGCCTGACCTGTATCGTATTCCTTGCGCCGTTGGTCACGGAAGTATACTGTCCTGGGCGGCGGATGACTGGGACGCAGCTGAGTGCGCGATAACACATGTGAGCTTTGCAGCACAACGCATACACAATGAAACGGCCTGGTTATCTCCCACGCTTCGGTCAGTCGAGTATTCACTGACTGCGGATGACTTGGTTTCGCTTGCTCCATTGGTCTGGGCGTCCACGTCGGTAGTGTGGAACAAGAATGCCCATTAGTTTATAAAAATGGGGACTTTTGGTCAGAGTGGTATGACGTACCAACCACGGAGACCTCGGTGCCTAGGCTGTTCAGGTTCCGAGTCAGGAATAATCTCTATTGTACAGTATCTTCTATTAATATCAGCAAATAATAATGACCACGACATGCTCCGTATAGTTGATGGCAAGATCCAAAGTTGAAGGGGCCTCATCTAAGTATTCTTAGTTGAAAGACCGCATAATGCATTATAAAATCAAAACATCTTTCGCACAGCAAAATCAGTTCTAGAAGAAGGATAGGGAGGGAAGGTAAAATCTATGCCGCAATGATTATGGATGCCATCTGCCAGTAGACGGAGCCTGATGAGCCTCATCGTTCCGGTGTGGGATTAACGGCGCTTTTATATCGAATGTCTCTATCAGTTGAGCCCAGGTGTCGAAATCTAGGCCAAAAACGGCTTGATGCTTTTGAATGCCTTGTTCTCGTGCCTCAGACGGAAGCAGTGGTTGTGATGGAACTATGAAAACGATTAGATCCACTGTTGAGTCAAACATCATGGGGCAAAGGTTTGCTGGAACTTACGTAGTGTAGGTAGGTTGTTACCGTCCATCGAAACTCCTATACTTCCGTCACGGACTAGGAAACTGACATAAAACATGTTCTCCACGGACTGGCCAAATGACCTTGGGTTGATACAGAACTGGAAGAGGGGGATTCCACCATTATCAGATATTCCGTGTTTGCCCATAACTGCAATGGCCTCGGCCTCAGTAACATCTCCCATCTTTGACAGCTCTTCACGAGCTAAGGATTCTCTTTGGAGCTGTATCTCAACCAACTTCGCTCGTATGTCTGTGCACATTGTTGTTAAAGTTGCTTCTTCCTGCTTCCCCAAATCTGTAGCCTTAAGATCATTCGGCCGTACAAGTTGGGATGGATCTATTCGTTCTCGCGCTCTTCGTTGTGTCAACTGACGAATCCGTTTCTGTACGGACAGCGGGCCAAGGAGAAAGCCCGAAATGGAAGGTTTGAGGTTATTCGGAAAACAGGCATTGCGTCCAAGATAGTCCCAGTTGAAGGGTTCTTCTTCATCGTCACTGTCAGCTGCACGCTGTGAAGGGTGGCCCGAGCTACGACGGTTGCTCTGCGTGGGAGTAGGGAGGGCAGACGATGTTTCTCTTCGCATATAGGATATGCATTTTGAAACAAACTCGTCAACGTCAATGCCCGCTACATTGTTTCCTAGACATGCCTGTGCTGTTCGTTTATAGGAGAGATCCGCGGCTGTGACAAGGAGGCGAGAATCGATAGTGGCATCGGAGGTTTGCTTGACCTTCTTGAATAGGTCGTTTGCTTTTTCAACTGTCTGTAAAATACCATTTGATTCTAGCTGAATAAATTCACTTCGAGAATCTTGAAGTACCCATTCGATTAGTACATGAGGTCAGACATGGAATAATGAAGTTTGTGTGGAGTATACCGTTTAGATTTGAAGCAAGGTCTCTCAGCCCCTTTCGGACCGCCCTCCTTTCCTCTGGATCCTGATCTGGATCATAAAAGTCTGTGTCTACAACCTGCCGGAGCCTGCGCTGATGGGTCGACTGTGACTGTTCAGGCACTTGTTCAGACACGCGCCGCTTCTTGTTCGATGCGCTGGACATTGGAGGGGCTGTCAGGCCACCGGATCTCCGCTTCTTCACCTGGAGCGCGCGCGCGCTTCGGTTTTCCTTATCTGATGAGAAAGACGTCGGTGGTGATGGCTCAGAGTCCTGGTCGGAGGCGGAAGGTGTCGTAGAGAGGGCTCGTTTGGAATGGATGGCTCGTCCCGCCATCTTTCACAGTCCATACACTGTCTAGTTAACTAGTTAATGCTTTGTCAGGGAGGAGCAGAATCAATGCGGTCGTGTTTGTCAATGCGCGCAGAATGGAAACAGTTTTGGCTCAGCGTATAGAATTGTATTAAGTAGGGATATAAAATCAAGCAACCCAGCACCACCTAGAGTACGAATGAGTGGCCGGCGAGGTGTTGGATTGAAGATACCAGCGTCGTCTCTTCGCCTTTTTTGCTTGCTCGACGTCGAGAATCGCAAAAACGTTCGCTTTTACTTCTTTGGGCGAAACAGGGACGCGATGGTCCGTGCGCCTAGTTAATTTGACAGCGGAAAGGAATAAAATTTCTCCGGATAAGATAAGCATGGCCGAGGCTTGGCATGATGTCGAGAGCGAAGATGGAGACACCATCAACAACAGCAGCATCGACAGCGATAGCAACAGCGACGGCGAGGCAGAGGGAGGCTTAGAGGTTGATGTTATTTCCCTGCCCAGCTCAGACGATGAGAATAGCTCTGGTAGCGAATCTGATATATCTCGTAACTGGGTGACAGTCATGGATACCTTCACGTTTGCGACATCAAGACAGGTGGCCTTGCCCATCCGAGCTAAGATGTAGGTAGAGAAACAGTGACTTAGATGCGATTGTCTGCGCAAATGTGCTGACTGGTCATGTAGATGCAACTTAGAGGGAAGGCAAAAGCAAATTCCCTTCTCCGTCTTGCTCAAGAATCCGGAGCTACGTCATCTTGGGTCCAACCAGAGTCCTACTTCAGACCTCTATGTTACCGCACAGCTATGGAGCAGCTGCAAACCTCTTGGCATGCCCATGCAAACTGCATACAAGTCTTTCAAAACCACCCGGACATGGAACGAGTGGCTTGAAATGCCGGTGCTCATCAGGGATGCACCACAGAATACCCAGTTGGCACTCACAGTCTGGGACCTGTCGCCCCTGGGCGGTGAAGAAGGCCATGACCATTCCGTTCCGTTTGGTGGTACTACGATTGCACTCTTCGATGAAGATGGGACCTTGAAAAAGGGGAAACAAAAATGCAAATTATACCGAAACAAAGCCGCAGATGGCTTTTCATACACCACTACACCGTCCACCCCGCCACCCAAACGACGCAAAGGCAACTTTGTCGAAGAGGGGCCTACTCCAATTGAACTTGAGCTTGAGCGGCTAGAGAAACTACTGAAGAAACATGAAATGGGGGAAATTCCCCGAGTGGATTGGCTAGATCAGCTTGTTTTCCGAGCAGTGGAGAAGATCAAAATAGAAGCTGAAGACGCTGCGAAGAAGCGTGCGCTTCGAAATAAAGCAGCCAGAGAAAAGGCCGTCATTGAGCCCAATGGTGACCCTGGAGTGAGCTCTCAAGATGACGAAGAGGAGAACTTTGTGCTCTATGTTGAATTTCCACGCTTTGACTTTCCTATTGTCTTTCAGGACTTTGAATATCCCCCTCCTCCGGTTTCTTCCCTTGCTCAGCTTACGCCATCTGGATCTACAGTTGTTTTGAAACCACCACCAGAGGTCCGACTTGGCCCAGACATTGAAGGGGCTGCCGATGACGAAGGAAATTACCCTATCATACGAATTTATGATCCTGAGGTTGGGCAGAGAGGAAATCCTTGTGAAGACAAGCATAGAAGGCTAGTCCGCAGCCATAGAACCGGTATTATGGACCGCGATCTGAAACCAAACCCGAAGATCCGGGACGAGATCAACGAGATCATGTCATATGGCCCAACCCAGGAACTAAATGCAGAAGAGAAGGATCTGGTTTGGAAATTTAGATTTTATCTCACTCGAGATAAGAGAGCATTGACCAAATTTGTCAAGTCAGTTAACTGGCAAGATGCCAGTGAAGCTAGACAGGCCGTTGAACTCCTACCGAAGTGGACAGAGATCGATGTTGACGATGCTCTAGAGCTTCTAGGCCCGCTTTTCGACAACCCAGAAGTCCGTGCTTATGCCGTTGATCGACTAAGAAAATCCGACGATGAGGAGCTGCTCTTGTACCTTTTACAGCTTGTGCAGGCACTGAAGTTTGAGGCTATTCCTAAGAGTTCTACGGATGAAACGAACGAAGCTGCGCATGATTCTTCTCTCACAAACTTTTTGATTAGCCGTGCAGCTAATAACCCTATACTTGGTAGTTATTTCCATTGGTATTTGATGGTTGAATGTGACGACACTGCTCCTGGAACGCTTTCCACCCATCGAAAATTCTTTGCGAGCGTGGAGTTTTACTTTATGCTGGAATTAGAGAAGGTTAACCCTGCGCAGAGAAAAGTACTGCTCAGACAAGGTGAACTTATTACCATTCTTTCCAAGATTGCAAAAGACATCCGATTCGCCAGAGTCAACCGTCCTTTCAAGATTGAAATGCTCAAAAAGTTCCTTGGGAACCCTAAGAACGATATCTTACAAATTGATCCACCGCTTCCATTCCCATTAGACCCCACAGTTTCGATTGTTGGGTGCCACCCGGAGGAGGCAAATGTTTTTAAATCCTCCTTATCACCGCTGTTCATCAATTTTAAGCTATCGGATGGCCGAAAATATCCTGTTATTTTCAAAGTTGGAGATGATTTGCGTCAGGACCAGCTTGTCGTCCAAATTATAACTCTCATGGACAGGCTTTTACAGAAAGAAAATCTGGATCTTAAACTCACCCCTTACCGAATCATTGCAACTGGAGCAACTGCTGGCGCTGTGCAGTTCGTTCCATCTACACCTCTATCTGCTGCCACTGCGAAATATAAAGGCTCATTGCTTGCTTACCTTAAAGCAAATAACCCTGACGATAGTGAACCCCTAGGTGTACGAAAAGAAGCAATGGACACATATATCAAGTCCTGTGCTGGATATTGTGTAATCACTTATCTCTTAGGTGTTGGTGACCGGCATTTGGAGAACCTCCTACTCGCTCCCGACGGACATTTCTTTCACGCTGACTTCGGCTTCATTCTTGGCCGTGACCCGAAACCATTTGCACCTATGATGAAGCTATGCAAAGAAATGGTTGAGGGAATGGGTGGTGCCAACTCACCGAACTACATTCAATTCAAACAATACTGCTTCACAGCGTATATCACACTTCGAAAATCAGCAAATCTTATCCTCAACTTATTTAGCTTGATGGTTGATGCGAATATCCCTGATATACGTGTAGAGCCCGACAAAGCGGTTTTGAAGGTCAAGGAAAGATTCCATTTGGAGATGACAGAGGAAGAGGCAATTCGTCATTTCGACGAGCTTATCATAAACAGCGTCAATGCTATTTTTGGTGCTGTTATAGATAGAATCCATGACCTAGTTCAAGGATGGAGGGCATGATCGACTTATCTTTGCACCCCGGGTTTTCGAAAGCAAGAAGTTGCTTTCTAAGTTTTGAACCTTGAAATTTTGAATAATTTAGAAGGTCCTTTTCAAGATAACGCATCAATGGGGGCAGCCAGGAGTTTTGTGGGGATTTTATGGGAAGGCTCTGTACCAACATATTATACCCATTTTCAACGAGTTATTTTTTCTGTATGTTACAAAGATAATTAATTTATGCCTTGCCTGCAGTTCGCAGCTACTCGGGGCCTAATAATTTACAAATCGGCATATTCCGCTATTTCAAGCGCCGATGTGGTACTTAGCCCAACAAAACATTTTTCATACTCGGTCGGATGAATCTCTTCGCGGTTGTAGCACGCCAGTCCGGCCATCACTTTGTTGCTCTTCTTTCTCTTCCTGAACATTGCCCTCTTTATCTTCAGTGTCTTCAGGGGTACCGGCCTTGCAAGCCCAGGCATCAACAAACCTTAGTACCTCTCTCCTAAACCAGTGCTTCATCACCAGTAATCTAAACGGAACGAGTAGTATGATCAACACCGGAAAAGCTGGAGCACCGCGTGTGAGAGTTAGGATGAAGATGGCTATTGTAATCAATAGTTGGAGAAAAGTATAGAGGTGAATCGGTATATATGACGGCCTTGGACTTGTTTTACTGGTACTGGTAGGCGACGGTGAAGAGCCCAGCTCTGCAGGGAGAGTTGGTAGTTCTGACGGGGGTGTCAAGAGGTAGAATGTTCGATACAATATGGGACTACAAGGTTATCAGTAGGGGTCATTATTAACAAGCATAAGTGGGAGAGGGTTCTTACTTGACAGATAAGCTTTGTTCTCCCATGAATAAGAATAACCCAGCGAGTACGCTTGTTGGGGTCAACCCAAGAACTTTCATGAAGGGAGGACTAACAAATGCAAGAATCCCACATCCATGGAGTAAAGAAGACCACCGCTGTTCATATACTCTCCTAATATGCAGGACTTCTACCGTTTCCTGGCCATCGACTTCGACTACAGCTTCTTCTGTGTCCGCATGCATCAAAGATTCTGAATGCAGAGGGGCTTGAGGTAAAAGACCGTTTGCAGGAGGAATTCCCAAGATGCCGCATAAGGCAGTGGTAGTACCCAGGAGAATGATGTCCCAAGCAAACCCACCAGGCTTCCGCGTCTTATAACGATCGATGGTGCATATGATAGAGCTTATCTCATGGTCAAAAAAGAAAAGCATTGTGATGATTATGCCGGGAATAATAGCCACGAATATCCAACGGGCAGGAAGTTTCCAGAACTCGACAAAGAATATATGACGTTCTGGAGATGTGGGTTGGAATGTAACGCTGACGGGGAGCGTTGATTTGTCCAAATGAGCGAGCTCTCCAATATGAGGTAATCCAATAAACAAGATAATGGATATTGCTGCAGCATATTCCGAAAGTCCCAGGCGGATGTATCGGTGGAATAAAGGTTTCCAAGACTCCGCTGTGGACAAGAATATGGCGAGTAGCATTGTTCCTACCGCACCTATGATGGCATACAGGAATGCGGCGAAGGAGAGGTTTGCGTGGGCTCGCTCAAGCTCTTGGATAGCTTTATGAAAATATATTATGCTGTTCAGGAGAGAGAATATCTCGGTTGAGAAAGTAGTAACGTAGCCCATAGTCCAGTCATGGGCATTGAATATAGCCAGGAGGTAATGCAACCACCCTGCATGGATAAGTGACCAGGCCATGAAGGGTAGAAATGGAATCTATATGTCGTTTGTTAGAGAACAACCATGTCAATAATTAAAACGTATCAGAGCCTACATTAAAAGCCTCATGACAAAGAGAATATATATTTTCTGCAAGAACAGAAAAAGGGCCGGTAACCCCAAGAATTGTGAGAGGCTGAATAGAGAACCTGTGAGCAGGCAATCAGCATGGAGTTTCAAAAAAAGAAGTTAGGGCAAGAATTCTTACAGAGAAAATATGATACTACACAGTCCCGTACTGAAGACTACCTCAATAGCACCCCAGTTCTTGCCTGTGAGAACGTATAAATCACTGGCAAAGGTGATGCCTGGTAACAGATTGGTGAAGAAAACGTATACAGTGCTGGCCACTATTAAATGATTGAATATCTTCCAATCTGAGAGGTATCTTTGGCGTAGATTCACCAGGTCCTGTTTTACAAGACGAAAAGGCCGTAAGGGGCCGCCAGGACCTACTGTTTTGTTGAGTAGCCATAGTGGTTTGGGTGTATGTTTTGAGGGAGTGATATACGAGTGGTCATCCTCGTCAGGTACATCCTCATTATAGTTCACTCTTCCTTGGTTGGTACTAGATGGGCGGGGTTCCTTTCTTCGACGAAGCATGCCTTGCATTGGTCTTGTCGACCGTGGCCGAAGAAAAGTGCCCACAGACATGTAGTTAGCCTCTCGCCACTGAAGGCTGCTCTACTACTCAAACTAGGCTATCTGGGGTGTTAAGAATAGCCTGGGGGAAAAGAACGGCAAATGACTTAAATAAAATGAGAACCTGTATTGATAGCATCGAGCCAGCGAATTTTGCATATCAGTTGGCTCTGTATTCAGTTATATATAGCTCTGTGACCCGATCGAGGGCGAAAACATTTTTTAAATTTAAGTTCAGTTATGGGATGTAAAAAGAAGCCCATAGGAAGTCAAGGAAGAAGGACTACGTACGCCAAGCGCCAACAGAGGGAGAAGCTCAATGAGATACTCTGTAGCGAGCATGAGGGCTGTCTCTTCTCGCATGGGTCCTTGGGCTTTCTGGGGCAGTTTGCCATGCCCAAGGCACTAAGAACAAGGCCGAGACCCTGTTGGCCTGCTGGTTGTGAATTTTATTCCTCGGCAATAAGCACTCATTTTCTATGCAGTCCAGTTGCATAATATAATAAAGGAAATGAGCTCGTAAAAGACGTCAGCCTGCACCCAACTTTTTATTACTGCTTCCTTTCCCGATATCACGAAGTCTTCAACCTTTGTGCATGTCAAAATAAGGTTCTAAAATATACAACATAATCTAGTGTACCACGCGAAAAATGCCAAGCTTCCAATGGATTGAGTTGAGCTTATCCGGGTTAAGGTTAATCCGCTATCTATCTGGAAGGTTTATCCAAACTGGAGGGCTTGGGAGGGAGCGTCAGCAAAATGGACCGTGACATTGAGCTGACATTTGGCAAATTATAATGATACAACAGATATCCGGTGTCCAGTGAAAAGATCTTTCGATTACTCACTCCAATGATGCTATTAGGCATATGACACACCAGAAGTATCTCAAGATGGCTTCCTTTATCCCCCGGACGGCATTTCTGGCGTCTGAACACATTCAGAAAAGCTACTTCCTGGGACATCATCGAGCTGGACTTGAGAAGATGAAAGCAATGCTAGACTCTGTTGACCATGTTATAGAATGTCGAGACTTCCGGGTACCAGCAACTTCGATAAACCCATTATTTGAAGAAGCATTGGGCGGGAAAAGCCGAACTATAGTCTATACTAAGCGAGATCTTGGAGCGGACTCGAAACCGGAATCTCGAATGGTATTTCTTCGTCTATTACTCATCTACTGAAATATTTTACTAACTTCTACGCGGCTGCTTTTCTGTAGAAAGAAAAACTCATATCTCGCTGGGAACAGAAATCTACGAAAGTCTTTTTCGCAAGCAGAAGCTTAAAGAACTCCGTCACTCCCTTGGCAAAGTACATAAAGTACCTCCCTATGGCTGCCAACAGCGTAATCGGATACCGCATGTTAATAGTTGGGATGCCGAACGTAGGGAAATCGACCCTGATTAACAAACTACGATCTATGACCAATATTAAGAACGTCAGAAAATCTGCCGTAGTCAGAACCGGAGCAGACCCAGGCATCACGAGAAAGATCGGTACACCTATAAAATTGTTCGAGAAGGATGATATAGGCATTTATGTGTATGACACGCCTGGTGTGTTTGTACCATATGTGTCTAACCCTGACAGTATGCTGAAAATGGCACTTTGCGGAATCATCAAAGACTCGCTGGTACCTATAATCACCCTAGCCGACTATCTTCTCTTTCAAATGAACCAGAATTTGTTGATGGATATGTATGGAGCATATTGTGCACCAACCAATGATATCATGGAGTTACTGGGTGCCATTTCGAGAAAAGCTGGCCGGCTTGTCAAAGGAGGTGAACCGGACTATGAAGCGGCCGCACGGTTATTCATCACACAATGGCGAGAAGGAAAACTCGGCCTATTTATGCTTGACGATGTGGTGAAAGTTTCGTGGGAAAAGAAGAATGCCAGGCTCGGAACCACGGAAAGCTCAATCCCTGGAACCTCGTTGGAACTTACTCCTGAGAGAGCGCAAAAGATACTTGCTACTGGTGTGGTATAAGTGAAGGAGGGCTGACTTTGGCGTTTGTTTGATATTTAATATACCCCTACAATGTACAATAGTGAATGTAATTTTAGATGAATTGAATAATTATACATATTGCTATCCTATGGGAGCCTCTAGACACCACTACTCCAGGATCAGATCCACAAAACATTTGTTGGATATGCTAACCAATCTTGTCAAGTAACTTTCTTCTTCGTCTTTCCACTAGCTCTTCCTGGACATCATCTAGTGTGGGCAGCTGCCATTCGACACCATCACCCTGATCACCTGGCAACGGCTCCCACCCATCAATGGGTTTATCGTCGCCCTTTTTCAACACAGCTTCAAATGCCTCTTTCTCTTTCTTCTTCTCGTACGCTAGTAATGATCCGTCCTCTTCGTCTAGGCCGTAGCCAAAGTATGCCGCATCAACATGTTTTTTGAACATTTCAATATCCATCTTTCGCCCCCCCGCATCATCCAATTCAGAGGCACTTCTCTTTTTCGTCGCTGCCTCAAACATCTCCTTGACTCCAGGAAGTTCTCTCGCTCGACCGAAATATCTGTATCCTTTCCCACCACCAGGAATCTCTTTCCCGTCCTCATCGTAGACTCTCCCGCCACCGCGCGTGTAGTTTGGTCCTCCCAGATTTCGTATTTGAACTTCCTTAGCCATTTTTCCCTCATTAGTTTGTTGATCTCATCGTTTAGGTCTCTGATTTGAAAATCACTTAAACTAAGATCTTGAATACGTGTGACCTTTCGGGATATTTCTTTGAGAACTTGGCCGCGCCATTTTTCGCAAACTGGGATAGAGTCAATCGAAGTGATAGCTTTTGGGCGTCGTGTCCGTCCGATATCTAGAATTCCGAGATCGGCAGCTTGAGCGGCACGGAACCGAAAGAGCATAGACTGTGCTTTCTCGCTATTTCGAGCCTATTGGACATGTGTTGTTGCGATTAGTATGGGATCAGATATCGAGGTTATGCTCTTTAGACTCACCATGGTAAAAGAATGAGGCTTGGAATAGCTAGTTGATAGGCTGGGATTAATGTTTCGAGTCAGATTACGAGATAGTGCGCTATATCTGTCCCTTTTACCGAGAGCTCAAGGTTGTCGTTGCGCCGGGGGAATGTGTCTCTCGGTCGTTGTTATTCGTGGGAGCAAAGCTTTGTCTGCCAATCTTATTGTTGAATGAAGATGTTGGTCAATACTGCAGTGTCGATTTAGCCGCCTTGTCAAGTATAAAGTAAAACGATCACCAGCTACCAAACAATAAAAGCGTCGTCGAGATAGCTGTTGCTAGCAATAGCCTATTCCATTAATGTCAAGAATTAGCTTAGTCAGCTTGTTTCCGCATATACGAAGCTGAAAATTTCGCATATAGTTATACCTTATTAAGGCTTAAATTGACTATCTTTATGTATAAATATTTATTTATATTTTAACCAATCATATCTGCTTCTGCTGCTTTCAATTTGACATATAACTAATCATTATCATGTGACTACTTAGTACGGCGGACTGAATGGACCATCAGGTCAAAAGTCATTCAAATTCATTCAATTTGTTCCCACATCTAAGATTTGTCCCCCTAAGCCTACTAAGTCTGCTTTCCCTATAAGTCTATCCCTTCTAAGCCTGCCCTCTCGCTCTAGGCCTCTCTTAGTAGACTCTTACTAGGGGCTTCTTTTACTAAAGTCTCTTACTAATACTAGGAGGGCAGAGTAGACAGCTGTACTCCGTAGGATTGAGGAGCTGGCTTAGGGGAGAAGCCAGGTTGTGGGCCAAAGAATAAGTAGGTACTACTTAAAATACCTCTACTACCATTGGCTGCGTGAAACTATCTCTTACAAGGCAAAAACGAATTTTGACCAAGCTTTTTTTTCCCTTTTGGCCTTGAAGGACTTTGGCCAAAATTTTAAATCTCGATTTTTCAGCTGGCGCACATAGCTTATAGAAGCTCTTCCTAAGTGAAGTACGGGCTCCATCCCTCGACATCTTTTATACCCTTTCAAAACCTTTTACGGTATTAAATTTGATATACTGTTAATGATCTACTATCTCTCATGTCTGTGTCTGAAGAGTTTCGAGGCATAGACCCGCCTGCTGGTATTTAACTCCCAATTACAGCCGAGGCCATCGCCATTTGCGAAAAGAGAGGATCTCAAAATACTGGTAGGGGTCTTGCCTACCCGTCTGACCAGCCTATATGTTGGACCAAGTATGGCCTTGGAGTTACATGGAATGAAGTCTATGCTCTAACTCTAGCGCGCCGGGAACTTCAGCGACGAGAATCTCCTGTTTCTGTTCCAGCCATTTAATATGCCATTTCAGCCGAATATGTCACATATATTATCATGGAATATATCCATGGTAGAACTGGAGATCAGATACTTGGGTCTACCTCCATTCCAGCCGAGAGGAAGGGAGTATACCAATATATGGCTACAGCTATACAGAAGCTATTACGAATCCCTATTCCTCCAGAACTCCCCCCCCCAATCGGCCTTGAATAATGACGTGTTTAGGCTTGTTATGTTTTTGGATACTGAAGCCCCCCGGATCTATCAAAACGCTGATCAGCTTGAGCTGCATTTGAATACGATATTTATTACTGCCCACGATATATGCTTTACAGAACTTTTATACTTACATATGGGCAGCATTTACGAACAATTAAAAGGGCTCTCCAATGAACCAATGGTCTTTTGCTATGGGGATATCCATCCCGGAAACTTTATCATCAACGATGATGGGCACATTACTATTATCGACTTCTCTGAAACAAGTATACTCCCATCTAGCTTTGCCAGATATGCAATAGTCAGCACGTCTAAGTTAAGCCGTGGATAGATATACCCGGCGACTGCGATGAGGTAGCTGAAAACATATCCGCACTCTTTGGATCTGCTCGCATGCTAGTCATGAGTTTCAGCTGTTTTAGTGAAAAGGGTGACCAGCTATTCGGCACTCAACCCTCTAAGGCTCACTGGGCATTTTATTGCAAGCCTGGGATACCTATGGGCTAAAAACAGTTTCCTTTACCGGCCCCTGCTTCTAAATTCTTTTATACAAAGTACATTTGCTAGGTATTTAGGAGTATTGTGTTTTTCGAAGTAGTTAAGTCAGGGTCGAAGCGCCATCACTCAAATCTAAGGATTGATTTATTTAGCCACAATCTTATGCTAGAATAGATTTCAACTTGACCACAGATACACATTTCGACCAATGTGAGAACAATCTGAGGCATCTGAACATAAACTACACAAGCCATTCTATTAATTAAATACATGAACTCATATAGGGAACCCGCTCATCATCATACAAACAGTTATTCATAAAAAAACCCGACACCGCCGATGACCTATACAAATTTGAGACGCAAATAGAAAAAAACCACCCTTCAAGAGACGACATTGGCTCCTCGACCATCAACGGGGACGGGGTCGCAAGACATCCTACAAGAACCCTTTGCTGTTGCTCAATTTCCGTTGGGGAAGTTCGATACCTGAACCGACATATACGCCACTTCCTCGACGGCTATACCTGTCGCCCATCTCGCTCACTCCTCCGTAACCTGGGCCTTTCATACTCCCCCTTTCAAGGCGGAGTGATTTCCATCCTTCTAATTCCCTTTCAAGGCGAAGGGATTTTTCACGTTCTTCGCGGAGCTCTCGTTCAGCACGGCGAGCCTGAAGCTGGTTCTCAGAGTCGCTGGTCTGGAGTTCTTCGATCGTTTGAAGAAGTCGCTCAATTCTTTCTCGCGATTTTCCAATGTCCTCCGTAAGTTGGCTGTTAACCTTTTCTCTTCTTTCAATCTGTGTCTGAAGGTCTTTAACCGTCCTATCCACATTGCGAACAGATCTCTGCTCCGCATTACGCTTCGACTCCTGTTCTTCTAGTTGAGTTTCAAGCTGATGAGCACATAATGTTAGCATATTGCACTTGTACAAAGGGGCAGTAATGGATCTATACGTACTTCCTGGATTCGTTTATTGAGGAACCTGACATCCTGGCTCGAGGATGAATATCCTTTAGTTTCAAGGTCAACGCATCGAAGCTGAACTTCCTTGAATTGTTTCTCGAGTGCAGCCTTATCCTTGAAGAGTTGAGCTGTTGACTCCCGTTGAGCTACAATTTCCTTCTGCACTTCCGTAGCAAGTGCTTCGGCCCTTCGCATCTTACCAACGGCAGCGGATGCAAGATCCTCTTGTTGGGCAAGCTGCGACTTCAGCTCGAGAATTTCACGGTCCATACCAGCGGCATTCCGCATTGGGCTTTCGCCCTTGGCAAGGTCTTCCAGCCGGTCTCCTGCTTCAGCGAGTCTGGATTCGAGACCGCGTTTCTCCTTGAGGAGCATATCACGCTCGGCTGAGATATCATCCACAGAAGTGCGAAGTGTGCGAACTTGATTTAACAAGGTAACTACCTTACTCTGGGCTTCGTTGTGGGCCTTGACGGCGTCATCTCTGGAAGCTGTGATATCCTGAAGGGTCATTTCTATTCTGGATTTTTCCTTGGACCAGGTTGAACTATTGAGAACTTCATCGTCCCACTTGGATCGAAGTTCCTCGAGCTCTTCCTTCAAGCGTGCATTTTCACCTCGAATATGGAGAACATTCTCGCGTTCTATTTCAAGCTCGCTCGTAAGCGTCGAGCATTCCATTTGGTACTTCTTCCTCGTTTGCTCCATGGAAGCTTCTTTGTCTTCGATATCCATAGCCCGCTGACTTCGATAATCTTCGAGCTCGTGTTGGAGGCGCTTCTTCGCTTGTAATGCAGCCTCAAGGTCAGCTGAGAGATCCTCAATCCTTTCTTCATGAGACTGTGCTTGTCGCTGCAGATCCTCAATGAGGTTATCGGTTTGTTTCCTTTCAGCCATGATATTAGCGCAGGTTTCTTCTGCCTCTTTGGCTTGTGCTTTGGCAAACTGTTCAGCGCGGGTAGCCTTCAAAACAGCAATTTCTGCCTGCTCCAACTTGCTGAAATATTCATTGGCGCGGCTCTTGTACAGACTCAAACTCGAGTCGGCATCAATGGCCTTGGATGTCTCAGCATCCAATCTGATCTGGAGGTCTGAGAACTCTTGGAGTAGTTGGCTTCGGCTAGCGGTGTCATGCTCTCGTGCAAGCTGTAGCTCTTGAAGCTCTGATCTAGTGTCTCGTAGCTCGACTTCCATAGCAGCTCTTGCGTGCTTGAGCTTTTCAAATTCCGTCTTTGCGTGGGCGAGATCGGCTAGTGCAGACTTATGAACTTGGAGGAGAGACCGTCGGGACTGCTCCTGGGAACTGAGAAGATCGTACAATTCCTCATGGGATTTCGCCTGTACATCACGGAGGCTCAACTCGCCAGATTGAATACTCTTTTCTAGGGCTGAAACCTTCTTAGCAGAATCATCTAGCTTCTCGTGGAGACGACCGTTTTCACGTTCAAGAATCTGCATGCGTCGGATAGATGGACTCTCATCTTGCCATATGTCTCGAGCTGGAGTAGCTCTATCAACCTGACTCTGGAGGTGGCGGTTATGCATTTCAGCAAGCTGCAGTTGATTCTGAAGGCTCTCTATTTCTGCAGCTTGATCCATTCGTTTCTGGAATGTGACAGTATCGACAGTTCTATCTGACCGTCCAGAGTCACCAACTCCATCTACGAAATTGTTATATCGACGGTTGGGGGTTGAAGGGTTGGAAAACCGCTTATTAGGCTCCGAATTCTTCCTGAAGTGCCCAGGAGACCTTGTATTAGCCACCTGGTTTTGATCAATTTCTTCGAGAAGGGCACGCTTCGACGAAGAGTAGCGAGCATCAAGCTCATTCATTTCATCTGCGTGCCGGCGTCGCATCTCGTTCAGTTGATTCTCAGCCCTCGAACGCTTTTCTTCACTGATTCGAAGGTCATTGTGGGCAGTCTCTAACAGAGCAGCCATATCAACCTTTTTGGAAAGGTCGGGTTTTATTGTCTCCCACGATTTCTCGGTTGCCGATGTATCATCAGGATCGAATACTTTGTGGAGCAATATAAGTTGCTGATGACAATCTTCTAGCTCCGAGTTCATCCGATCCATTGATGCCTGGAGCTTCTTGGTATTTGCCTGTGCCTGGGTTCTAAGCTGCCGTTCCGTCTCGAGGTTTCTGTTTGCTTCTGCTAATTGTAACTGTGCCGTGGCAGCAGTCTTTTCTGCATTACGGCTAGCTTTATGTTCGCGTGCAACTTCGTGGTTCAGGTCCTCTGCACTCAAAGCAAGTTTCTCCTTTTGCTTCTCGAGCGAAGTTATCGATAGCTGAGCATCTCCAAGCTGGCGAGTAAGTTGTTTATTTGATTCTTCCAGGCGAGATTTTTCGGTTTGAAGCTGCGCCAACCGAGCTCTTTGGGTATCACCAGCCCTTGAATTAGACCGTGCGATATCGAGGTTCTTTTGCTGGACTTTGTTCAAAAGAGCCCTGTTATCATTTTCAGAAGCGGCGAGTCTGCCCTTAACAGTAACGAGTTCTCGCTCTAGCCGTTCCTTGTGTTGATCATTCTGGGTGCGGAAATTTTCAGACTCTGCAATCAGGTTACTCAGGTTTTGAACTTGAGAGCTTAGGCGGGCATGTCCTGCCTCAGCATCATTGAGTGCCTTCGATTTTTCGTTTAGCTCGGCCTGAAGTTTAGCTAGCCTCTCAGTTGCCTGCGCAGTCATCTTATTTGCAAAGGTGTTCTCTGCATTTAGGCGAGATTCCTCGATTTTTGTAATTCGATCCCGCAGTTTGATGACTTCTCCTTGGAGTTGCTTGCGAGATTCTTCTGCAGCGGCTCGAGCTTCCTTTGCCCTGCGAAGAGTATCCTGCTGGATATACATCTCTTTCTCAATAGTAATCTTGGCTTCATTGAGAATATCAAACTCCTCCTTCAATTGTGCAAACTTGTGTTCTGAGAGCATCTGAACATCATCTCTCGACTGCTGTACTCGACTGAGCTCTGCTTGGGTCTGATAGAGTTGAGTCTTGAGATCTTGGACCTGCTTGTCAAGCATCTTCCTACCCTGAGCTGATTCGGCATCTTCGGATAGCTTCTCTTCAAGGAGCTTCCTAGCGTCAAGCGCCTCGCGTTCAAAGTTCGCCTTTTCGAGCTTCGTGGTATCTATTTCAGCCTGTAGGTCACTTATTCTTCGCTGCATGTCATCATGTCGATCCGACAACCCCCTTTTTTCTGTTTCGAGGCTTCGTTTTTCGAACTCATACTTTTTCAAATCAGCTTTGAGAATCGCGACCTCGCCCTCTTTACGCCGGACTAATTCCTCATAACCCGTAGAGGTCGATGACAAATCAACAATCTGCCTTTGAATTTCACGATTTTCCTCAAGCAATTGCTTAATTTGCTTTTTGGATCCTTCTAACTCTTTGGTGGTGTTTGCTAATTCGAGGTCGAGTTGTTGGTCGGAAGACAAAAGCTTTGCTTCCAAGTCCTGAAGTTTCTTGTCCTTCATAGCCAGGTGACTGTTGAGGGTATTGATCTCCTGGTTCAGGGCCTCAATCTTCTCATCGTACTCGCCGTGTGTTGATTCGACAGATTTCAGTTTTTTCTCCATATCCGAAATACGTTCTTGCAGCTCCTTCTTTTCACCCTCAAGCCTCTCCATTATTTGCGCAGCCTGTTCAAGTTGACCTCGTCGTAGGTCTAGTTCATGTTCTATTTTTTTCTTTGCTGCAATCAGTTCGTCTAGCTGATCTTCTAGGCTTTCCTGATCAGCGATTGCCCCAGCCAGCTTCTCACTCAGTTCAACTTCTCTGAGTTGTAACCGTTTGAATATCTCTTCCTTGTCTAATGCAAGGGAGCGTTCACTCTCAAGGGTTTTCCTGATCCTCTGCATCTCTGTTTCTATCTTGCGCCTTTCTTCTTCTATTCTCTGTTTTTCAGCTATGTCTTGTTGAGCCTTCGCTTCAAGCTGCTGGATTTTCTCGTCACGCTTCTTGACTTCTCCGGCTGTACGAGTCTCTCCAAGGAGTGGCTTCATTGTCGCAAACAATCTCCACCATGGGGATGATTTCAAGTTAAGATAGAGGTGAAAGTTGCGCTGAATGATTCGAGTAGCCTCTGTGCGGTATAGTCGTTTGTGTGCAATATGTCTTTGAATGAAGCCACGAGCCAACGACTGGAATTGCCTCATGATTTCACGAATCAGGGTATCACGTTGCTCTTCCAACTCTGCTAATACCCCAGCCCTGAAAAATATTTTTGTCAACCCGACTCTGAATAGTGACTTGTCAAGACCCAGCTTGTCGACCATATATGTCACAGCCATCTGCCCGTCCAAGTAGCCTTTGGGCATGCCACGGCACAGAACTTCGTATCTTTGGCGGAATTCATTGAACGTTAACCGATTAGGGAAACCAGTTCGAGCAATTCTAATACCTTCAAGTACGCCATTACATCGTAGTTGATCCAAAACAAGTGGACCATTGAAGAGTTTTGGTCGTTTCTTGTTATTTGGCAGAATGCAGCGAACGAAATGGGGATGAGTTGAATGTAGCTGGGCCATCAAGCTTGATAGCTGCTCCTTATGTCTCTGAGCGACAGTTCGGAAAAGGCCCTTTTTGACAACACTCCGGGTTCCATTGGATACATCGTCAGCATAATCAGCGAATAAGTTAGCAACATGCGGGTCATTGGATTTGGACAACAGCCGTGTTACGTTGTCATTGAGGGGGTCCTTATTTTTTTCAAGCCAATTCTCCGTGTTATATTCTACCTCTGCAGCATAGTGAGTGAGGATGAAACCTTGGCTGAGTCGTGAGGCCCGATATTTTGGAGACTTTCGGTCCCATAAAGAATGAAGCTTTTCAGTAAATGTATTGTCTGTAGCCTTTGGCATCACCGAATCCTCGTCAAGGCATGAGAATATACCAATCGGATTCGACAACTCAATAAGGTCGATTGTTGGTTGAAGGTCTTTCCCGAAATCGATGAATTGCCATTCAATTTGCTCCCTAGAGTATTCCTCCTGTTCCAGAACAAACATATGGTGGTTGAAAAATTGCTGCAATTTTTCGTTGGTGTAATTGATGCAGAGTTGTTCAAAGCTATTTGTTCCAAAAATTTCGAAACCTGCGATGTCAAGGACGCCGATGAAGTAGGTCTCTTCGCAGCTGATTCTGCTACGGTCTAACTGGTGATTGATCCTGTTGACTAAGTCACCAAATCCTCGTTCATATATACCCTTTGCGAGAGAATCTATCGCGAAACGTACTTGCTCGGGTGTCTGGACCTTTTCAACCCATTCTCGCCCAGCCTTTACTCGAGGATGAAGCAATCCCTTAACAAAAGGCTCGAGAGGTATTCCTAGGAGATGACAAGCATGCACGACACTCTCAGTATCATCTTGGGTGAGCTTAGCTTGGTCTGCACGTAGACTCTCCTTGCCAACCGTGATGTTCCCTAGATGTAGAACTGCAGCAATTGTGCGCAATATCGCAAGCTGGTCCTCTTCTTCAAACTTCATCGTATCAAAGGCTTCGATGAGAGTGTCCCACTCATCTTCGTCGGAGACACCTGCTATGGTATCATTTCCGTCTTTTGTGTATGCAAAGTCCTGGATATCGAGATTCGAGAGGTGCAGCTGCTCACGTAACTCTTTGCTGGCTCCATGGAGTAGCTGATAAAAGATGTGATAACTTCGCTCCTGGGAATTGAGCTTGACAACTCGGGACTTTTCAAGCAAGTACCAATCAATGAAGGCTCCGCATATCTGGCCGGTGCGAGAGAACTCTATACGAATGAACTTTCCGAACCGTGACGAATTGTTATTGCGCACTGTCTGGGCATTTCCGAATGCTTCAAGTATGGGATTAGCTCTCAATATTTGTTGCGAGAGATCCCCTAGTTGTTTAGATGACGGCTTTCCCTGGGCATCACCGGGTGCAACAGCGGCCAGGTATTGAATAACCTTCTTTGTGTTTTCTGTCTTTCCAGCACCGGATTCACCACTATGATACCAAGTGTGAGCAACTCATCAGGTTTGAAGGAAATAGGTGTGTACTTACGTAACAAGGATGCTCTGGTTCTCGCCCTCTTCTACAAGATTGCGAAAGGCTTCATCTGCCATTGCAAATATATGTGGTCGTGTGTCTTCTCGGCTTTGGCCTTTATACATTTTGACATATTCATTGGAGTATATAGGCAAAGGGCAGTACGGATTCACGGTCACCAAGAAAAGCCCAGAGTAAGTCTATATGCCCAGTCAATAATGGTGTCTGGTCTTGGTTCTCCAGCAGCAGTGAAAACATACGTAAATCAAGTCAGCCTGGTACCGAGTGTGCAGATTATGAACAACGGAGCCCTCATTTAAATGGGTAAGCTCAGCCATGTCGTCGGCCTTATCGAACTTTGGAGGGTTAACTTTATCAACGCCCTCCGGGTCAACTTCAACCTGCTATTATTTATACCAGCTGTCAGAACCTCCAACAAAAACAAGTAATGAATGCCTATAAACTCACGCGCCCATCGTCACATTGCACGACCAGGAGGCCACCCTCGGTTTCTCGAACAACAGTGCCCCGGATGAACGCTCGTTCGGGATCTTTAAGCCACACGTATCTTTTCCCAGAAAAGTCATTATCACCTTCTTCGCCCCTAATCTGATCTGCCCCTCTCCGTAGCTCTTCTGATTTTATGAACTTTGGAGCAAAGGTGTTTGAGTATTCGGAGGTGTGTCGTGCTGAGTTGGATCGTTGTCTGTTCATGCCGTTGATAATAGGAGTAGGATTTAATGGAGTCAAGGAGCCATTTCGTACATGTCCCGACGCATACGTCTGCACAGGTGATGTGAACGTAACTGACTTTGGTCGGCCAGACACTCTGGGGGCCGCATCTGGAGGAGCTGGAGAAGGTGAAGGAGAGCTCCGGGAAAAAGGATTGTGTCTTCTGGACGGGCTATTAAACGAAGGATGCATCGTTACAGAAGGTCAGTAAAGGAATTGGCTGGTATTAGGTCGTTGAACGGGCGTTAACTCATGAATAGCCCTGAGGAACGATGACGAGGCACCCCTAGGTGTAATGGTCATGGGAGTGGTGACAGGAGCAAGTTGACGGTCAAACTGAAAAACAAATAATTTCAATACTAAATAAAACAAGCTGAAGCAGAATTTCATATCACATCAAAAATCATTTATTCTGTCTTTTCCGATAAACCTGGTAGGTTAGTAGCCATGGGTTTGTTCGGCCTTGAAATCCCACCATTAATCGACTTTTAATCGCCAACTTTTGCGTTGTTTGTTTACATCCTTCCTGTTCGGGGCTAGCGCAAGCACTGCGCTTGGCGTTGGCGCTTATCTCTATCACGTGATGTTGAGGTTCTGCCAAGCCAGATCTTTTTTTCAAACTCCTGATATCAAATTCGAAGGGAAGACGAACATCTTGAAGTTGGACACTTTTTCTATACTCAAGAACCGAAGGAATGCGCGTCTCCTGCCTGGCTTATGGTATTTGATAGGCTGACAGATTACTCATCTAGTTATTGACTGGCCACAGAAGTTCAAAGCAGGTTGCACTTTATCCCTTTTTCTCCCGCTCCTTCACCTCGCACTTTCGTTCTCATGCCTCGACATCAAACCCTTGGACCGTATAGAAACAACCACATTTATTCTTGATATGCGAACTTTCAGATAAGAATGATTATCTCCGCTACATCTGGAAGCATGTCAGGGTATCAGCAAGCACCATCGTATGGGGGTTTTGATCCCCGTTGGTCAAATAGCCAACCTGTAGGCTACGATCCAAAGATGCCCTATCCTTCATACGACACGGAACGACCTTATTTCCCCGCTCATGATTCCCAGACGGTATATGGCGCGAGTGCTGGTTATTTTCAGACAGGGGATCCTCGGTACTTACATCCACAGGCATCATATCTATTATCTCAACCTGTACCGGTATGCATCGCCTTTGTGTCTGTTTTCATACTCATAATCTTACATGTAGATCCAGAATCATCCACCAGCTACGTATCAACGACCCGCTGACGCGCCGGAACCGGAAAAATTGCCAGACGCGATGGACGTTGACGCGAGGGAAGAAGGCGAGCTGAGCAGCTGTGAGGAAACCGTTGAACAAAGGAGTCCTAACCCGGAGAGGCTATTTGCACCTTACGCGCAGAATTCTAGAAGCACACAAAGTGCCGCCGGTAAAAAACCACAACAGAACGAACCGCAGTCGCAGTCACCCTCAACCAACTTGCATCGACCAGCGCACGATAACCCAGAGAAAACTAATGTAACGAAAGAAAATTCCCACGCGAACCCGTTAGCTGGGAAGTCTCCTTCTCAATTGAAAGCGCTTGCTCAAGGAGCGTTATTGAATCTGGCACCCCACAAAATTCGCTATGATGAGTTGGTTCGGGAGGGGATAGATCCCATCATATTGAAGAGCTTATATGATGACATCGGAATAAAGGTCACCACCGAGCCGCTCGGTAAACCTGTTGGGACCGTTAAAGAGCTAGGCGAGCCCAAAACCCCAAATACCGTTCTTGGTCTTACTACAAATCCTATTGCACAGGACGAATCTGTAACAAAACAAAACGCTGGTCAGGACACAGGTGCCAACTCTAGCAAGCCCATGGAGCGAAAAGACGTCATTGCTCGCATGCTAGCCGCAAAAGCTGCCAAATCTACACCACCTTCAGTACCAACGGCTAAAACCGCGAAGTCAGATCAGGCCAATGCGTCTCCGTCCCAGCCAACAAAAATGGCAATCCGGAGTCTTGATGAAAGCTCCCCTCAAACAACACAAACCTCGGCACAAGCTACTCGTGAAGAAGTTAGAGTGAAAGAGAAGAACAAAGCTCAGACGGAATTAGCCAGGCAACGCATGGAGCAACTTAAAAAGCTCGGGCTTGGGAAATCAACACCTCAGATCCCTGGTCTCACCTCTTCTCCATTAACATCCAGTGCGGATATTCCCGTCTCAACTGTTCCGCTAGAATTGCGCTCCCTACCGCACTCCTTACCCGACCGCCCGCCACCGTCCGGGATGGCAGGACCAACTCAAATTCCCGGCCTCGTTCTGACAGAGCCTGACTCTCACAAGTTGAACGACTCGGTTACTGCTGAGAAACCACAGGATGGTCCCAAGGACAATGCAGAAACATCTCGTGCCCCAAGAAAACGGCCAAGAGCTTCGGATTTTACTGATGATCCTGAGGAAACACAAACCAGGAAACATCAGTTATCAACACGCTCAGCCAGTGCTGAACAGAAAGTTATTATTGATATCAGCGATGACGAGGCAATATATGGTTCTGACAATGAAGGCAGAGCAATGCCAAACCATACAAATACACCCCGTACAACTCGTTCTACGAAATCCACAGCTCGTGACTTGCCACCATTATCTGATTTTCCACCCAAGAGTCGTGGCTCCCATCATTCCACTCCTGGGACTATGTCAAATACTCCCCCTACTCCCCCGAATCCCGTCAATGGTCTACTGCAGAAAAACATGGAGATACTGGCCATGCGTCAAAGAATTGCGGAACTAGAAGCTCGTCACATTAAAAAGCAAGCGTCAAGCCAAAATCAAAGTTCCGGTTCTTCAAATGCGTCAGCCGGCGTAACTTCCGATGGAACTGTACAAGAAACTGAAAATTCTTCATCTGAACTCGAAAATGCTCAAAATGCACCCACGCCGGCTGTTGAGGGGGGATTAATCGGGATAGTTGAATCAGCCTCTCCAGCACCAAATTCTACCTCTACTCCCTCCAGTGTACAACCACCACCAACTTCTAACCTCGGTGTCAACCGCGCTGAAGAGTTACGGATGAAGGCTCTCCGTCGAAAGGAAATTGAATCTGGGCTCCCACTTCTGGAAGCAGAAATACTCAAAACAGAACAGAAATTGGCTGAATTTCGCGAGCAGGAAAAGAGACTTGTCGATCAAATTGCTAAAGGCCGAGAAGGTAAACGCAAGCTGATCGAAGAACTCGAAAGCCTAGGGATCGAAACTGAGGGCTTGTCAATGTCAGAGCTCAAGGAAATATCGGATGAAGTTGGAAATATAAATGATAGTTCTCGTAAGTGACACCTATAATTTCACACGCCGCTAATTACTAACTTGGTATAGCCAAACAGGATATTCCAGCAAACACGTCGACCACAGAGCAAGAAATACAAAGGTCTCCGGCGGACAAAAAAAAAGAGTGCCTCGCCACTAGCATCTCCAGCTCAACAGAAGTGGCTCACAACGTCGAAAATCTTGCAAGTCATCAAGATAGTACAGCGCACGAGATAGGAAGTGCGCAGGACACAGCAATGGAAAACGCGTCTTCTGGTGAACCTCATGATACTCATGAAGAATCTTATTCTAGTTCTGCTATGGACGAATCGATGGGAAGCTCAGAGGATGAATCAGGTGAAGAATCAGCTTCAATGGCTAAATCCACCTCATTAGGCAGTCCTGACGGTGACGAAATGGTCGTTGTGAAGGACGCTACCCTCTCAGAAGAGGATAAAACCTCACAGGATATACCTCAAGAGAAAAGCACAAATTCCATATCGTCGAATCTAGATAATGATGACGAACCCCAATTTACTCCTCAGGGAGAATCTGTTGCGTCTGAGGGATATGAACCCCCCGAGCCTGACACCTTACAAAGCCCTCCATTCAGTCCCGCCCCTCCTCAACCCATAGAACCACCATCTATGGAGCTCAGTCCTGGACCCGAAGATCCAGATGCACATGCGCTAACTCTTAGTAATCAAGAAGCGGACTCCCCAGCTATTCTGGCACCCTCCACGGTACACAATCTTCTCTTTACATTTGCAATTATCGATCACTAATATAGAGCTCATAGAATGACGCTGATGCTTCCTTACATCAGTCCAATTGTCGTTTCAGCCCTTACCGTAGTCCATTGAAACTATTTAGGGCATACCGCTATCACCCCGATTTCACAAATCTTACAAGTGGTGGTTTTCGCTCTCTGACTTACAGTCATGATATTGATCCACACAAACCCCTATGTGACCTTGAGATTGCCGGTGGCGTTTGTGACGCTCCCTCCTGTGGTTTTCAACATTTCCGTGATATGAATCTGAGTGGTGCGTTGAGGGGATGATCGTCTTCAGATTCTGGTTCCTCCTTATCTTCCTCCTTGATACCCTTCTATGTCTAAATTCCTGATCCCTTAAGATATGCCCTGTTCCTTTCGTTCATTTCCCTTTGCTCTTATCTTGGCATGGAGTGATTGGCTGACGAATAGACGCCGTTAACCTTCATAGATGACAAAATCCTCGTTGAAATGGGTTCTTTACGAGAAGGAAAAACCCCAGCTGAACGAGAAGAGTATGTGAACGGGCTCAGGCAGATAATCAACGATATGAGGCGCGATAAGGTGAAAGATTTCTCGGTCGTCGCGCAAGAAATTGCTGCATATCGCCGACGGTTCCTTCAGGATCCTTCCCGAGTTTTAGCTCTGTAAGCCCTTTCCACCCATTACACTCGACCAGACCGTAGGAGAAAACACCATCAAAGCCAATGCTTCTACCGTCCTTCGAAGAAAGGTGAGATGATGGATTCCAGGAGCCACGAACCTAGTCTGTTTTCTAATATGCAGGGCTACTTGAAGGGCCGTTGGTTCTTATAAGTACCACGCCGGCCGCCATTTTCCACATATTAAACAGCTTTACCCGTTTTGGTTCACAGGCTGTTTTCCAGCAGCCACATTTCTGTTCCAAGCTTTCTTATACTTCAAATACCCATATCCTTTTCTTGGTGAGCGTATCATTACTCTGTTGCCTATGGGTACCAGGGATGTGATATTCATTTGAAGTACGACAATCATCGAGTTTATCTTCGGACTAGCGTAGCATCCATATACTTTACTTTCGACTTTTTAGCACTCAGCTTCGATGTTTTGTTTTATACATAGCAGGTGAAGATCAACCTGTCTGTTCAGCGATATCTGGCGCTTCGAGCACCTCTGTTCCGGCTTCCCAAATAATGGGGCTCTAGTTGAAGTGAGATATGTTTCCGAGGTCAGGGGTGTATAAATACAGGGAGGCTATATCTTGCTGTTTATCTGAATGGCGAAAGGAGGGAGAGATACCGAGGTGACAGAAACAATGCATTGGTAGCATTATGTATCCTCTAGATATCCCTTTGACACTAGATCACTGGGGATTTCTACTGGGTCTGATAACTAGGAAGAAAGAGCATGAACGACACTTACTCGGTTGTCCCTTGCATTATGCTGGTGCTTCGTGCGCTGGGTGGCTCAATGCCACGGTTGAGCCACGCTTCCCCGGACTTAAGAGCCGGTTTCATTCTTATCGATATACTCCTCTTGATGATTTTGTAGCACTAGCTTCAATACGTTCACAATTGAGAAAAGCTTCTATTCCTTCAGCTTCTATATACTTGATTTGTGGTAAGATATATACAGGAATTCCCGTTTGGCCCTCTAATGACCATGGTATGTATATTGAGAAGATCCACCGTCTCTAACGCTTGTCCTAAAATTTTTCTATTTTCTGAATGCTGTACATATGCGATGGGAAACCAGAAATTAAGACCTGCCATATAACAGGGAGATCAAAATTGTGCAACTATTTCTTTTCAGAGTTTTCCTCGTCTTCGACATATGCATATTTCGAATGTCGGCGAATAGAATCGCCTTTGTAATAGAATACAAAGGGAATGGCGCAACAAGCCAGAGCAAGGAATGCAATAAGCGAGCTAGCCCACTGGTCTCCCAGCCTGTCATACATCTGGGTGGTGAAGAGAACGCAGCATGCACCCCATATCGAGCGTAGGAACGTTTTTGCAGCGAGAGCAGAAGCTGCTTGGTGTTGGTATGTGTCCACTAATTCAGGGGTCGTATTAGCAAAAGCATCCATACCATTCATTCCAAAACACAAAGACGTACCTAAATAATTATTGCACGAGTTATAAAGGAAAATGAAGCCAAATCCTACTGGAAAGCCACCAATAGCAGGCCCAATCCAGTGGAGATGGGGATATGATGTCCAGGCAAATATGAATATTCCTACCGGGATAAACCAGCAGGAGAGCATCATAGGAATCAGGCGGGTTTCGGCTGGAGGCTTGCCCTTGTGTTTTGTAACAAGGGTCAAATAATGTTTGTTGATAAGGGGAGCAAAAAAAGCGCTGCTAACTACCCCTATAGCCAGAGGAATGAACATGAGGCCCGTGGTGCTCGCTGAGTAGCCTTTCCCTTCCTCATAAACAATTGGATATCTAAATAATGCTCATGTTAGCTGTCGACTACCTTTAGAATGGCCTTAGACCAAACTCACGCAACAAAAAACATGTACAAGAGGCCATAGAGCATAGCCATGTAGAGAGAAAGAAAGAAGACGATCGGTTCCAGGAACAGAAGTTGAAAAGGTCTGATCATGAAAATGCGCAGTTTCTCTCCCATTGGTCGGGAATCCAAATCAGCCTCTGTAACGTAAGAAGTGTCGTTTTTCTCTATCTGGAGTTTTGTAGCTCGCTTTGCGAGAATGGTGGGCGTGTATGTCTCGGGAAGGGTGAAGGTGATGAGAAGGAATACGACACCGGCAAGGATAAGTTGGATCCAGTAAAGCCATCTCCATCCTGCAGCGTCGCTTAAGAAACCTCCGACAAGCGGTCCGATTGCTGGCCCAATAAAAGGGGCAGCGCTGAATGCAGCCATGGGGACTCCTCGTTCCTCTGTGCGCCATAGATCGGCCAGAGTACCGCCAACCAATGTCATGGGAGCAGAAAATGCAATTCCGTCGATCAAGCGGCATACGAGGAGCGTCCCTATGTTTTTCGAAACAGCACAGGGTATTATGAATACAACGGCAAGGAACACGGTTGAAACGTAGACAGGTTTCCGACCAACTAGTTCTGATGCAGGCGAAAAAGCCATTGGTCCTAGAGGTTCAACATCTATCAGCACATTCTTCCCTAGTTAGTTTTAAGACTGGCAACCATAAGACGTACCCACACCAAAGCCGATGACAAAGACAGTTATTGTCAGCAGAGCGACCTCCTGGGATATGTGGAATTCCTCCATAAGGTCCTTAAAGTCGGCCGTGATTACACTGCTGCAAAAGGCGACCACGAAGCAGGTCAAAGCCACCACCATGGTACAGTACCATTTGTACGCTTTGCTCCAGTTCTTTGGGTTTTCTGGATCTCCAACCGTGAAAGTAACAAGCTTATAATTTTCAGTTTTTCCAGTCACATTTGACTTCACGGATTTCAGTATTTGTCCATTGGCGGTCTCTGCAGTGAATTCCTCGAAATTGGCCGTCTCTTGTAGCTCACGGTATGGCAAGTCCGTAGCCTCGGCTCCAGCAGGGACCGGGGGTGCATGGCGGTGATCTAGGTCTAGCGAGACCGAGCCGGATGAATTCGCCATGGTAATGCAAAGTTCCCCCGTTTCACGGTAAGGAGGATTGTAAGGGCTTGCTTGGGTAGCACGGAGGAGAAAAGGGTATCAAGAGCATGGTGCTGTAGACGTATATATATATTATTACGCAGTATATATATCCTGCACGGCAATTATATGCCGATAATTCCACACATTTATTGTAGATTTACATCATCAGCCAAATAGTCCAACATTGCTTTGAGTGTAGCGGCAAATTTTCGGGCCTGGTGGAGCTCAAGAATTGATCCTCGGCCAGATAAAGAGAGAGCTGCGGGCGAATAAAGTCCGGAGAACGAACCAGGCGGGTTAAAGTCCAAGGTTGAAAAGCCATACAATTTCTATAGAGAGCCGTGTATCCGGCTGGGCAAGGGCCGCGGCAGTCTAACGACTCGAAGTGGCCCCTGAGGCGGTCTTCAAACTGGCCTGGATGCAGTACTCATAGAGAACAGGTATAACTTGGGCTCGTTGATGGGCAACAAACTCCAGGCTGATTTGTATATTTTGATCTGAAGATATCCAACAACTTATATTATTACCAACTTGAGGCTGGTTTCTTGCTGGACATTTGATATTCTCATTCTCCTGTTCTTGCGCACAATTTGAAAGCAGTTTTTCTCGATACGTAGAGATTTTTTGATATAAAACGTTGCAACGAGCCGAGTTATAGCCGGAAGTGTGTTAATAAACAACTGTGTTCGGATGAAACTCGGGTCTAAGTAAAAATATAATTCCACTCCGGTTTAAAGTTGGTTCCCGGAAGGGTATTAATATTCTTCCGGGAGTTTATTAGTAATCAAAAAATTTCCATACATGCAAACAGAAGAAATAGTTTAATAATAGACTTCTTGCCTGTGCGCGCTAGCCTAGTCTAGCTTATCAGATCTTTATTATCATGTGACTTCCCAAGGTGGGCCCGCCAGAAGAGAGAAAATTGAAATGAAGAAAAAACAGCGAGGGAGAAGACGAGATATGACTCGGATTTTTGACCTCAACAAGAGAGGATGGATCCTATGGGGGATTATTTTGTTGTCTCTTGAACATTGACTGATATTGCAATCCTCCTTCGAGTTTAGGATCTGTCAAAACCGTCAATTTTGGTAATCAACTCGCAGCTGGTCAACGCGGGGCAAGTACAGCGGGTCTTGATAAGTTATTACTCCAGCTTTACAGGACAATTCGTTTGATAGCAGCTCAAAAATGGCTTCCTCGGACTCGTTATTCCTGACCTTACCCGGATCCGTTGCGTTCTCGGAGTTTCGATGTCGTGGTATTGCGGCAAACACCAATGCCAAAGCTATCCGGGCCCAGTGGGTACACTATCTGCACCTTGCAGAGCCTTTGCAAGACAACCAGCCCACCAACCTAGAGCAGTTATTGCGGTACGGAGATATCGCAGATTCTCCTGGATCCTTTGGGCCTCAGGACGGCAAGACTCTTACGTACTATGTTAGCCCGAGGGTCGGCACCATCTCGCCATGGAGCTCCCAAGCCACCGGAATTGCCCACGTCTGTGGTTTTCAAAAGTGTCTTAAGCGCATCGAGCGTGGACTCCGGATCTCATGCCTTGTAGATGAAGGGGTCGACAGCCTAGATGCAGCGAGCCTCGATGTTTTACACGATAGGATGACCCAAGTCATAAGCACCGAGGAGCCTAACCTCCAGGCTATGTTTGCTGAGAAAGCCCCGGCTCCATTGGAAGTTGTGTCTCTTAAGGATGGAGAGAAATCTCCTCGAGAGATCCTTCAGGACGCAAACAAACGTCTCGGACTGGCTTTGGATTCATCAGAGATTGATTACCTTGTTGACGCTTATGCCGCTGGGGGCCCAATCTCAAGGTCTCCTACGGATGTGGAGTTGTTCATGTTTGCTCAAGTCAACTCCGAGCACTGCCGTCATAAACAATTCAATGCATTATGGATCATAGATGGGGAGGAGAAACCAAATACCCTTTTCGGAATGATCCGAAACACTCACAAACAACATCCTGATTTTACCGTCAGTGCGTACAGTGATAATGCTGCGGTTCTAGAAGGAGAGGAAGCGGGGCATTGGGCACCAGATGCTACAGGAGAATGGGTTCAGACAAAGGAGAAAGTCCATTTCCTAGCTAAAGTGGAAACCCATAACCATCCAACTGCCGTCTCGCCTTTTCCGGGAGCTGCCACCGGTTCCGGCGGTGAGATTCGAGACGAAGGCTCTGTAGGTCAAGGGTCGCGACCAAAGGCAGGCCTATGTGGCTTTTGTGTCTCGGATTTACTCATCCCAGGCCACAGACAGCCTTGGGAGCTTGATGTCGGAAAACCAAACCACATTGCAAGCAGTCTAGACATAATGCTTGAAGCTCCTATTGGAAGCGCTTCTTTTAACAACGAATTTGGCAGACCATGCACAGGAGGTTATTTCAGAACTCTTCTGACCAAAGTTGATACCGACAATGGAGAATCTGAGATCAGAGGTTATCATAAGCCAATTATGATTGCCGGCGGTGTTGGTACTGTTCGTCCCCAGCACGCTTTAAAAAACCCGCACGCCGTTAAGCCAGGATCTTACCTTATAGTGCTCGGAGGGCCGGCAATGCTCATAGGGCTTGGAGGCGGTGCAGCTTCTAGTATAGCCTCAGGAGAAGGATCTGCTGATCTAGATTTCGCAAGCGTCCAGCGTGGAAATGCAGAGGTTCAAAGGAGGGCACAGGAGGTAATCAATGCCTGTGTTGCCATGGGACCAGATAATCCCATCAAGTTCATTCATGACGTTGGTGCCGGAGGGTTATCCAACGCTTTGCCCGAGCTTATCCATGATGCTGGCCTTGGGGCTTCGTTTGAACTTCGGGAGATAGACAATGCAGACAAGGGTATGAGCCCTATGCAGATATGGTGTTGTGAAGCCCAAGAGAGATACGTCATGGCGGTGTCGGAGGAGGGCATCAACAGTTTCGTTGCAATCGCAAATCGTGAGAGATGTGGTTACTCTGTTGTTGGTCGTGGCCTTGGACAACCGGACGAGAGCCGTAGACTTGTTCTACTCGACAAGGACTCGAAGGAATACCCAAAGCCAATCGACCTCCCTCTCTCTGTTCTATTTGGAAAACCACCCAAATTAACAAGAACAGTCTCCTCGAGAAAACTTAATCTTCCCTCGTTTGATTCTAGCCTTAAGACTTACATCCCCTCTGTGCCAGAACAGGGATTGATGGCTGAAGCTGTTGATAGGGTTTTGCATCTTCCAGCTGTTGGTTCTAAGTCATTCCTCATCACTATTGGTGATAGAACCGTTGGCGCTCTCACTGCCAGAGACCAAATGGTTGGACCATGGCAGACTCCTGTGTCAGACGTATCTGTCACTGCCACTTCATTACTTCTTGGAATGAAAACAGGAGAAGCCATGGCTATCGGTGAAAAACCAAATCTTGCCCTCATATTTCCAGCTGCGTCGGCAAGAATGGCTGTCGCTGAATCACTGATGAACATTGCAGCTGCGGACTTGCCAGAAAGGCTCAGCCGTGTCAGACTCTCGGCTAACTGGATGTCCGCCACCAACCACCCTGGCGAGGGTGCTGCTATTTACGAGGCTGTTGAAGCCATTGGTATGGATTTATGTCCGAAGTTGGGGATAAGTATTCCTGTCGGAAAGGACTCCATGTCCATGAAGATGAAATGGAGTGACCAGGAAACAGGGCAGTCTAAGGAGGTTACCGCTCCTTTGTCTTTGGTTATTTCTGCATTTGCGCCGGTTCAGGATATAAAAAACACATGGACTCCTACTCTGCGAAGTTTCGAAGAAGTTGGTGAAACCGTCTTGATGTTTGTTGACCTCTCGTGTGGTAGGAAGAGTATGGGAGGTTCAGCTCTAGCACAAGTTTTTGGACAGGTCGGAAACGAGTGTCCTGACATACGTGATGTGCAACTCTTCAAAGACTTCTTTGATGCTACACAGTCACTTCAGGAAGCAGGAATTGTCCTTGCTTATCACGACCGCTCGGATGGCGGTCTCTTCACAACTATTGCCGAAATGATGTTTGCCGGAAGATGCGGAGCACAGATCATGTTGGACGAAATATGTCCGAGCCCCAATGTCAAGGATGCTATTGAAACCTTGTTCAATGAGGAGTTGGGCGCCGTGTTCCAAGTCCGCAAGACTCATGAGGGCGAGTTCAGGAGCTGCTTTGCAACCTGTGGCCCACCACCTGGTTTGATCTACAGGATTGGTCGTGTTGCGGAAAAACAGAAGCAGAACTTGGCTATTTATCATGGAGCCACCTTGATATACAGAGAGAGCCGCTCTCACCTGCAACGTGCTTGGTCCGAGACTTCATACCGCATGCAGCGACTCCGAGACAATCCAGACGCTGCTGACCAGGAATTTGAGAATATTCTCGACGACAACAACGCTGGACTCTCGTACAACTTGACCTTCAACCCTAAGGAAACAGGTCTCCCATTGATGACGAGCCTTACTTCTCGGTTCTCGCCTTTTGCAACGCGTCCAAGGGTCGCAATTCTCCGTGAACAGGGAGTGAACAGCCAAGCCGAGATGGCGTTTGCTTTCAACATGGCTGGCTTCTCTGCCGTTGACGTTCACATGAGTGATATTCTCACTGGCAAAGTTTCTCTCTCTTCATTTGTAGGCTTAGCTGCATGCGGTGGCTTCTCATACGGTGACGTTCTTGGAGCAGGACGTGGATGGGCTAAGTCGGTCCTTCTCCACAAGCAAACTCGCGAGGAATTCAAGTTATTCTTCGAAAGGCCTGACACTTTTGCTCTTGGAGTTTGTAACGGCTGTCAGTTCTTTGGTCGTCTCAAGGAATTAATTCCTGGTGCTGGAATATGGCCAAACTTCGAGCGTAACGCCAGCGAGCAGTATGAGGGTCGTGTGTGCATGGTTCGAATTTCAGAGCCAACTGACATCCCTCCAACCGTTTTCTTCCACGATATGAACGGTTCTTCCCTCCCTATCGCCGTCGCTCACGGAGAAGGCAGAGCATCGTTTGAAGATACCCCTGGAATGGACGGCAAGGAACTTGTGAAGCGTGGACTTGCCCCAGCTCGCTATGTTGACAACACAAGCCTTGAGCCCACTATGCGATATCCATTCAACCCTAACGGCAGCCCTGAAGCTATTGCTGGTGTACGTTCACCGGACGGAAGGGTTCTTGCAATTATGCCTCATCCAGAGCGCACTATAATGGCTGGTATTGGAAGTTGGTTCCCCGGAGATAAGGCAATGAGTGAGGAATGGGGCAACATTGGCCCATGGGGTAGGGTGTTCTTCAGTGCCAGACGGTGGGTTGGCTAATTCTGCGACTTCTATCCACTTGGGTAGACTTTTGGAGCCGGTAACACAAAAAGGCCAATAGAAAAATCTGAAGAAAATAAAGGAGCATTTCCATATGTCTCTGTAAGCTTCTGGTGGTATTTTCATATCATATGCCTTGTTTGTCATGCTACTTTTAAGAATTGTATATATACGCCCAATAAAACAAAAATTTTTTCTCAATGAGAAATAACCACACAAAAACCAATCATCCTGCCAGGTTAGAAATTCAAGGGAGAATTACCTGGATTTCTGTCAGCCCCATTCGAGTCTATCTGCTAGAGTCTCCATAGTTTGCGAATAATCGCCGTGATCAACTCTAAGACCAGCTTTGATTGACGAGCAGAGATTATCAAACTTTGACTTTACGCGCATAACACGACAATGGTAAGATTGTTCAAAAAAGGAGATACTTGTAGCATTTCCAGCTTCGAACATGGATATCTCCAGATCATATTCGCTATCGTCAAACTCATCTTCAACCAGTGCTCTTTCCCAAGCCATCCGTGCTAAGCGTATAGTGCTCAAAGTCTGCTCATTTTGATCTTGCTGTAACTCTAGGCTGCGAGCAACTTGTGTGTCGGAAAACGATATGCATAGATCCAGTAGAGAGATCAATGCATGGTGTATAGGCGCAAAATCTTTACTTAAAAGACACTGCGCTTCCAATGCTCTGATATATGACTGGTGTATTTCAATCATGGAGTCCACATCTGCTGAGGCTTTGGCGGCTTTGACCATTTCGCGGGTAGCACGAGCGATGACAACTTCCGTGAAATGATGGTAGAGAACGTTCAAGAACCATAACAAACGGTGTCGAACGCAAAAGCTTAAGATGTGATCGGCTCCCTCTTCATCGTCGTTTGGAGATAAATGTGGCTTTGTAAACCAACGTTTCTCAAGTGTGTATTTCCCTCTGCGTATTTGCATCAGTAGTAGTGAAATACGCTTGTAAATTTGCAGGGAATCTCTGGTGACAATATTCGCAACTGGCCAAGGCAAGGCATAATCGATAGAGATGACCTTGAGAATTTGAACAGACCGACTGTGGCTATCAAAAACATGTAGCGGAACTTTCGCCGAACGACCAATCAGGCTTGTGACATCGATACACGGCAAACCGCTAAAAGCTTGCCTGAGTAACTCCGTGATAAGGAAGCGGTCATTCCAGGATCGACTTCCCCTGTCAATAAGATTGAATATTCTGTAGTCAGTAACGGAATATCTTCCGTAATCTTTACCTAAATATAAATATTCAAGCGCATCTAGTGATTGCCATAGACCGCACTTCTCATCAAGTTCTGCTTTCAGCAGTGAGGAGGCGTGGTTATGGTTGGTGTCAACAAGCTGGTTAAATGCTGCATCCAGTCGGCCGGCAAAAGGATATAATGATAATGATTGGTTTAAGGGGCAAACAACCTCGTAGTGGAGCGAGGGAGGGTCAGGCACTCTGGGGTTCATGGGCTCAATACCGAGGTGTCGAAGAAATACTCGACTCTTCCCAGTAATAAATATTTTCTTTGACGAGGGATGAAGAAATTTTGGAGCGTATAAACGGCCTGACTGCCAATTTAGGTTAAACCAGTCATGCCAGAGTGTCTGCAGGTCATCGTGTGAGCTGGTCGAGGTGGTGACAAAGAAGGAAGACAATTGGCCTATGTCTAGATCTCCTGTTTCCATCCAGTGTCTAATGGGTTTTGTATAGTTCTCAAAGCAGGCAAAAAATAGCTGTGAGATTTCCCGGTATTGACTGTCCTCGCCTGCTGCCTGTTTTTCGCACACTAAGTCATATAACAAATCTAGACACCGGAAATTTTCATGACTGGAGTTTTTATTAAGGTCATCGATAAGACTAGCAAGCTCAAGTAGCACCCTCACATGCTGCCTAACCTTGTGAAGTAGATGAAGAAGGCTGACAGAAAGTGGAGTAGGTCGATATAGATAATGCGATTGCTCACTGGAGAGGTATCTATCAAATGATAGGACCAGCGCTTCTAGTTCCTTCTGAAAGGTCTGCATGAATGGAACTCGCTGTGGTCGTTTTAGAAACGATCTTAAAATCTGGACGGAAGTTCCGATACTGCTGAAGGACATCATTAACCCCTGGAATGCAAACTGAGAGGTATGCGATAAGGAAATATTCCGATTAATTCCAATTTTATCATCATAAATTGAGAATGTCGACGTTGGTAAACCACGAAGCATAGATATGGCATCCTTGACAAATTGGAGCTCAGTCAGGTATAATACTTCACCATCCCCTCCTTCCAAGAGAGCTTGAGATTTAATAATGGAGGCTACCAAGGCGTCGTCTTGTACATCAATAAATAAGTCTTCAGACGGGTTAAATTCTTCCAGAGGAACTGTTGAGCCATGAGGTACAATTTTTGGTATCGAAACATGGCTGGATGCCGAGGATATATCATCATCAGAAGATTCTGCAGCGTAATCGATATCCTTCCAGAGATCATCCGGTTCATTCAACTTCGAGTCCGTGATGTCTGCCCATTCTATGGTCTTGGGGTCCCTCGGTGGTGAAAATTCCTTCAAATCCTTTAAATTTGTAAGAGTGGCCGGATTGTCCGAGAGAAACAATAGAAGGGAGAGTATTTCGGGAGCCAAACTCAATTTCTTTTGGTCCAGTTCTTCTAGCCTTCGATGAAGTGCATCTGATAGTTCATCATTTCCAACGACTTGAAATTTTTCTAGCAAGCCGTCGAGACATTTCATAACTTCGAACTTATTTGTCCTTAAATAGGAGTCATCCTTGATTTTCTTCTCAATAGCGGCCCTCCCGGGTATGGCTGACGGGTTCTACTACCAAGTTAGACGCAAACAAATTCCACGAAACTTAGTGTTAGGCATTCAAATTACCTTACCAGACGACTTGGCGACAGCTGCTACCAACTCGTCTGTCAATGCACCTATTTGAAGTGAGATAGACATCGTTATGGCCCCCCTGATCTATAAGACATAGAATTACGAAGGATGAATGTAGTGTAAGCAGTGTAAATTCAGTCAGCAAATCGTGGAATGAGGAGGACCATTTCGGCTATAGTTCAGCCATTTAGATTCTTCGATATTTATTATAACTGTGAGAAAGTAGGCAGCTCCTTTGTCTATTCAACTTTGAATGTCAAATCAGTCGCGATCTTCGTTAAACGTCAAAAAAAAAAAAAAAACAACCCTGACGCGGCGCGATACTTAGTTATGGAAACTAACTACTTAGCGCTGTTAGTTCAGTCACGTGAAAGTGTAAAGCTTAATTTAATCGCCTTGTGACGTGCCGCGATCGAGACGGTATGAGCATCATTTCGATGCTGGCTGGAATATCGAAATATTTTTGATACTTCAGTCAATTACAAGAGCGCATAATATCGTGCGTGTCCATCACCAACATGGCAGTCGCCAGGCCGGTCAGACTGATAATAGGGGTCTGCATCGCTCTAATTTTGCTTCTTATCTATCAAACTTCTAACTCGCCTTCCTTACCCCTTTCAACAATCCGAAAACATAAATATGATAACGGGCTTAAGCGCGAGCCTTTGAAAGAATGTGAGATTCTCTGAATATTTTCTCCGTGCTAGCAGGTTTACTGACGCCTCTCAGTGACTGGAGAGCCGGATGGACCGCTATGGAGGGCACAAGGAGACGACTACGCTCCCGATAACCCAAATTCCGCTCGGATAAAGGCGTCTCTGATTTCTCTGGTTCGCAACGAAGAGCTAGACGATTTGATTCCAACCATGAAAGAGCTGGAGCGGACATGGAATTCAAAATTCAACTATCCTTGGACATTTTTCAACGACAAACCATTTACAGAAGAGTTTAAAAGGAGGACGCAGGCAGAAACAAAAGCAAAATGCAATTATGGTATTGGTGGATACGATCTCTAGCTATCTAAGGCCTAATGGGTGCTAATTGATGTCACGCTGGTGTATAGAAATCGTACCTAAAGAGCACTGGGATGTTCCGTCTTGGATTGATATGGACAAATACCGAACCGCCTCGAAGGCTATGGAAGCAAACGGCATACAATACAGCACTGTGCTTTCCTACCACAAGATGTGCCGATGGAATAGCGGGATGTTTTATAAACATCCTGCCCTAGCGGATATGCAATACTACTGGCGTGTTGAGCCCAAGGTTCGCTTTTTCTGTGACGTGGACTATGATGTGTTCCGATACATGCAAGACCGGAACAAAACCTATGGCTTTACAATCAACTTGTACGATGCACCAGAGACTATGCCAGGGCTGTGGCCTGAAACCTTGAAGTTCCTAGAAAAGTACCCGGAATACGTAAACAAGAATAACGCCATGGACTGGTTGACAGACAATAAGCAAAGACCTGAACATACCAAAAAAGCAAACGGATATTCAACTTGCCACTTTTGGTCAAACTTTGAGATAGGCGATCTATCTTTCTGGCGAAGCAAGGAATATGAAGACTACTTCAACCATCTTGACAAGGCTGGAGGATTCTTCTATGAGCGGTGGGGAGACGCCCCTGTTCATTCGATCGGACTGGGGCTATTTGCCGATAAAAGCAAAATCCATTGGTAAGAACATATTCATGTTTTCTTTTACTGATGTTTTACTGACGCCTTAATGCTAGGTTCCGAGATATTGGATATAACCATATCCCATTCTTGAACTGTCCAAATTCTCCGAAATGTAGGGAATGTGAGGCTGGCCAATTCTATCGCGGAGAGCCGTTTCTCCAACTCGAAGATTGCCGGCCAAATTGGTTCAAATATGTTGGAGAGGATTGAGTTATCATTAGGTAGCTATTGCATCCCAGAACACTGCTATATCCTCCCGGAGCTGCCTTAAATGCCTCTTATATACCCATTTCTCTTTCCCCTAACATGATGCTCAGATACCAGCCGAGATCCATTTTTTTATCGTTCCACCAAGGGAACTTCTGCCGCCCTACAAAAGGCTAGGAGCGTCAATGTTCGGCATGCATGTGGCGTTTTGAGAAAACATCTTTCCTGTAGCATATTTCTTCACTTCTTATTCAACCAAAATAATGTTTTCCCTACTACCCTTGGCGCTTCTAGTCTTAGGATGTATACGACCTGATGTGTTTTATGTATTTGTTACCCAATATTATTCAAATCCCCGTCTATCAATTTAGATTCTCTCAATAGTTCCATTAGGATGATTATAGAAAGTTCCGCCTCTATATAGGTGTATGGTAAAAATATATAAAACAATTCCAGAAGAGAAAATGTACGAGGGGTCCTCTATTCTAACTTGGCCGCCGGCGGAATATTCGAACCCTAGATAATCTCTGCCTGACCTCAAGCCAGACTGATTTGAGAGTTCTTCCAAGCCGTCTCTCATCTCGAATGCGGACATATAGTAGAAGAATTGCCAACAGAGCAAGGTCCCAGAAGAGTTGCCGTATAGCTACCCAAGCAAACCACTTAATCCAGGACCATATGCCAGATTTTCTGCTTTCGAATGCTTTGCGTGCTTCTAATTGTTCTCTTACGGCAGCCACTTCGACAGTCATCTTCGTTAAGGCCTGCTCAACGCGTTTCTGCCATCGTTGGTAGTGTCTCTGTTCTGCTATGGTGGGAGGTTGAAACCGTGGTTCTTCTCCTGATTCCTGGTTTTCGTAAAAGCTATTCCTTGCTTCTTGGAACTCTTCTTCCTCTTCCTCTTCGTCTTGATTTTCTTCCTCATCGTCTTCCGTATCACCACCATCTCTGTTTTCGGAGCTGTGATCATGTTCCTTTTCGAACTGACTTCCGTAACGATGCCGCCTCGAACCTCCATCTGGCTGGCTTACAGGACTCAGCACTCGCAACTGAGAGCCCCTCCCTGCCTCGTCAAAAACTTGTCGCGCCGCCCTGCTCCCTATATTGTCATAGCTTGTTTGAGATGGTATTCGGGTAGGCCCAGAGACGCTTAAACCCTGATCCGGATTCGAGATTGAAGACGAGGTATTCGACTTGATTTGGTCCCATACAAATTCAAGTTCAGATATAAGCTCCTGAGCCTCCGGGGTAGGAGACGCATATCGATGCATGGTCTCTATAAGTGTCGTTATATATCGTCGTTTAGCTTCCGTTTGTGATAAGTTGCGTTGCGCATACCATGAGTCCCTTGCAAAGAAATAAAATTAGCAGGTAAACTTATCGCTGAACAAGGTGTAGATAACTATACCATTTCTCTTTTTCTGCCTGGACATCAGCATCACCAACCGGTCGGTCCATTACATTTTCAACATTCCCTTCTGCACATTGTCGATAATTGCAACGGTCAGCCTCGTCTTCAACAGTTCTGCATACTGCCTCAGGATAACGGTTAAGCCATACCCATGCTTTGTTTATATAGTCCATAGAGCTTCAACCGGTCGGCCGTCGGTGGCCTGGCCGACCCCGTCCGGGGAATCTTCTTCACCGTATTAAGGGCATGGACAAAGACTCGATCTATGAGATCGATGCGTAGTCCGTCAGTTAGCTGTCTCTAGCCAAGGGTTGAACGCCAAGCTGCTTCATGACACTCAACGTGACTGGGGAGCAAGTTGCAGACTTACCAACTGAGTCTGACATGATTCATGGGCTATTATAGCTTGATCCCTACATGAGACTCGGGCTTGAGGAATGTGGGTAAGAATAAGGAGATCAGGTAGAAGTCGTGAGCGCAAACTCGGGAGAGCGCAAGCCACATGGAGGGCCGTATGTGCCCATGTAAGAGTCAATGATCTCTCAGGAAAGCAGAATGCACATTGGACACAGGACCATCGGGTGTTTAATGGTGTTTCTGGGGTTTCCGGAGTTTCGATGAGAGGATCATGGCAACTTGTCCGAGATGGCTTTTCTCTAGTGAAGCTGCTCGTTTAGTTGGAAATCAAAGTTAAGCCGCGGCTGTTGGGCGCGCGTAGTTCACGTGCTGCACTGCCAGATATATCAAGCAAACAAACAAAACATCTACAACCGAAGTAAAGGTAAATATATAGATGAGTTTACAAGAAGAGGGCGAGAGGTGCAAAGAAGCCGATAGGCTGTGTCTTTGTCTTTTGTTATTTTTGTGTAGGCGGTATTGAGCCCCTGGATATGATACAGGCTATCTCCGGTGTCCACTGCTAGATGTCTGTGGATGAAGCATCTTATATCTAGACAGAATCGAAATCAAAAGTAGAAAAGGTTGTCCGTATGAGATAGGAAAAGTAGGGGATAGCTCGTGACGAAGTCGACCAAAGCATAGACAGAGGATGGTCTTGTGTTGAGGGAGAAAAGAAGGTAACAAATGCCAGAGCAGAGATTGCATATTATTGGGATTTTTTTTTTCTTGTGAGGGTTGGATGATTGGAAAGAAGATTGAAATGGGGAAGGAAGGAGAGGAAACAACGGTACGATCATTTTCAGTGGCATCATTCATTGACCTGGCCAACCTTGAATAAAATCCATAAGAGACACCCACCAAATGCGCCATGCAGAAAAAAGAAAAGGGGACGGTAAGGCAGTTAAGAGAAATGCGCGCTGATTTGCGCATACCAACCCAGACCAAACCAAGGGGGGTAGGGCGTGATATCATTCTTTCGCTACAAAAAGAGCAGATTGAAACTTGTAGGGGTATTCAAAGTAGGCGCAGGGCCAATTTGAGGAAGACACATCAAGAGGGACCGAGGGTGAGAGTATGAGGATGAAAAAGAAGCCCCATGAAGACCTCGGTGTTAAAGAATTGTATCCTATTTATGAGGCGGATGGAACTCCCGTAGACTCAGCAGCAACTCGTCCATTGCGGAAACCACCTCTACCGCGTCCACCTCCATAGCCACGATTGTAGCCTCTGCCTCGTCCACCGTAGCCTCGTCCGCGGCCACGACCTCGGCCACGATATCCACTATCGACGCTACCTTGTCCGAAAGTCTCCATATTCTTCTTTTCTTCTTCCCCACGCCATTCACGGCCACTGGTCTTGTTCCGGGCGTTTTCTTCCCTATCACGCATCTCGCTTGATAGGTTGTCGAAGAAGGAAGAGGTCTTGTCATATACAAGAGTGGTAGCATGGCCAGATGCAGCACTGGAAATATCACCACCTTCCACTCCATTGGCCTCTGAAGTGGCACTATGAGCCTTTCCTTCAGCTTCAAGTAATGGAGATCCTGAAGCGATAGCCTCCTTAACGAGATCCTGTTTATTGAATTTGGCATTCGCGGATGCAAAGTCGTAGTCAGTAGCGGGAACTTCGATCTTTTTAACCTGTTGGTGATGGTGATGGTGACCACGATGGCCTCCACGGCCACGGTGACCGCCTCTTGGTTGACGTTCGCCATCAAATGGTCGCATTTCATTTATTTTCTTAGTAACACTCTCCAAAGAGCCGTTAGTGGGTTGTTGTTGTTGTTGCTGCTGCTGTTGCTGCTGGGATCCAGCAGGTTGTGGTAGCTTTGCCATTGCAGCGGCGACGGCAGCAGTAGCAGTTCGAGTTGCCTCCTCCATCGCGTTTGGAGGAGCTCGGTTTCCCTGCTGACTACCTGATGCAGTGGACTGAACAGCGGGCTTTAGTGGTACAGCAACAGGCACAGCGGGAACAATTCGTTCATTCTTGGCAACTACAGTTGCCTCAGAGATGGTTTGTGCGGGAGCTTTGGCGGGGGCAGGCTTTTGAGTCTGGGAAGCCTCTGGTTTGGGTTGGGGAGGTTTTTGGCTTTCCTTCTGCGCAGCAACTGCCGGAGCAGGGGTTGTAGGTTTCTTCGGGGCCTTTTCACCACCAGGGAGTTCAGAAGTTGGCATTTGGGTACTCTGAGAGGCTGGGGCTCCATCTGGACCATGTTGCTGCGATTGTGGTTGTTGCTGCGGGGGTTGCTGCTGCTGCTGTCCAGGTGGTCCGCGTGGAGGGCCAATTGGCATCTGAGGGTGTCCGAACGGGCCTGGTTGCTGTGGAAAGCCTTGGCCTGGGGGAGGATACCATCCTTGCTGTCCATAAGGCATGTTTGGGAAGCCAGGGCCAGGGCCAGGTGCACCAGGGAATCCGGGAGGGCCACCAGGAGGACCACGGAACTGCTGCCCATAGGGATTATAATAATTGGGATATGGAGGTTGCTGGGGATATCCAGGAGGCGGTGGTTGCTGTCGAGGGGGTTGTTGTGGAACTTGGGCTGGCTGACCACGGCCAGCCTGAGCAGGAGCCGGAGCGGCTGCCGGCGCCTGGGCCTGACGTGGAGGAGCAGTAGTCTAATTTAGCATATAGTTATCAGCAGATCTGCTTGATCAATTTAAGTGTAAAGTAGAAGGAAGCCCTTGAGTAAAAGTAGCATCGTAACAAGTTTTCACCCTGTACCCTCATCCAAAGTATAGCAAGTAGACAAAGAAGTGATAACCGGAATCTCTGGGGGCAGGGTAAATAGATCGCTACTCACACCTAGTATAGCAGGGTCATTGGGCACCTGCGGTTGCTCTGGAGGCTGGTTCTCCTTTTCATTGTCGGCAAAATTGATATCCTTCACATCACTGCCTCTGAAAACAATGTATTCGTAAACACAACTAGTTGGAGGAACCTCGTCAGACGTATTGCCGCGCCTGCCTTCAGTGCCATGCGATACGACGTTCTCGAGGGCAATAGTCGAAGCCTCTGGGTTGATGTCGTGCAGAGTACCAACATAGCTAACAAGTTGCCAAATCAGCCAAACATCGAACCCCTACAGAGTATGCAGCAGCAATCAGGGCAGCCTACCGAATATCGCTCATCGAAATGAGGTTGAATCGCCGGCTAGAAGAGATTTCGTTAGCTTGTTGACAGCTATCTCGGCGGCCGTGGCCTCAGTTCACTATGCTTGCTCCCATACCCAATAAAATTGTTCATGTCCATGGTGACGGTGGTGCGCGGATCCGCGCGGCGAAAGCAAAGAGAGACAGAACTAAGAACAGCAAGAAAAAACCTCCTCGAGAGCAGGAAACAGACGAGCAGAAGAAGAGCGCAGGCGGAGGGGTGGAAGTGCTTGCGGCGTTGTTGGTGTCAAGTTTGAAGCGCGAGAAGAGGCGAAGTTGGAGGTTTGAAGTTGGTTTTTGCCGTTTTTGGGCGCAGTCGGGGCTACGGCGGGCTAGGCAGGCCAAGAGCGCAGCTTTTCTTTTTGACAGACGAAGATGAAGATCGAAGACGACGGCGACGATGAAGACGAGCAGGACGAGGACAAAGAGGCGAGTGAGAGGAAGAGAAAAGGATTTGAAGAGATATCAGCATGCAAACGTCGAACCGAGACTACTTTTTTCAGACTACGTAAGGCCTTTGTTATAGCTATTCACTGTACTCAACTAGTTAGTGATTGAAGACTGACTGGCTGTAGGGCACAGCTGGAGAACGCTGAGAGGAAGCGAGAAAAGTCCGAGAACTCGAATGGGGGTCCCATCAAGCTGCAGAGCAAGATACTTGCTATAGCAGCGGATCCTACGAGGAGTGATGCGGTCTTTCTCGCAGAGAGCGCTGGGACTGCCAGACAGCTTATCCTAGAAGTAGGTGAGATTTATACCCAAGGAAGCATGTCCAGAAGATAAAGAGGCTAATTCAGCTGGGATCCAGACGGGTGAATCAGCTGCGGTCTATAAAGGCCCTGCAGCTCCATTGCCCTCTATCTGTCTTTCTACGGACGGGAGCACTGTCTACGCAGGCTGCTGGGACAAGTGCATCTGGAGTTGGGACGTGAAGACCCGTAAGCCTGGCCACAAATTTACGGGCCACACAGACTTCGTCAAGGCAGTGGTTTATGTCCATGCAGATGGTCGCAGCCTGCTCATCTCAGGAGGCGCCGACGCAGAGGTCATTATCTGGGATGCCACTGCCGGAACCAGACTACACGTTTTGAAAGGCCATACCCACGGAATCCAGTGTCTAGCCGTCGACCCGATTGCGAGGACGGAAGGCAACCCACTCACTGTATTTAGCTCATCCAGCGGGCAGGGAATTCATTCTTTCACCGTTCCTGCAAGCCTGAGTGACGCGGTTCTCTCGGACCCCTTCAAGGTGCATGAAACCAGTATCTACAAGATATTCTTTGACGAGGATGGGGATCTATGGACAGCTTCGGCTGATAATATAGCCCGGTGTCTCACCCGCCAGAGCGGATGGAAATCCGAAACGGCGCTGGAACATCCAGACTATGTCAAAGATATCGTGGTGGATGAGACCAGAGGGTGGGTCGTCACGGCCTGTCGAGATGAAGAGGTTCGAGTGTGGAATCGAGCGGTATGTTTACACCCACCCCGGAAGGATGACTTAACTAGCGGCCTAGGGGGCATTGTAGCTAATCCGAGTCTGTTTTATCTAGACCGGCGAACTGCACCACACGTACTCGGGTCACTTTGAAGAGGTGACTGGGTTGCTTATTGTGGGGTCAAAGGTCGTCAGCGTCAGCATCGATGCTACCGTCCGCCAATGGCCTCTTGATCCAAGGGAGATACAGCTTGCAAAGGCTGCAGAGAAGCAGAAGCCACCAGCCGTCCCGGAACCCGCTCCGGAGTCCATGCTGACAGAGGAGGAAGAGCGGGAACTCGACGAACTGCTCAACGACAGCAGCTAGCTTAGCACTCCGTACTCTTCTATGCAATAGCAATTGAACATACATATTTATCTCCCGTATCTTCGCCCTTCGTTCCCGTAGCCCTTCCCCAGGTCACGTGCAATGAGGTCATTCTCCATCGAAACAAAAAGCGCTGAAAGTTTGCTTTTTGGCTGCTCGAAAAAGCCCGAGAGACGCCAAACCAACCGGCGGGCGTTGCTATAAGATCGTCTCTTTTGCCTGTCCCTCCAGGCGCATGTGTACTTAAAACCGCATTAACTAATGAGCGTGGCTGTCAGGGCATCCCCTGTCCTCGACATATTATAACTAAACATCCCAGACAACCAGCTAACTTAAGCGTGTACATTCCCGGCTGTTGCCTGATACCATCTTTAATTCGGGAGTAGCCCGCCATAACGTCCCTCGCCTCCCGCCATCATTTCCGCAGCATGGATACTGCCTCGCATAGGAAACGCATAGACGAGTCTGCGGGCTCTGCAGCGTCCGCCGAGCTGGTCAATCGGCTCAGTGAAAGCCGCTCTCCATATGTATGTGTTTGTTTGTGCTGCTACAGCGCAGTGACGCATTACCGTCTCTCACCGTCACCCGAACTATGGGCTAATAGAAGGCACCCCCGACTGACTCCAACAGGTGCGCAGCCACATGAATAACCCGGTTGCGTGGCAGCTATGGGATTCGACGGCCATAAATAAAGCAAAGCAGCTAAACCGGCTAATTTTCTTGAGTATCGGCTATTCAGCTTGCCACTGTACGCAGACACCCAGGCAGGCGGAATCGCCGGAAGTTATACATGTACGGGCTGACAGATTTCTTGTACAGGGTGCCACGTCATGGAAAAGGAATCTTTCATGTCTGCTGAGGTTGCTGCTATACTTAATAAATCCTTCATTCCAATCAAGCTGGACCGGGAAGAACGACCGGATATTGACGATGTGTACATGAATTACGTCCAGGCTACCACCGGGTCCGGAGGCTGGCCTCTGAACGTCTTTCTTACTCCAGATCTCGAGCCAGTCTTTGGAGGTACTTACTGGCCTGGACCGAATGCAACCCCGCTGCCGAAGTTGGGTGGTGAAGACCCGGTTGGGTTCATTGATGTCCTTGAGAAACTGAGGGATGTCTGGAACACCCAACAGCTACGGTGCCGGGAGAGCGCAAAGGAGATTACCCGGCAATTGCGTGAATTTGCAGAAGAAGGCATTCATTTGTCCCAGGTTAACAAGAGTGAGCAAGAGGAAGACCTGGAAGTTGACTTGCTGGAGGAAGCCTTCACGCACTTTGCAGCTCGTTATGATGCTACCAATGGTGGCTTTTCCGGGTCTCCCAAGTTCCCCACACCAGTCAATCTGTCGTTTCTACTTCGCTTGTCGAGATATCCAGAAGAAGTGATGGATATAGTTGGCCGTGAAGAGTGCGCCAAAGCCACAGAGATGGCAGTAAATACTATGATCAAGGTGGCGCGGGGAGGCATTCGAGACCAAATTGGCTACGGCTTCTCGCGGTATAGCGTCACTCCGGACTGGAGTCTGCCGCACTTTGAGAAAATGTTATATGACCAGGCGCAGCTACTCGATGTGTTTATTGACGGCTTTGAAGCTAGCCATGAGCCTGAGCTCCTCGGCGCCATCTACGACCTAGTCACGTATATTACAAGTCCTCCAATCTTATCTCCGAAGGGATGTTTCTACTCGTCAGAAGATGCGGACAGCCAGCCTAGCCCCGAGGATACCGAGAAGCGAGAAGGAGCCTACTATGTATGGACGCTGAAGGAATTGAAACAGATACTGGGCCAGCGTGATGCCGACGTCTGTGCACGGCACTGGGGGGTTCTGCCAGACGGAAATGTGGCGCGAGTGAACGACCCCCACGATGAGTTCATGAACAGAAACGTTCTAAGGATTGCGACGACTCCCGCCCAAGTTGCAAAGGAGTTTGGACTGAACGAGGAAGAAACGATACGGATCCTAAAGACGTCCAGGGTGAAACTCCGAGAGTATCGAGAAACGAAACGGGTAAGGCCCGAACTAGACGACAAGATCATTGTTGCCTGGAATGGGCTCGTGATCGGTGCGCTCGCGAAGTGTGCCATACTGCTGGAAGATATTGATGCTGAAAAGTCAAAGCACTGCAGGCTGATGGCTGGCAACGCTGTCAAGTTCATCAAGGAGAACTTGTTTGATGCCGAGTCTGGCCAGCTCTGGCGAATCTACCGTGCTGATTCCCGCGGGGACACGCCTGGATTTGCCGACGACTATGCCTACCTCATATCCGGCTTACTCCAGCTCTACGAAGCGACATTTGATGATGCGCATTTACAGTATGCGGATAAATTGCAACGTGAGTTTCCAATTATTGCCAATCATTAACTAAATTGCCTTCGAAGATCGGCCATATGATTTATGTTTCATTAAGTGGGAAAGGGAAGAAGGGTATGTGGCTAACAGCTCGGCTAAACGCAGAGTATCTTAACAAGTATTTCATATCCGTGTCAGCGAGTGACAGTAGCATCTGCACGGGCTTTTACATGACCCCCTCTGAGGCGGTGACGGACACGCCCGGCGCCTTGTTCCGTCTCAAGACAGGAACCGACTCTGCCACCCCGTCTACCAACGGTGTGATCGCGCAAAACCTGCTGCGACTGTCCTCGTTACTGGAGGACGAGTCCTACAAGCTCAAGGCCAGGCAAACATGCCACGCCTTTGCGGTAGAGATCATGCAGCATCCCTTCCTCTTCGTCGGCATGTTGGATGTCATTGTCGGCCTGGAGATAGGAACGAAGAGCGTAACGGGCGTTCTGGGGCGAGCAGCCGCGACGGGAGATGACAGTGCAAAAGCGGAGAGTGATCTGATACACAAGATTCGTGCTGAAGCAGGTCGTACTGCTTCGACTAGCGCCGCGGTTCTCTCCATGGTCGATGTTCGTCAGTCACAGACGGACACGTCCGGTTGGCTTCGCGAGCGAAACCCGCTGCTCACGGAACTTGCGTCTGGAAAGGACTATATGCTCATCTGCGAGGCGGGATCCTGTCGAACGGTCGATGTAGTCTAGCCCTTTGATCCTGGTACTTGCTTGTCTCCTTTGTGGCTTCTATCCTTTTTTTTTTTCCCCCCTGTTCCTGATAGCTTCCAATGCTATCTTTGTCGAGTTAGAATATGCATAGCTAAGCGCCCTGGAGGTACGGAGTACTTGCGAGCTGTTACCAAGTACATGGCTGCATGCGTCAGGGGTTCCTGGGGTAGTCTTTGGTGGTTAGGTATCGGAGCTCATGTTTGCTCTGGCTTCCCGCCCTGCATAGCTGCAGACGCAAACAGGTCGCTTGCTAACTAGTTATCTTGAATACATCTCTGGTCCCTGCAGTGAAACAAAGCTTTCTATCATGAAGAGTAAGAAGAAGAAGAAACCTAGTCCCAGCAACCAACTGAGGAGATCCCGCTGCCATATTAATACTGTTGCATGACTAGCGCTGCGCCTGGGTGGATGAACGGATACAAGCCTTTATCAAACACGACACTTGGGTCCATCCGGTTTCTCCAGAGGTAGTCCCGCTGTGAAGGCCTTTCCGCTGGCAGTCGGGCTGTGGGTTTGTCTGATATCAGGCAGGGCTCATCTCGCTCCAAAGGAGGACTTGAGACACAAGCGCGTTCCGCACGGAGCCAATTATTATTATTAGCAGGCCGGCTCTAACGCTGAAGACGAGCGAACAAGATGAAGGGACGCGGGGAGTAATAAAACGAGCTGAAGAGACGAAATGACGATATAGCAGAAGAAGAGAGAGCTCATATCGCGGGCCACAGAGTCAGAGCCGGCGGTCACGGACACTCTTCCTCTTCTCCCCTTGCGCTGCCAAATTTAACTGCCATGTTTCCTTACCTACGGGATCGTGCGTGACAAAAGAAAACACGGCCTCAGAGAGCGAGATGCAGACAGGGAAGAGACAGGGCCAGCAGCTGGTCGGACAATTCCAGACCTTCAATCCTGTTGGCTGCCTGAGGTGCTTGCATTTCTCTATATGTGCGTATAGAGTTAGGGATGGAACCGCCGGCGGAGCCCCTGAAGACGCACTCCTGAGGCACACTGACTGGTCCCTGAATTCCCGTCTCACCAGAAGAAAAGCAAATAAGAGCGAAATCGCTTTGGGGGTTTCTGGGCCAAACATCAAGAACTCCTACACGGCCTCTCAACACTGGTTCAACTAGCTGCCTAGCTGGCCGACTAGCGACTTGGGGGAGGACGATACAAGGCTGCTCTGCCTGCTCCTTGTCGCACCAAGGAAAGGACGGCGGGGGGGGGGGGCCACGCATTACCAAGTGAACTGGCGTCTTGTCTGTCTTGCACTCTTTGACAGCGCGAGAGTTGAGCTGTCGGATGCTGTGCTGTCAAGCTGTCAGTGCAGGCTGGCTGGAGATGGGTATGATGCCGGCTGGCCCAGGGGCTGAATGGATGCTGGTGATGATGAAGACTTGCATGCTCGAACAC